GGTTTAATTCTTCTTCTAGTTCCTTGAAGTATAATGTTAGGCTGTCTCTATGAGATCTTTCTTTACATATTTATTGCTATAAATGTGTTATTTAGTGCTGAAGGACAGTTTTGCGGGGCATAATATTTGACTGACTTTTTTCTTTTTGATCCTTTTGGCATTTTGAGTATATCATCACATTATCCTGGCTTGCAAAATATCTACTAAGAAATCCATCTAATTGGAATTCCCCTATAATGTGGCATGATATGTATCTCTTGCTGCTTTTAAAATTCCTTTGTCTTTTTACAATTGAGTTCAAATATGCTTTGTAGAGAACTTTGTTCTGTTGAATTTTTCTTAGACATCATTGAGCTACATGGATTTATATGTCTGTATCTCTTCCAAGACTTGGGAAGTTATCAACAGTGATTTTATTAAATAATCTTAAGTCCCTATCTTGTATTTTTTATCACTGAGTTCTTTAACTCCAAAATTACCAGTTGGTTCTTTTTTTAAGAAAGATCTATGTTGAATTTCTCATTTTGATCATAAATTGTTTTCCTGATTTTATTGAAATGTCTGTTCTCATCCCATTGAGTTTCTTAAGATTTCTTTTTAGGCAGTTCATAAATTTCTTTGTGGTCAATTATGGAGAATTACTATGTTCCTTTGATGGAGTCACATTTCTTTGCTTTTTAATGTTTCTTGTCTTACTGTATTGATTTGTGAACATATGGTGGAGTAATCACTTCCTCCAAATTTTACTGAGTGGCTTTAGTAGGAAAATACTTTCACCTGTAGATGGACTTTAGCATGTTTGGTGGCTCTGGTTCCAAGTAAATGAAGTGGTATAGCGTCCGTGCTGCTTCATCAGCTGTATTCTATATCAGCAATGACTGATGTGCTTCAGTGGCCTAGGCTGCAGTAGTTTGTGGCTGCAGTGGTAGCAGTGTGTGTTGTTTGGAGCCTTAGTAGTACAGGTTTTCTGGGTTCTCATGTTCTCATTTTCCCATAATGGGACTTTTAACTAAGGGTATCCTTCAAACGTGGCTCACAGCAAGTGCAGACATGATGGGTCTCATTGCACAGGTACTCAGAGCAGCTCTTAGATTTGAGGTACTGAATTTAGGATTTCATGACCTTATGAGGCATGTGTGTTTGGAGGAGAGGGTCAATCTGTGAGGCAGAGGTGGTTGAAAATTGCCCACAAAGCTGGTGTATGTGACTCTGAGGCACCTCTCAGCACCGTGAGCCCAGGAGTCGGGATTTTAGCTGTGACTAAACTATTCCTCTGTGGGGTGGGGAATAGCAGTGGCTCAGCACTAACAGAGTGAGATTCTGGAGGTTTGGGCCCAGGGAGCAGGGTATAGCTGCAGATGGGGAACGAGAGCCATTAGGGCATTAAAGCAGTTTAGGTCACTTGAAGGATGAGGTACTGTACAGTAGTGATACTGGATCCTGGATTGTAGGACCAGTAGTGTTCTAGACTCTCTGAGGCAGAGTACAGTGGCAGCAAGGACCCTTCAGTGGCAGAGTGTAGGTGTGTCTTGGGCTTTGGTGGGCAGGAAGCTGCACAGCATTGACTGTACTCTCTTGGGAGAGGGAAATGCCTCAGCAGCTCAGACTCTTAAGGAACTGGTCCCATTCTAGAGAAGCAAATACTGTACTTCTTTGGCCTGACAGGGCAAGGTTTCTCAGCTCAGTCTTTGGGATACAAGGTTCCATTTAGCTCAAGCACTGTAGGATGTGACTGCTGTGGGCAACCAAAGTACCATTTTCTTAGGAGGTAGTGTATGTACCACTTCAGTTCAGGGATAGGAGTGTGTGACTCCTTTGGGTGGCCAAGGAATTGTTTCTGCAGGTTGCTAGGTACTGCTTCAGCACTGGCACAAGGGTACATGGCTACTTATTGTGGTCAGGACATTAATTCCTTAGAAGGTAGGAATCATGGGCACCAGGCAGGGGTGAGTTAGTGACAATAAAGCCCAAGGGGTAGAAAGGTGTGGTGACTATTTACTCCTGGAGCAGAATGTGGTCTAGCAGTCATTCTGGTTCCAAGGTGATGTAGCACAGTAGCTGTGGGGGCCACAGCTGGGCTTAGCACCTGGAGGACTGGAGGAGTTCCTAGTGGTGAGAACTGTAAGTATAGAAGGTGATGAGGGCTGCTGGAGTTCTTTTTCTTTCATTTCTCTTCAGTGAGAAGTCCTGGTTGTTAGTTGGGAATTGGGTGGTAGGGTGAGATGTTTTCTTCCATTCTCTGTGTGACCATTCTGGGCCTTTGGGCCCCTCAGGTTTTCTGTTTGATACTCCTTTGCTGTCCTGGGTTCTTTTCTTTTGTTACTTTCATGAAAATATACTTGTTTATTCCTTGTTTTTGGCTCTCTTTGTTAGGGGACTGATTGCCTAGGGCTTATAGTTGGCTATCTTGCTTACTTTACTTCTAAGAGCTCTTTTAAAAGTTACTGCCTACAAATTCTGTTATCTTTATCATTTATTGATTGGTCTGTTTCTGTTGATTGATTTTCTTTTTCCAGATTCTTTGACTCTTTAGTAGCTTTTGTTTGGGTACCAGATAATGGGAATTATATACTGTTGAATTCTGGGGTTTATTTTATTCCTTTAACAATTGCCACTTCTAAACCACTCCCTTACTTGCACTATTTCTGTAACTTGGAACATATTTCTGCAACTATTTCTTCTTCCCAGGTGAGGGAAGAACTTGTATATTACTTATCTGGCATTTTATTGTGTAGACCTGTTTTTTGGGTTATGTGACTAGCATACTTAGGCATTTGTGATAAGACATCAACTAGAATAATCTTTGTAGAATGCATTTTTCTTACTACTTGTTATTACTCCTCTATCTGAGCCTTTCTGTGACTCCTACTGCCTTTTGGGTAAAGCCCAAATTCATAGCCTTTTCTTACTTCTGTAATTTGTCTGTTACTGTCTTTAGATCTCTTGCTGTTTATTTCTTCCCATCTGTACTCTTGACAAAAAAGACAGTGAATGGTTTCTCTCTCTCTCCCTCCTTTCCCTCCCTCTCTTTCACACAGACACACACACACACACACACACACACACACACACACACACACACACACAAAACCTACTTTCCCTACATTTTTTCATTCTCCAAAGTACCTTGTTTTTGTCCTTAATCACTGTTTTTGCTGTCTATCAGCTAACTTTTGTTCCTATCACAGCTCTGTCACTTATGGGAAACCTTTTCTCACCTCCCAAGGTTTTTCTTCATATTCTCAGGAGTACATTTATCATATGGTATTATAATTTCTTATTCACTTTGTATTTGTTTGATTTCCCAGAAAGATCAAAGACTGCTGCACAAATGGTTTACTTACTCATTTACTGAAGTGTGCATGTGTTATAAAACTTTACATTTCATGCACTTTGTCCTGCATTGAGACATGTTTTGATATCTTTCATACTTCTTTTTGAAAGTTGTGTATTTAAATTTTTATTATGAACTATTTAGCTTTATAGACCATAAATTGGTAAACTTTAAACCTTTTACTTTCTTCCTTTAAAGACTTCTTGGGCTGGGTATGTGGTGATGCATACCTGTAATCCCAGCACTGGGAAGGCTGAGGCAGGAGGATTGCAGGTTTGAGGCCAGCCTTGGCTGTGCAGCAAGTTCAAGACCAGCCTGGGCTAATGGCAAGACTGTCTCAAAAAACAAACAAACACAAAAAACCCCTGTCAAGCCACTGAGATTCTGAACTACATCTATTGTTAACTTAAAGTCTGTAGGGATAGTGGAAATCTGTGATTTGCAAAAAAAGGAAATATTTCCCTTAACTAATAGTTTATATGTTTTTAACATACTAATTTCATGTTATCTACACAATCTTAATTTTTTAAACTCAATTTATTATATTTACTTTCTTAACACCCCTTTTCTTTTTCATTTTTCACAGGTAGAATATTGCTTTAGTTATCATTGCACAGAAAATTTACACTTTTAATTTTATTATTGATATATTTTACCTATGTCATTGTTTCAGCCACCTTCTCACTTCATCTTACATAAATTACTGTTTTATTCTTTTAGAATGTGCTGCTAAGCTCTCTTATGTTAAAATGTAACTCATATAACATAAGTACAATCCTTTTTTAGTGTGCAATTCAGTGGTTTTTAGCATATTTACAAGGTTGTGCAACCAATCACCATTACCTGATTAAGAAACATTTTTATCATCCCCAAAAGAAGTCCCAGGCTTATTAGCAATCCAGTCCCCTTCTCTCTTGTCCCCAACTAATCTACCATCTGTCTTTGGATTTACCTGTTTTGGAGTAATAGTGTTAATGGAATCATACAATATGTAGTCTTTTATTTCTGCCTTTTTTAAACTTAGTGTTGTTTTCAAGGTTCCTGCCTGTCATAGCATCTCAGTACTTTGTGACTGTGTAACATTTAATTATATGCATATACCACAATTTGTTTAGCCATTTATAAGTAAGCATTTGAATTGTTTTTATTTTTTGTCTTTTGTGAATAATGCTGCTTTGAACATTTGTGTGCAAGCTTTTGTGTAAATATGTTTTAAATTCTCTTGAATTTAAAGAATTCTCTTAAATTCTCTAGGAGTGGAATTACTAGGTTATATGCTAATTCTATCTATGATTTTCTGGGGAGCCGTAAAACTGGTCATTATTTAAAGCTTCACTAATTTTTACTTACTTAAATAATCTGGTAGGAGAATGAACATTACAACTCAAAGATTCAGCACCTTCTTCCTGTGTGGTTTGAGTTACCTTACTGTTTTTATAAAGAAAAGTTCATAGACTTCTTTATTGAATGCCTTTAGGAAAAATGTAGAAAGTTTTTCTGAGTTAAATGTATTCCCACCTAAGGATGAGGCCACTTATTAGTGTTTTATAGAAATTCTTGAATTTTCTTGTTGCCTAATTGTGAAAGGTATGTAAAGTGGTCCCCTGGACCATTGGGCTATAAAAGTTTTTGTAGATTAATATTGTCACATTATTCCTCTTCACAGGGTTTTGACTCTGGGAGGAGGGCTGCCTTATTTGGAGCACCTTAATCTCTCTGGTTGTCTGACTGTAACTGGTGCGGGCCTGCAGGATTTGGTTTCAGCATGTCCTTCTCTAAATGATGAATACTTTTACTACTGTGACAACATTAACGGTAATGCCTTCTAACAACAAGATGATTTTTGAGGAACTGATTTAAAAATTTTTGGCAATTCTAATAATTTTTATGGTTCCTGTTTGGTTTTCTAGATTACTAATTACACAAGTTGTCTTACTTTCAGACTTAATGCTTCAAATTTAATAAAATTAAAAAATCATAGATTTTAATTAACTTCTTGAAAGGTAAGTTTTCTTAGGAATAGATATTTCAAATACCGTTATGTCAGAGTGATGAAATCATTCAAAAATGATAAGTTGTTAATAGAAATACTAAAATTCTTGTGAGATTTTGGGAATTTCTGTAGAGTGTTGTTGTGTTAGTTAACAATTTAGTGGTAGTGGTGTTCTAGATTACTGATTTCTTAGGGATGACAGGCTGATTTTTCTTACAGCACAACTTTTCCTGTGTGGTATATATAAAGGAGGACTTTGGTAATATGAACTTCTCAGGAGTTCTGGGTCTGGTTCCAAATGCATGTCACTGAAGTTTTAGGAGATAGTGTGTACCACTGAGTAGATGTGGAGATGCTTTAGGCATGGCCAAAATTCCTATGGTATTTTGGAAACTGACTCCTGAACTACTTTTACATTATCATCACATAAATATTTCTTGGCTTTTTTTTTTTAATTTATTCTTTTTAGCCATTTCCTATCTTCCAATTGGCCTATTGAATATACTTATTTAAGGTACATTCTGAGTCCTTTAGGGTGTTTGGTAGTCATTGGTAGAGACTGAAAATTCTCAGAAATATAAAAAGCTGCTCCTCAGTTACTAGTAAACAAATCACATAGTATTGATAACTGCAGAAAAATTAGATGGCTCTGATTTAACTATTCACCTGTCTTTTTATAGCATCCGCTGATGTCTTTGAGAGTCCACTTCATTTTAATTTGACAGAAATTGCAGTCTGGATGTTTTGTTTTGTTTGTTTGTTTGTTTGTTTTTTGCAGTACTGGGGTTTGAGCTCATGCCTCATGCTTCCTAGGCAGGCATTCTTACCCCTTGAGCCACTCCACTAGCCTGCAGTATGAGTTTTTTTCAGTCAGGATTATTGACAGGAGCCTGGAAGACTAATGAGAATAATGACTTATCAGGAGGTAGAGAAATTAGCAAATTTGCCATTGCTCAAAAATTAAGTTTTCTTTAAAATATGCATGACGAAACAGGAATTTTAGCTGTCTTATTTCTGGAGTCATGTTGGTGCAACAGATGATTATTCACGTTCTTGATGTGTCAGCATTAAGTTGGAACATAGATTTGCTATCTGTTGCCTTTAGTGTATAGTCAAAGATTATATGGTGAAAATGAATGTTATTTTGGTTGTGGCCTACTAAGCCTGTAAAAAACAAAGTATGTTGATACGACAAAGCAGTTCCTTTTGTGGATGCACAGGGCTTGAGAAGTAAGGTTTTATTTTGTTTTTAAACATAAATCTTATCACTATAGGTTTAGTGTACTTTCCGAGGGCTTGCAGCAGGTATTATCAAGAATAATCAGTAAGCAGTGATTTTTTATAAAGAAAACATTTTATTTGTTGAAATTGAATTACCCAAATAATTTTAACATAGGTTATACTTGAGAAAAAAAAATCTCACAAACTAATTTGTTATATTTATTTTTGTATATATAGGTGTTTTAGGTGGTGAGATATATAGGTTTTCAATTCATTTTTATGATTTGCCTCCTTACTTTGTGTTTGTGTTTTTAAATGTCTTGAAAAAGATGAAAGAATAAGTTATATGCTTAAAATCTTTAGTACTTTATTAGTGTTCTTTTCATCTTAATCTGTTTTGAATATATAAATATGGTGTTCCAAAGGAGCTGTGGTATTTTTGTTGAATATAAGTGTTTTTTTTTTTTTTTGAATAAATGATTGGTAATTTTCAGCTAATTTTAATAAAGACATCTGACTTTGAAAAATTTCAATGGAAACTGTAGTGCTTGAATAATCTGTTACTAAATTTCCTTTTATAACTTGCTAAAGCATGATTTGGAAGAAATGAAAATTCTTTAAAGTTTACAGGGTGACTTGTATAACTTGTGTTCCAGAATTCCAGGTAGTTGCTCTTAAAGCAATGCTTTGATATTATCTTTACCTTAAAATGACATATGGACAACCTAGAAAGTGTTAGAATTTTGTCCAGTTTGCAAGATGACACTGTTTGCATAGTACCTTTCAAAGCATGCACAGGAAATACTTGGTGAATGCTTCAGGACCTCCTTTTAAGTACTTTTAGTTTTATTTTTCTGAAAGTAGTCAATGTGTTCTAATATATGGTCTTAGAGTAATGAGAAAGCATATTTTAGGTGACAGATTCTATTTTAAATATTTGCAAGTAACATTTAACTTAAAATGTATTTTATTAAAAGAAAATCTTCATAATTATCAGGTAATTAACTAAAAGCATTAGTTGTAAACTAAATAGTAAATGATGAGTAAAGCAGAATTGTTTTCTAAGCACTAGCAGAGATTTTGGAAATTAGTCAGTCATCAGATTCAAATAATTACTGTGTTTAGCAAGATACTGTACTAAGCACTGATACAAAACAGGAGTTTCGATTCTTCTAAATGATCTCCATGGGTTTTAAGTTTGTTATGTAATCTGAAAATAAAAGGTTTTTAGCCATATGACATCTACAAAATTCTTTACCATTTAAGAAGTGTTCATTATAATGGTACAGTTTAGACCTCTGAAGAACATTTGAATAATGATTGCAAACAAATTGTTTTGTATTGATTTGGGTTTCAGTGTATGCATAATTTATGAATTAAGTTAGATTAGTTCATAGTTCTGGAGGTGACAGTCTCAGATGACTTGCTGTCTTATATTTCTAATTTAAGTTAAAGAGGAATTAAAGGTAAGTGAAGGTAAGTGCAGATGTATATACAGCATGAGAAATGTCCAGTATTTAAAACTGAGAAGAGTCTCATAATCAAAATTTGGAAAAATAATTGCTACCTTTACAGTTATTTTCATATAATGTTTAAAATTCTTTTTTACAAAATTTATTCTGTACCATGATTTAAAAATTGTTAAATCCAATTTTATTTCCCTGTTTCCTTTATTACTCTTTAATATAATTTAGCCCTCATGTATTATAACTATTTGGGTTCTCTTTCCCATATTGAGATAGAAATTTACCAGTGATAAGTCAAATATTTAAAGGGAACCATGTTTTGAATTGTTAATGTCTCTTGAAGTATAACTGTCTACTTGATGTGTTGGCAGCCCAACATATCTTGGTCATATTTCTTTCTAATACTGCATCACTTTTTCTGTTCATTTATTGTTTCTGACAGCTCTTCTGTTTTACTAAAGGATCTTACTGTTAACATTGCTTACAACTTTTATGCTTTGGAAATTGCTATTCTCTCTTTTTTTCTACAATATGAGATTAAGTTTAACACTTTTACTGTGCCCTGAATCTTCAACAGAATAAAATCCCTTGATGGATACTGTCACTTTTATAGATTATTAGGATCAGGTACCAATTACTGCTGTTACTGACTTTGTTATGGATGATGTTACAGCTTTGAGCCATTTAATACTAATTATTGGTATTTACCTATAGACTTCTAGGAGATCTGTGTTTACATTTGGAAACACCAATATAGTAATTCCCTCTCTTTATGTACGTACAATCCCACCAAAACTCAAATATCCTAAGACATACTTGAAGAAGATGGCACTCTTTGGTTTCTTTGCTTGTGGTATTAGGGACTGAACCCAGACTCTCATGCATGCTAGCTAAGCCCTTTACCATTTGAGTCACACCCCCAGTGGAAAGTGACACTTTTTATGTATTTATTAACTTAATTTTATTTTGGTGTTACTAGGTTTTGAACCCAGGGCTTCACTATTGCTACACAAATGCTCTGCCATTTGAGTTATGTCCTCCAGCCCCAGGTGGCACAATTTATGTCAGTATAAGTAGGAATTTTATTTTGTGATGATTCAGGAGCTACTGACAACGGAATTGTGTTTGTTAGCTTTCTACTTAATCCAGGGTACAAATTTTTATATACGTTTTTCTCCACTATGCTGTAGCCTTTGAGAGTAGAATGACCTAGGTGGCTTGGGTGGAAACTGAGGATGCTGGGGCCCTGTCTTTTGAGTAGGATGGTGAAAGCTATGTGGGGTCTGTATAGATGTGAGTCTCAAGGAAAATTACTTCATTAGTCCATTTGCACTGTTAGGATTCCCTTTTACTTTTCCCTTGAAAACCAGTTGCATACTTTACTTCCACTGCTTCCAGCCATTGCTTACAATTTTTTCCCCTGTAAGCTACACTGTTGAATTCATTGTACCATTTCTTCTTTACCTCTCTGTCATCTGGGAAAAAAAAAAAAAGTGGGTACAGCCAGGTGGGGTGGTGTGTACACTCCAGCTACCAGGAAGGCTGAGGCAGGAAGATTGCTTGGGGCCAGCCTGGGCAACATAATGAGGCCCTGGCATTAAAAAAGGGATATAGAGATTTTGAAGTATTTCAGGATGTTTTAGTTTGGAAAATTGAAAGTCTTCATGTGTGTTTCCTTTTATTTCTCCCTTAAAAATTTCAAGACTAGCTGGGCACTGGTGGCTCACACCTATAATCCTAGCTACTCGAGAGGCAGAGGAGAGCTGGAGGATCAAGGTTCAAGGCCAACTCTAGGCAAAAAGTTTGAGAGACCTGATTTCAGCCAAGTGGCATGTACCTGTCATTCCACTATGTAGGAGGTTGAGGTCAGAAGGATTGCAGTTCTAGGCCAGTCTGGGCAAGAAGCTTGTAAGACTTGTCTCAACAGAAAAACTGGGCATGGTGGTGCACACCTGTCATCCCAGCTGTGGTAGGAAGCACACCATGGAGGATCGTGGTCCAGGCTGGTCCCAGGCAAAAAGTGAGACCCTGTCTCAAAAAGAACGAGAGCAAAAGGGCTGGGGGTGTTTGGCTCAAGTCATAAAGCACCTGCCTAGTAAGCATGAAGCCCTGAGTTCAAACTCCAATCCCACCAAAACAAAATTTTTTTGAGAATAGGATTTCATACTAATAAAATGATAATCCAATACATTTTGGCAAAATCCAGCAATTCAGGAATGTCATGAGGTAAGTGTGTCACGTTAGGGGAATTGAAGTGAGGCAGGGTTTGGGTCTTGGAGCCAGGCACTAGATGATTCATAGGCAAAGCAGTAACCACTTAAGGGGTGAGGAAAGACAGCTAAGAAGGGCAAAGGTGGGGTTGAGTGGTACGTAGTAGGTAAAGCTTAAAATAGTTTTAAAGGGAAAGCCTAGTCAAAGACTAACAGTGGGAGAAGAGTTTCAAAGCCTAGGATTTCTTATCAGGGGATTTCTAATAAGTACAAATTTGTACTAAAATTTTTATCTTGAATTTGTGGTTAAGATGACTTCACTTTGTGTCTTATTTTAAGGCAAAATTACTCAATAAAACTGCTTTATAAATTTTATTTTTTAAGTTTTGTAAATTTTAAATATTTGGCACATTTAAATTTTAATTAAAAAATAAAATAGCTTTTTATTATTAAATAAATGTGGACTTTTGATCTAATTTTATAAAGTAATTTCAAACTATGTACTCTAGAAAAATTTAACATATGAGCAGAATGATACAGTGTATCCTCATATGCCATTAATTTCAGCAGTTCTAAATCTGGGGCCAGTCTCTTTTTATCCATACCATTGCCCATTCATTCCTAAATGTGGTATCTCCCTGGCCTCATATTGATTTTTATATTAAATACAAATATTTGAAAATAAATGAAAACATAAGCTATTGCAATTCCACATACATGTGTAAAGTTTAGTGTTTCTTTTCTTACTTAAAGATAGATTCTTGTATCCATGATGAAATGTCTGAACATTGGACTTCAGTGACTATATATCCTAAGAAATTCTCCATTTTCTTTTGTTTATGCCATCAGTAATACAAAGAGAAAAATTAAATGTCTGGAAGTACATGTATTCTGTATGTTCACTTATAAGTACTTCCTTATAGTGGTACTCACATAGTTGCCTTCTTGTGCAACAAAGTGCTATTTAAAAAACAAAATAACATAAATTTAAAATATATTTCTTAGTGAAGCTAGGTGTCACTCCCAGTTACTATGATTTACAGTTATAATCTGCTTGATATGTTCTGTGGTAAAGTTACATTTAATGTACTTTTTTTCATTTTGTGTTGCCCTTATCACAGTTTTAAGTAGTTTGGTTTTTCTACTGGATACATAAAGAACTAATTAAGTGCTCTTTATTTGTTCATGGTACAAATATACTGAAACTTCAACATAATATAAATAACCTTTTCTACATTTGCTTTTCTTCATGAAAACTGTCATTTATTCAAAGTACTTAACTTTTGAATATGTGCTGTAAGACTTCCTTGTTACTCTCTAATTCTTAGCAGTGTTTCCTAATGGGTCTTTTATTTTCTGTCTGGTAGCATATGTAACTGGGATAAGATGTCAGTTATTCCACAAATGGTTTATTATTATTCTTTGTGAGTCCCAGTTTTTGTTATGTTTTAGATGTTTATTTAATAAATCATTCATTTTATATTCAAGTTTTGGAAAACAAAATTTTGTCTAATACTGCCATATGATTTTCAGGGGTTACAGATGTTCAATAAAAATATGTTAAGCTTGTTAATTGTATGTCTCTGTAGAATATTTTGTTTTAAACTTTGAACTTAGTATTTACTGTAATTCTTCAATACTGGGTTCTTTTGCCTAACCTAACATAGAAAGGATTGGTTTTTGCCTTAATTATATTTGTAGGAAGGCTATTCATTTCATATAAATCTCTATTGTTAAATTAACCTGGCAGTTTTGCTTCTGTGGATTGACTCTTTTTCCCCCCCTTGTGTTTTGATGTTGTAGGATTTTTACCAAAAAAAAGTATTTGCTTCCCTTCTATTCATCTTTTGAACTATGAAGGATTTATTAGTTAAAATCAAGTTGGTTTTGGCAATTTTTGTCCGATTAATTTTTATATACTTATTTGGATTTTACTTCTGTGATATAAATGTACTGCTAGTAAAACAAATAATGTTTTAGCTCCTTCATGAGCAAAATTATTTTTAAGTGATTTCTAAGAAATTCCTCCTTTCACATCTTTCTGTTTTCATACAGGTCCTCATGCCGATACCGCCAGTGGATGCCAGAATTTGCAGTGTGGTTTTCGAGCCTGCTGCCGCTCTGGCGAATGATCCTTGACTTCTGACCTTTGTCTACTTTATTTAGCAGAGCAGGCTTCCTTTCATGCACTTTACTTATAGAATATTTCTGTGTTAACCATCCCTTTTTGAGTGTGTCTTGTTTTGGCCTCATTTCTTACAACCTCAGAAATCTTAATTTACCAGTGAATTGTACAGTGTTGTTTTTCTTGCAAAATATATTTTTGTTTTAGAAAGGGGTTAGGTCATTTCATAAGGGTGAGAACAGTCATACTGGATTTCTTTTAAATGAAACGCTTTGAAAATAATGTCACTAATACCATGACATTTAAAGTATTTTTTAGATTATTTTGAGTTCTAAAGTTAGTGGGGATATTGGTTCTCTTTATATATAAACACTGTACTAAGCTTTGCAGATCTTTTCAGATATAATTTCTGAAGTTTTATTTTCAAAGACTGCACATTTTGGAAACTAATCTCTTTTCCCTAACATTTTCTTTAGTTGAACAAATTCTCAGAGGGCCAATTCAAATATACTCACATGTAAGATTCTTTAAGATTGTAGAATAAATTGGCTTCTTGATGTTAGCTCAGTGAGCTAGCAAAGCACCAGTCTGTATTTGCTTTCTTCCAAGACCCCTGGTTTCCACTGCTGCCCTTGAATGTCAAATTTGGGAGGGATTTTTAAAAATTCCACAGTTGTTTGAAGAAGTGTATAAATAAAATCTACTTTGAGGACTTTACCGAGTACCATCCTTTGTGTTGTGATTTTATTAGAAATTTCAATTCACGTTTACTTTGTTGTAAAATATTTTGTCTTTTCAGCCTCTAAAATCATGACCCTGCCAAAGAAACAGTTTTAGATACATCATTGAGCATTACTGAGCTGAATTGTCTTTTTGAAATTAAATTGTTCGTAGTCAAAATTTGAATCTGTAAGTTTTAATCTTCATTGCTTTGTGGAAAGATCAGGTGAGTGAGAACTACCTTTCAGAAAGGCACATATTGAGTCAATTTTGTATAGTTTTATCCTACACTGAAGAAAACAGTTGGTGTCATGCCATCTTTTAACAGTACATACAGGTACAGCTGTGGAGCAGGAGTAATGTTGTAGTCTGTGTCTTTGTGGTCCCAAGTATTTTTTGCTTGCTTGTTTGGCGGAGAATAGTAGGAGAGATTTAAATTACTGCTGGGCAAATTGTAGTTCAGGCTAAGAGAAACTCTTCAGAAGAAGGAAAAGTCATCTGATGGGAATTTAAATAAGGAGAATCCACAAATGCTTTTTAATTCAACTAATACTTGAAATAAGCACTTCAATTCAAAGATGATCAACTCTATAGGGAGGGTATCTGTTGACTTGTTCTGAGGGTTCTCTCTTAATTTTGATTCCATTGTTTGAATAACATTTGCAAAATAGAAGAACCCTACAAGTTTGTTTTTGTTGGGCAGGACAACTATATAAGCAGATCATCTTACCTTTTTGAGTTTGTTATTTCTGAAGTTTAAGTAATTCATATCTTTTGTGGGCAGGACTATACCTAGCCCTAAGCCTGAAGAAAAGAACAATTTCTTCATTCTTTTAGAGAACATAAAAGGAAATCTAAGCATAGTGACTAAAGCAAAAGTTTTATTTTATAGGGTTGACTGTTGCATAGTTACTGTGTTTTTTATTTAAGTATTTAATAAAATTTACTTGAAAAGTTGATGTCAGGAACTATTTTGAGAAAACAAACTGAGAATTCTTACGGGGTGAGTCTTATTCTTCATCTTTTATTAAAGTGAATTGCAAGGTAAAATTGTGCATCTATAATAATGGCCTGAGTCATCAAAGGAAAACTAAGGTTTATCCCTCATGTAATCAGAAAATACCATTTTTAAGGGAGATTTTTTTGATAATTCTTATGAGTAGAAAGTGGTGATTAAGTATGTTTCAGAACTTTGCTTAGTTGTTATCCTCATAAATTAACTCTGAGCAGCTACTTTCCCCAGAGGTTCTAAATAATTGAGCTGCCTTTTTTTCCCCCGTCTCTTAGTTTTACTGTCTTTGATATTAGCAAAGTGTTTGGGTAGTATTGAACCAGAGTGGGTTCAATATGTCAGCATATTGTCATGTTGAAACTCACTGTTTTCTGCCTCCACCCCTCTTACTCCCCACCCACAATTGCATGAGTTCATGGCATAATCCACACTTAGTTTTTATATGTCACACTCTTTTAAATTATTAGATTAAGGTGATAGTTAATGTTTAGTGAAACACTGTATACTTGGTTTTAATCTATCTTAGATTTTGTGATTATTTTGCTTTTGAAAATAAAATGAAGCAGCTGTGTAAATTGCCTAATTGTACCTGACAAACATTACGTGTTGAGTGCCAGGCAGTGAAGTGCTTTACATACACTAGCCAGGTTAATCACACAGTGTATGAAATGGATGATGTGATCATTCTCATCTTCTGTATGGGGAAACTAAATATCAGAGGTTAACTTACATACTCAAGATGACCCAGGTAGTAAGTGGCAGAACTAGAATTTATCTTGAGTTCATGTTCTTAACCAGTATGCTACACTGTCTCTGTGTTGTTATAGTGGTGATTGTTATGGGTCAGTCATGGACCTCTCCCTTAAAAGAGTTCATCCTGGAGGTAGCGCATGCATGTCAACACATAATTGCAATGTAACTTGATAAAGGAATGCATAAGAGAATCAAAGGGGACAGTTGTTCCTTAACTTGGTCCCCTCCATTTTAGATGATTATATTTTTTTCCTTTTAAAGTGGGAACTACTTTAGTATTCTCAGCTAAAAGCGTTTGTCTCATAGGCAGTAGGCAGCAAAAGGAGATGTTTGTGGTTGCTACGGTTTACTGAAGAGAGGGGTGCAGTTGGCATGTATGGGGTGTTGTTGAACATCTTGAGCTGTGTAGGTTAGCCTTTCACAACATGTAATCAGCTAGTCCCTCAATGGCAGTAGTGCTGCTGTGGAGAAATCCTGCTTTACATATTTCTGTCTCTGTTTTAATCCTTTTTAATGGCTTGGTATGATGGAATGTGTTTGTCTTCATTTGGGTTTCTGTAAAAATACTATAGCCTGCGTGGCTTAGACAATATCTACTTCTCACAGTTGTGGAGGCTGGGAACTCTAAGGTAAACCCAAGTTCCAGTGTGGACAGTCTTTCTGGTTTGCGGATGGCCATGTTGTTGTATACATTCTCACATGGCGGAGAGAGGGGGTGTGGAGAAAGAAAAGAGAGAGCAAGCTCTTTCCCATCTCTTACAGAGTTACTAAAGCCATCAAACACCACATAGGGATGGCCTAATTACTTCAAAAAGGCTTCATCCAAATGTCATCACATTAGAGATAAGGGTCTCAAAATGTGAATTGCCAGGGGTGGGGTAAGGAAGTGTGGGGGAAAACCACTAATACTGAGTCTAGAACAGTGTCTAAGAACTACTTCCCTTTTTTGCTGAATACTTAATAAACTCATTGTCTTCTTCAAATAGTGTATTACTATTTCCTATATGTTAACATTTATGAGACACTCAGCATTAAAAAAGTGTGATACTGCAAATTTGTTCAGATAAGTTTTAAAGTATTATTTTAGTGGGTCTTAAAAGTATGTTTGATATTCTGCTGGATATGCAGAGCTCAAATAGAAAGTAAACAAATACAAAGGCATAGAGACCTAATGCTGATAGTGTACCCTACTGTGGGTAGTCTCAATTGAATTCAGGGTCAAAGTGGCAGAGACGAGAGAATATTAAATAAAAACACTTATTTTTACACAGAGAACAGATAATGATAACTTAATTTCATTATTCAAAAATATTTTCTCCTGGTTTTATCAGCGTAATTTAAAAATACACTTACAGTCTAATTGTTTTTACATAACAAAAACATACAATGAAAAAAAGTTACCTGTTGCGTATAAGAGAGGCAACATAGATCCAAACAGACAAAACGTTTTTGGGATATGGGTGGATATATACAGCTAAAGCAAATTCAACGTTAGGAACGTCAATATTATGTACTCTGGTGCTATACACAGCTTCAATTAAAGGTTTCACTTCAGAGTAAGGCATGTGAAGGGGAAATCCAGAGAACTGAGGAAAAAGAACCCATTTGTAGCCATTAGTGAAGTTCAAAGATAATATATTTTCCCCTATGTAAATTATATGATTCTGAATATAGTAAGTCTTCTGGATTGTGAGATCATTTTGTTGTTTTTCCATTCAGCTATATGGAAAATATATTCTCTATTCAGAAAATGAAGAGGGACTTAATACCTATTTTGTTTTAGTTGCTAGCATACCAGAATATAAGATACCTATTGGTCATCTAGTTTTTCTCATTGTTTCCTCTTCCTGATACCCTCTAGTATGCATAATAACCCATATTATTCCACAGACCTAGGTTAAGCTAAACTGTGCATTTCACTCCGGCCACAAAAATTAATTCACAAGAATAGGCTTGTAATCAAAATGATTCTCAGGAAACTTGCTAGGAATAGTGGCATACAGATGCCCTTACTTTGAACAGTATGTGTGCAGATGTGCGTCCTGGACCTGCTCTAGCAGTTGCTTTCATGAGTAAAGTCAGCCTCAGCACAATGTCGTGACATTAATTTAAGTAAGACAATGAATTTACTGTGGCTTAAATTTTCTGTTGCTTGAATTGAAAACATCTTGAGAATTTCTCCTGAGTTTCACTCAGTAACTCATCCATTTTGACCATTACACTTATTTAACCAAAAAGTTACTGTCTTAGTTATTTACTAAACTGCCTTCTAGGTTTTATTACCCAGCTATAGGATATGGACACAGCATTACAAACAGGGAGTAGAGAGGGTATATTGTCTATTAGTGTGAATTTTTCTTAGCTGTAAACAGCAATAATTATAAAACCATACCCTTTAAAAAACCGGTCTGGAGTGTTTATTTTCACCTTTATGTACAGTTGAGTCTAATATGAGTTAGCCAGATATTTTAATTTTACTTAATATGCTATTAAATAATATTTCATAACAATTTCAGAAATAATGTTCTTAGGATCCTATTACAAAAATGGTGGTATTTTCATTTTATAGAGGCATTTTGTTATTTAGTGTAGATTATTCACTGAGGTTTAAAACTTTCAGTCACATTTTTTAGTCTATGCTTCATATATGTACTCAAAAAGGAGCCATGTAGATATTTTGATTCCAAAAACTCATTATTGGGTAATTTCCAGTTTCTAATGAGGCCATCCACAGGGTTAGTGTATGGGCCATTGTGCTTACCCGGTAGTCTCCTAGCTGTTTCACCAGTTCTGCTCTGTGGTCATCTTGTACATCTTCTCCCTGACTTCTTTCCAGCAGGGGCAAGAAATGACGCAGAGTGGAGGTACAGTACCGATTCCACCGAGTCAGGTGGCGTGGCCTCCAGTCCATGATTTTTTCTTTTAGTATTTTTTCAACCCTGTTCATAAAAGATGAACTTAGTATTTTGGTGATTTGACTTTTCCCGTGTTTAAAAATATATATACTTTGTATGCAGTGGAGATTCAAGTAATTATAAGACTACATTTTTGTTAGTGTTGTCATTCACCACACAACTTACTAACATGGGCTAGTTCCTGGGGATTCAAAAGTTAACACAAGTGATCCTTGCTCTTAAGGATTGTGTATGCATTGGGATGGGAAATAGAACTAAAGGTAGAAATAGGGTCTTTTATGGCTCATAACAGAAGCTTGAAAAATAACCCAGAAGAGAGAGTCCTGAATGACTTAAGGACTAGCTAAATTGAATACATTTAGCAAAACATTTATATTACAAAATATTTATCGTATACAGATAAACTAGACATAGGCATAAAGAGGTTTATGTTGGAAGCCTCAAATATTGGCTTCCAAATAAAAACTATTGAGTGTCTCATACAGATTTTCTTCTCCAGTGACTTTTATTCATGAATATAGATTTTTTTCTAAATTGCCTTAAAACTGCCCTTAAGATACTAGCCACCATTGCATCTGAATTTTTAATATGTATTGCGTTCATTGGATCTGAAACGTAAAGAATGAGGGGAAAAGAGCTAACATTTGTTAAGCTATTACTTACCAGGTGCCATGCCAACTAAGCCTTTATACATTTCTGGTGAGTCCTAAAAAGCCTGTGAGGTAGGGGATACTGTTTGGGGAACAATTTGAGGTAAGGTAAGAGAGAGAGGCAAGGGAACTGGGATTCAAATTGAAGCACTGCTGACTCTAAAGCCTCCTGTCCATCCTCTAATACACAAATTTAGAGATGTGGCCAGCTTCCCATTGCTCAGTAGCTGTAGTATTGCTTGTTATGGTGGTCATTGAGCACATCTTTGTTTTGGGCTTCAAGAAGGTCTAAGCAAGAAAGTTTGGAAGAACTGCACTATAATACTGGATAAATAAATGACTTGAGTCTTAACAAAATAGGATGCTGAGCTATTGGAAAAAACACGAGGATTGTTTAGAGATCAGTTGTTCTAGATGGGGGTCCCAGAAAGTCTTTATGGAGCAATTGGGAGTAAATTGGTGTTTTCTAGTAATAATGTCTTAAAAGGGGTCACATTTAATCTTGTGTACTCTGACACGTTCATACTATTTGACTCATTAGAAATGGCACACAGGCTTTTGAAATACAAAAGATTTGTATGGTCCCAGAAGCCCCATTTAACACTTAACAATAATGTAGACCACACTGGACCTCAGTTTCCATATTTGTGAAACTGAGTAAGTTCTATTTTATAGGCTTAGTTGAGTTACAGGGACTCATAGGCTCTAACTGGCCTTTTCTATGAATCCAATTCATTTCTAAAAGCCACTAATTCAACAAAAGAGGCATATTTAAGCAGAGGATTATGTGTCCCCTCAACAAAACCCATAATAACATGATGTTAAGCTCTAATCTGAGATAAAGTCTTTGGAGAACTACATGTTCCCAGGGTTCTCCTGTTTGTCCTGCACCATGTTAATGGGAAAGCCTCAGTTGAGCCATGGGATTTAGAGATCACATCTGAACTTGGTATCTGTAGACATGAATTAAAGTTTAATTGCCCTAGTTATTTCATATTGATCCAAGATGAGAGTTGTTTAAAGTTTGTACTACATTTCTAGTGATGGATTACATATGGATTTGTGAGTATTGTGTTACCTGTCTTGTAGCTCAGCTGCAGCTGCTTTGTCTGTGCGTTGATAAATTAACTCTTCAGGCTGTAAAAGGGAAAATTATTCAGAAATGCTAGAAATCACCTACACTTAATTTGAAAAAGTTGTGATTTTCTTTTCTAAGTTTATTTTTTTAAAGTAATTCAGACCTTGAATAAGAGAATAGTATAAGGGATGCCAGTGAACCCATGACTCAAATATAGATAAAGCATCAGCTATAATTACAGTTTTTTCTACTTCTTTTTCAGTTTCATTTCCCTTCTCTTATCACAGAAGTGATTATGACCTGAGTTTGTTTTGCAACACTCCTTGAACATATATGAGTACTTAGTATTTCAGGCACCTTCACAGGTGATAGGATAGGACTACAGCCATGAATCGCTCTTGGTGTTTACATTGTGGTAAGTGAAGACAGGCAAATTAACAGGATGTGTTTATGGTTTTACTACAGATGTAGGTACTGCTAGTTAAACATGTGTTTTGCATATTTTCTAATTTTTTTTGATGGTACTGGGATTTTAATTAAGGTCTTCACATCTTGCTAGGCAGGCATTCTACTGTTTGAGCATGGCTCCAGTCCTTTTTTGCTCAAATTGTTTAGGAGTTAGAGACTGCCTTTTTCCTGAGTCAACTTGGACCGTGATCCTGCTACACTTCTACTGTAACTGGGATGACAGGCACGCACCACCATGCCATGCTTTTTTTCTTTGAAATGAGGTCTTACAAAGTTTTGATCAGGCTGGCCTCTCTTGATCTTATACTCCACATAGCTTGGGATGACAAGTGCACACTATTGGATGAAGTGGAGTCTTTACAAAGATTTTGCCTTCTTGTTTGTGGCCTCTAACCACAGTCTTCCTGATCTCATTGTCCCAAGAACTAGGATTATAGGAATGAGCCACTGGCAGCTAGTGATGTTTTCTAAATTTTAATAGTTTCATTTTATGAGCATGTGACTTGTTTTTTCTTACTTAATGTTATATTAGGGACAATAGTAAACATTTCTAAGAGAGCTTGCTGAGACTAATTTATGTTGACTCATTAAATTATTAGAAAATACCGCATTTTATACGTATCATTTCCAACTTTTATGCTATCTTCAAACCATGTTTGAACATGGACACTGCTTTTCAAAGCTTTTTTTGAAAGGTTTGTGGTATAGTAAAAATGTATTTTACATTACAAACCCATAACATACGTAAACCTAGTTATCAAGTGAAAAAAAAGTTTTAGTAAATAGTGGTCCTACTACTTAACATTTTTGGTCAGGATTCTCTAAGTTATTTTTATGAGCCTTTAGTAGATTATACTTGCAGTTTGACTTCTTACTTCATTAGCAGTGATGAAGTCAGTGTAGTGAATTGAAACTAAAATATGTTTAATTGTTTTGAATGCTATTTCATCCAAATCATTGTTGTTTTCACCTGAATTATTTAAATAGCCTCCTAACTGAAGACTTTACCTTCTTTGTCTAGATACAAAATAGCAAAGAAAAATCCTGTAAAATGAATTCCTCTGCTCAAAGTACTCCAGTAGTTTCCTTGCCCATCTGAGAATCAAAAACATGTCTAAAATGTATATACCGGTTCTTTTGCATTTGTGTAAATTGTTTTTTTGTGTAAATTTGGCTCAATAATGTTTAAAAATACTGTTCTAAATTAAATACTTAGGAATAGAATAAGGACCAAGTAATACTTAGTTGCTTAATATAATTTCTATCCCTTACTTTCTTTGTGCACATTTACTTACTAATGAAAGAATCATACCTGAACACTGGAAAGGCCAGGATATGGAAGGCTTCTTGAAAAAAATGATTTCCATAGCTTGGGCTTGGTGACATCAAAATTTATCCTTAGTGGAGAATCATATGATTGGATATTAAACCAAATCTATAAAAGATAAAACTATATTACCATGTATCTTAGCAGACATACCCATAGATGTGTATATTGTATGTATGATATAGAGGGAGGCAGTAGGGAAGATAAGTGTTCACACAGGCTGCACAATTGTCATCACTTTTTTAATTTTTAAAATGTGTATGCATTTTATCAGTGGCATCATAAAGTTGTCATTGGCCCTTTTTTCATATTTAATATCTGAAGTTGGGGTGCACCATAGTGTTGATTATAGATTTGGTGAAATAAGGTAGTTACTGATTATAAGAAACATTTTTTGGAAAAGACAGTCAAGACCCCTCCTTTTCTAGGCTAGACTTCCCTGTCCTTGCGCTTTCCATTCTCCTAATTGAGTTGGCTGTCCACCTCTTTGTTTCCACTGTACTCTACAGTGTCTGTGATAGCATTGTCTTGTTGAGGCAGTGAAGCATACTGGCTCCAGAATCAGTCCATTTGTGTTTGACTTTAATTCACATTTACTGACTGTAACCTTGGATTTTGTAACTTCTGTGTGTCTCAGTTTCCTCCTCTATAAAACTGGGATAAAAAATAGTAAACTACCTCAATAAGGTCAAAGAGTTTCAATGAGTTAATTCATCTATACTTCTTAGAATAACTCCTGGTATACAGTAACTGCTTAATAGTTGTTTGCTCTTATGATTACTACTTACCATTATTTATAATTGCCATCTGTGTCCTCATTAGATTGTTAAATTACTGCCTGAAGACATTTACCATATTCCTTATTTACCATATTATTTGTAGCATCTAGCATAGCTCCTGGAATATAGTCATCTCATTGGATAACCGTGTGAAAGGCATATTTATCCACACGACACAGTTAAACAAGTGTTCAATCAAGTATCCATGCAACATATTGTAATCATTGGGGATAAAGTAGTGAATGAAGCAGAGTCTCTATCCTCACAGAGTTCTAATGAGATGATACAGCGCACAAATCAACAAATGAATATGTGAAATTCAGATGACATTGCTTGATGTAGAATGTTTCATCCTTCTTCCTTTCCTATAAGCATACCTTTCTTAGGTCACTTAGTTACTTTCTTAGGTCAGTTCCTTCCACTAAAAGGGACAGAACATATTTCCCTCACCCTTGACTTCTGGCCAGTAGACTGGAATAGAAGTGTCAGTGTGCAACTTACAAGTCTAAGCTTAAGATGTTATATGTTCCTGCTTGCCCTCTTGTGCCTTTGCCATTGTCATTGCCCCAAGTCCCAGAGTAAACCCACCAGAAGTGGAGTTGCCCCATCAAATCTGCAGGTCTACAGTGAGAAGCAGAGCTGCTGTAGAACCCCACAGCTGCCTAGCCTTGATTACCAGATCCCTGCTCACTGACTCACAGATGCATGAGAGTAAATGTTTAAGCCATTTAGTTTGGGAGTGGCCTTTTTTTCTTTCTTTTGTGGTGCTTCAGGGCATACTCCTCAAGCCACTCCACCAGCCCTATTTTGTGCTGGACTTTTTTGAGATAGAGTCTTGTGAACCGTTTGTCCAAGCTGGCGTTGAACCTCAATCTTCCTGATCTCTGCCTCCTGAGTAATTAGGAATACAGGCGTAAGCCACTGGTGCCCGGCTTGGGGGTGGGTTTTTACTATCTTTACTGAAGCAGTAGCTAACTGTAAGGGCTATGGAGAAAAGTAACAGGCAGAACCAGATGAAATTTTAACATGGGCAGGGAAGTTCTCTCTGCAAAAGTGACAAAGGATCAGAAATGCAAGATGTGAGGGAAAAAATTTATGAACATGTCCTTTACACAGAAAAAGCAGCAAATGCAGAGTGTTTCATGAGTATCAAGGAATAAAAAGTGGCTGTAAAGGCATGAAAAAGTTGAAGAAAGCAGGTAAGACATGGCAGCAGAGGAAGGGGCAGGGCGGGGTGTTGGATCATGGAGGCCTCAAGGGCCATTTTAAAGATTTAGGCTTTGATTCTTAAGTGAGCGAAGAAACTGCTGGAGTATGTTGAGCAGAGGAGTGACATAATTGGCCTTCCATTTTACCTTTTGAGTCTAAACAAGAGGATGGGGCAAGTGAAGTACCAGTTTGATGTAATGATGAAAATTCAACGTCAAGAAGTATAATCAGGTACCAGTACATCAAATAGTGAACTGAATTTGAGATTTTATTTAGTTGGATATTTACAGTAATGTAGGGAGAACAAATAATGGCGGGATGGGAAACAGAAGAGATAAGATTTACATAATTTGGTATCTCTTAAGTAGCATTAAATTAGACGGAAGTAAGGGAGAGGAAAAATCAAGGACAATTCTGGGACTTGAATCTGGATAAATGGCATCCATAGAAATAGGAAGCTTGGAGAAGGAGCTGGATTTGGAGGCTAAGGAGAAAAGACTTGAAACTTGGATGTGCTGAGTTCAAAATTTTGATACAGCACCTGGGTGTTTAGCAAAACAGTTGAAAGTTCAGGACTCAAAAGATTCTAGCACTGGGTAATTAGAACTTCTCTGCCAGGATTAACTAAATAGAATCATAATAATAATAGATGTGGTCCTGGGAGAAACCAAAATATAGAGTCTTTAGGAACATCTACTTTTAAGGGGTGGGAAGAAGTGAAAGAAACATATTACTGCAGAAAAATGAAAACCAAAGAGTTCTTTATCAGCAAACTGGGAAAGGGGAAAGTGTTTTATCATGAAGGGATTAGCTGTGTTACGTGTCATGGAAAAGGGGAGAAGAGTGAGCAATGAGATAAGTCACTGGATATACTTACTCATTAGCAAGATAATCAGACTAATTTCTGTAGTGTGATCGGGAAAGAGGAACTAGATTGTAGTGAGTAAGGTTTAAGTGTACTGTTACAAGTGGAAACAGGAGATATATGTAGTATCTGAAGAATTCTGGAAGGAAAGGAAAAGTGGACAATGGTAGTTCAGGTGTATCCAGGTTGGAAGAAGCATATATGAGGATGGTTGAACTCTTGAGCGTGCAAACAGGTAAGAAGGAACATGGGGGCAAGTGAGATTTCTTAGTGGAGCTGGGTCTTGCAGTGGAAGTGGAAACACAAACAGGTTAGAAGGAAGGAAACTTAGTTCTTGGAAAAGGAGTGAAAGAGGAGAAAGACTGCCCATCCAAAGAGGTGGTGTGGTAAAATAGAGGTCAGCTCAGGTTGAAAGTGCTAGGCCAACACAGCCAGGATGCAGACCTCTCCTGCGAAGTTGAAATTTAGAGCAGGGTTAGAACAGCTGCCACAGAGAGGCACAACATCACAAGCCTCTGTTACCATTTGTAGAAGTGGGAAAGAGGGTTCTTTCTTCCTCACAGAATGCTGGCTCTACGAGAATTAGTCAACCATGCAGTACTTGTCTTGAGGCCTAATAATAATTTTGAAAGAAAATGGAGTTCTCTATGTATAAAGGGTGTTTCAATGTCTGTGATCCTGCTTGATGACTAATAACTTTGAAGTGATCTTCTAAACCTAGAGGCAGTTAAGCACATCATTTACAATTATGATAATGACTTTAAAACAATTTACATGACAGTAGTGCTCCACAGCACTTTTCCCATTTGTAATAGAAAGTAGCTGCCATCTGCTGAACACCTATGAAAGACAGGTACAAAATACCAGATTTTATAATCATTTCTGTTTATTTTAAAAGTGTTTTCATACTGTGTAAAATATCTGTGTACACGTAAATACATGTAATTCATAAAAATACATACGTTGGTGTTGCATGTGTAACACTTTCTACTACAGATGCTCAAAGTTAAGAGATGAGTAAGATGATGATTATAAAAACAACTGGCCAATAAGTAAGGTTGTTACTGTGTGTTAAGTGCTTTATAGCAATTATCTTTCTTACTTCTCACAACCATTCAACAAAGCAGTAACTTTACAATGACTTTACTATTACCTCCATTTTTTTTTTTTACCAAGGAAGAACCTAAGGGTGTGAGAGATTAGGAAACTTGCTCAAGCCCACACAGCTAGTAAATGATGAAGAAGCTGGAGTTTACCCCTTAACTCATGTGTTTACTACTTTACATAGCAGCCTTCACATTAATATCAAACAGCTCCCCAGACTGGGTGCAGCCAGTCACTTGAGGCTGTTGCAGGTCAGTTGGTACCTGGGAATCTCCTTTTAAAAAAGAAAGGAAGAAACCTAATCGTCTCAAGTGATGCATTTGCTTCTTTCAGTTCTCAAAACACTATGAATTATTCATTATAAGCTGTTTTAGAAGAGAAAACTGAGGATAGAGCCAGTATAGAAATTCATGTCCTATGAATCTAAATATTTTTATTTTATTCTGCTCCTCTGCAGGTCTGGTGATTAACTCAACCAAAAGCTTTACTTAGGACTATTTAGGTGACTAATTCTGCCACAGTGCTTGCCAATACATTTAACTGTTACATGTATGCATATCTATATACTTTTTTGATACATAAAATATTTAAATAAATTGGTCAGATTAAAATAACAATCAACCAATCATGTTTCAGATGAAATGGTAATACTCACATTGTCAGGACTGATTAAACAGCCTACACTTTTCAAGGGACAGAATGTATCAAATTGCCCGTAAAAATGCCCACTGCAGGGATTCCATATTAAATAATGATTTTTTTCCCAAGTTAGCACATAGGCAGTTGGACCCTGAAGAGAAATAGTCATTGAAAACAGTATCCAATTAGTTATGCAATTAAAGCCAGTAGTATTTGCCTAAACAATTCAGTATTTTAGTTGGACGTCTTACTTATAAAATCTCATAGTTAATGTGGAAAATTAGTATGAGCATTCATTTATTCAGGAGTTATTTCACTTGATGCTTACAATAGCTTTGGAGTTGGGAAGTGACTTGCTTAGGGTCTCATGGCTACTGAGGAGTGGACACAGAAGACTGAACAAATACCTATGACTTCCTTGCCCCATCTTTTCCTTACATCAGGCAGCAAATCATGCTATCTAATTCTAAGAATTCTTAGAGCGTCATACCCTCTTTGAAACTTTCTTTGGACAAACTGCTATCCATGTGAATTTCCTAGCCTTGTATCCATGATTAACTCATAGTGCCCCAAATGTGGAGATATTGCTGTATACTGGGAAATAAGATTCTGACAGTTACTAAGTCTATAATTCAATAAAAATAGCAATATAGTATGAAAACACAGCTGCCAACACTCTTTTCTTTCTTCCTGTTTTTATCTGGCTTGCTCCCCTTTGCCTCCCAGGTCAATAGTAGACATTGGTAGAAGTAGTAGACATGTAAGAAGAGATCGCTAGCCTTACCACATCTCTGAATCCCCTTCACTCTTTAGGATGAAGAACCTTAGGTCACCAAGGAAATCAGAGTGCTTGGGAACATGAATGTGGTAAGACTCATACTGAAAAGACAGAGCTAAACAGACCTTTGTGTGGTAAAGGGTTCAGGTTTTCCAAGAAACAATCCAAAATACTGTGTAACCCTGAGTATCTCATTAAACCACTTCATGTCGTGTATATTTTTGTCTGCTTGTCACAGCATCTCTAGACCATTTCCTAGTAATTCAGAGGCTGTAATGAGAACATCCTGTCCATGATCTGGGTTAGACAACCCCACACTCCTCTGTGAAAGCCAGACATGTGGTCTTACCTCAGGAATAGCACTGCCCATCACCAACCAGGCTTTCTTACCCAGGGACAGAAAATAATTACATAACAATACTGCATGCTCTTCTTCATCTCCTGCCAGGAGATCAAGAAATTGCTGACAAAAAAAAAAAAATGTTGTATTGATTGGCTGCTTCAATCTGGATTTGCCATGCAAGATTTTTATGAGTCAGTTGAGATTAGTGCCTTAAAGTATAATACCTATTTTTCAAGTCTTTTCCCACATTTCAATACTATGCTGATAATTTTTGATGTGTTTTCTCTTACACTGATGATGATGTCGATTTGTAAAATCAATAATCAGTATAAGAGTGGAGTGTGGGAGACAAATTTCTAAAGTTTAGTTTTCATTTTGAATGTGTATGTGGTAACTTACTATGTGCTAAGCATTCTTTAAAGAACATTTAACCCTAGAACAGCTTTTTGAGGGAACTCTTATATGCCCGTTTTACAGATGCAGAGGTGGAGGCACAGACCAATAAAGCAGTACCTAGGAAGTGGTAAAGCCATTCTAGCTCTACAGTACCTGAGCTATTCTCTTCTTCATGTGTTCCTATAGATCCCTCAAGGTTATAGAAATTGCATCTCTAAAGTTGTTAACATTTATGTTGCCAAAATATATTGAAGAACCAAAAATATAAAGCTCACATAAATTTCTTCAGTTTAGGACTATCCTTTAATGGAAGTTGTATAATATTGATAAATTTTATGCAAATACCGTATCACCTGAGATCCAGAAGTAGAATTAATACCTGTGATAATATATGCTTGTTTCATACTACCTAAGATCCATATGAAAATTTATGTATACCATAAAGTAAGTGTAAATTCCCTAAGAGTGGCTTGTTTATTTTTTTCATAGCAAGGACTTACGCCAGTGCCTGGTATGTGGTAGGTAATGAGAAATATGTACTGAATAAATGGTGGTAAGACATGCCTGCCTTAAGAAGCCTACAAATAAGGTATATACAATTGATTAATGAAATTTTGATTTTTATGAACATAACTGGGATACTATTAAGGATAATTCAGCATCAAGATATCTGAAGTGTTCTTTTTGTACTCTGTTTTTAATTTTTTATATTTTATACTTTGTGTAATAAAGAATGCTTTTTTTTTTTTTTTCAGTTCTGGGGATGGAACCCATGGCCTTACATGTTCTAGGCAAGTGCTTACCACTGAGCTACCTCCCCAGCCATTAATTTTTTTTTAACTTATGAAATTTTGAAAAATTGAACCAGGAAGAAAAAATATTTCAGAATTTAGCTCATTCTGCTAAACAGATGGCCATGTAGAATCTATGATGACTAATTGAATGTTACAGTTTAAAATTACACAAGCTACTTAGCTAATAATCAGTTAAGTCAGCTTAGGTCAGTAAATCTGAGAGGAAGGACTTACATCAGATGTGCTCCACAGGTCACAGATACCAGTAAACGAAACAGTATCAGGCAAGAAAGGAATCAAGGACACGTATCGAGCCACCAGTTCCTGTGTAAACAAAATTAGCTTAAAAAAGAATTTCTAATGAAATAGAAAGCTGTATCCCTTACCTCATTTCTCAGAACAAAATCAGTTTCATATTACTACATTTATGTTTACAAAATGAAACTAATGCTCACAACATTCTTACTAAGTGTTTTGTTAACATTATCTTCCTTGTTCCTCACCAAAGACCCTCTGCAAAGATGATTGCAGTTATCTATCTTTTACAAAGAAACTGACTCTGGTGTCCCTTTCAACTCTCCTTATCTTTTCTCTTTCCTCCTCCTTTCTTTCTTTTTGTACTTTTTTATTTTCTGGTATAACAAACTTTACAGGGTCATTTTGTATTTTCCTTCCTTAGCTCAGTCCTGAAAGGACTTGTGGTTCATTTTAAAGGGGAATAGATAGGACTGAGGAATCAAGACCGGACATCAATGTAGTTATATCTCACAATTCTTTAATTTCTAAGGAGTTACTCATTTCTTTTTTCTTCTTTGGCAGTACTGGGGTTTGAATTCAGGGGCTCATGTTTGCTAGGCAGATGCTCTGCCACTTGAGCCATTCTGCCAGTGAGGTTGCTCACTTCTTATGTTTATCAGCCTTGCATATTTCTACTTCTCCAAGTTCCCATGTTAGAATTTGCACATTTAACTTCCTTACTGATTTGTAAGAGGATTTTATTTCTTTTAAGTATATTCTGATGGAGCACCTGGCTACCTCAGTCAGTAGAGCCTGAGACTCTTGAATACATTCTGGTGATTATTCCTGTTTGTTGTATATACTCTCTCCTGATTTGTAATTTGTTTTTCCATTTTCTTTCTGGTGTCTTTTGATAGGGTAAACTCAAGTTCTCAATTTTGATGTGGTCAGTTTGTGCTTTTTATTGTCTTGCTTAAGAAATTCTTTCTATATTGGACCATAAACATAAAAATGCCTTTTGCATTTAAGTCCTCAGTCTTTGTGCATTTGAGTAGGTGTTAATATATGTTCATTTATTTTCCCATATGAAAACCAGGGGTTGGGCTGGTGGAATGACTCAAGTGCTAAGAGTGTCTGCCTAGCAAGCATGAAGTCCTGAGTTCAAACCCCAGTGCTGACAAAAAAAAAGAAAGAAAGAAAAGGAAAACCAGTGGTCTCAGTACAAGTCAGGTAATAGGCAGCCTTCTCTTTACTAATCTCCAGTCTTTGTCATGTGTCAGGTTTCCATGTTTGCATGGATCATTCGGAGTTTTATATTCTCTTCCATCTTTTTCTGTTAGCTCTGTGTCAATACCATTTGGCCCTGAATACTCTGGTCACATAGTTAATCTGCATGTGTGGTATGGCAAGTCTTCCCTTTGGTTCTTACTATCTAGAACTGCTTTGACTAGTTCTAGCCCTTTATAATCCTATGTAAATATTAGATTCCACTAAAAACTTGAAAAATCTACTTTGACAGTGGTTTCTAATAGGACAGTTTGGTCTTTATTCTTTAACTGTGATTATTGTAAATATTTAGACTATTTCTTTCATCTTACTCTATACTTTTTACTTTTTGCACTTTTCTATTACTCCTTTTCTTCCCCATTCTCTTCACTCTGTTTCATCATTTTTTTCTGCTAATTGAGAAATTATATTTAATATTTTCATTCTTTTAAATGGTTCACCCAGAATTTCCAATATTCATATTTAAATAAAACTCTAAGGTGAGTATCTTTGCTCCCTTCCTGGAAAGCACATTTAAAATACTTTTGCCCATCTGTCATACATATGTTCATTTTTCATGACTTTTCTATCTTGATTTTCCACCCACATCACTGTTATTAGTGCTATTAAGACAATAGTGCTCGTTTCGATTTACCCACAGGTTTCCCCTTTTTTTTTTTTTTACCTAGCAATATGTGCTATTAGGATTTTCCTCTGAAAGCCTTCCTTTTCTTTGAAGTACAATGTATCTTTTAGCAATTTCTTTACAATAGTCTTCCGGTTGTGAATTCCCCCAACATTTGTGTGAAAGATAAGTTCTACTGCTATAAACTACTAATTCTTTGAGCCTTTTGAAGATGCTCCTTCTCTGGCTTTGATTTGTGTAGATGACAAGTGTGTTGGTCTGATCATTCTTCTTTTGTAGTCCCTTATAGTATGCCTAGATGTTGATTTCTTTGTATTTATCTTGCATAAGATTCATTTGGCTTCCTAAATCAGAGGGTTATTGTCTTACATGAAATCTTGGAAATTCTCAGCTTAGTCTCTTTGAATATTGCCTTTCTTCATTTATACATAATTTGGACTTCCTTGCTGTATCTTCCATGCCTCTTTACCCTTCCTTCATTCTTCCCTTTTATTTTTTGTCTCTGTGTGCATTCCAAGTAATTTCTTCACATGTATATTCCAGTTCACTAATTTTCTCTGCATCTAAGTGTACATAATTTAACTCGTGTTTAACTATTTAATGTTTTATTAAACCTGTTTGCTTAATTTCTAATTACAAATATTATGTTATATGAATGCAGATTCCATTTGGTACTTAAAGAACCTGTTAATTTTGACAGTAGATAATTCCATTATACTTTATTTCCCTGATCTTTAAACTTATTAAACATACCTGTTTTGTATTCTGTACCTGATCATTCTAATATTTACAGTCTTTGTGGCCAGATTCTGCAGTTACTTCTGCTTTCTTGTTTCTTGTCTGATATTTTTCTTTTCACTTCTATTTTAGCCATGATTTTTAAAAAATTTAAATATTTTATTTATCACTCAAATTGTTGTCTACTAGGACAAGTGTTCTGCACATCTGCTATGCTACGTAGAGTAGAAGCACCCATTATGGGCACTAGGGATGTTGCTCAGTGGTATAATACTTGCCCATCTTGAGTGACGCCTAGATTCAGTCCCAAGCACAACCTATACATACACATAAAAAGTTCCTGTTTGATTTTCTATAGGGATTAATTTTATTTAAAAAAATTTTTTGTCATTCTAGCTAGTTTGATATAAAGATAGCTACACAGGGAGTTTCCTTGTGATATTTCCAGGTATGTAAGTATTATAACCCCAGTTGGTTTATCTCCTCCAATTTTCTTCATTCTTGGTCCTTTTCTTATGATAGTTTCAGTTGGTTTAAGATTTCGATATTCATTCTTGTATAGAGAGTATATCAACCCTATTCAAGTTCTTAGTTTCCCTACTTCTCCCAAGTGTGACATCCCCTAGTTATGACCAGTGTTTCATAATATTGTTGCATTTGTGTTAGATCTATATGGGAATTAATTTTAAAATATAAGCAAAATGTAGAACATGGGATTTTAAAATAACGTGTCTATATCCCCCAAACCCCATCTTATTTCTAAATCATATATTAATAACTTAGCAATAATTGCTCCCTATACTATCCACACTCCAAAAACAGTTATGGGTTGTAAGCATTCACTTACAAATGACATGCTTAGCATAGGGCTCCTGGTTTATGCAAGTGTGTGGTCAGTGGATGGTACATACTTAATGGCCCAGTGGGTGTACTTTGGGATAATGGCCTAAATGCTGAAAATTCTGAAATTGTTGAAATAATTTTTTTCTTAGCTTGGATTTAATGATGCTTATGGCATTGAGCATAATACTGAGTATTACTATTATTTATTTATTATTATTATTATTTATTTTGGTGTGAGAAAGTGCATGAGTTCTGAAGTTAGGGGCCTCGGTTCAAATCCTAGCACAGTATAGAGAATACATAATAAAAACATGTTTCTGTATGTTAAGATTTTAACACGTAATATAATGTCAGGGACACAGTAAGCACTCAATAATTATTCATTAAAAAAATATTCAGGTATCTGGTACCATCAGACTTTTCTAAAGAAAACAAGCCTCATGGCAATAAAAACTTTTTGATCATTACTTTCATCACTAATGATCTTGATATAGTTAATATCTAAGTACTAAGAAATATGGCACAGTGGCAGAATGTTGAAATCTTGGCTATACAATGCCTACAGCACTGATTGGCTATGAAATACTTACTGCAGTTGCCTGTGGATTGTTGGGGCAGACATCAAGGAGCTCCTGTGGAGGGTTTAAAGGTTTGAGGTAACGTGTAATAAAAACAGTTTTCCCACTTATGTCAGTTACTGTTGCAAGGCACTGACGATTTGGAAACTTTAAGGCACATTCAGCTTGAAACTTCTCTGTTGCTTGAAGGAGTTTCTCATCTTCCTGAGAATCAAACTTCAAAAAGAAACACCCATGGAGTTTACAGGATTATAGGAGACACAATAGCACATTTTCATATTTCACAGTCAACATGAAATAATGTATGGTTTGGGAAGTACCATCAAACAAGTTCTTTACAAAACCATTAGATTTTGGTGTTCTGCAACTTTGTTAAGTTGTATTTATAATGTAAGAATTGGATTTATTTATTAAATGCTTAAAATATATTCAACAACACTGAAAGTAGTGAACAGGCAAGCTGACATGTGGAAGCTATTGGATTAATAAGACAATCTATAAAAGTTAAATAATGAGATGCTAATTCTTTTCTCAAGGAATAGAGTTTTATGTATATTTTCATGTTGGCTTTAGAAGGGAGTAAGACCCAGAAATCCAACATCTCAAATGTGAAATGTCTGTGTCACAGATTACTAGGGTAGAACTCTCAAGTCAGAAATAATTGTAATTTTAGAAAGATGGAAAATTATGAAATAAGCATGGTATGAAAAACACTCAGTTGAATTTATCCCCGTACTTTTAAACTCATTCATTTCCTCACTTATCCAATTATTTGAAAAGAGTTTGCTGAAATTGTAAAAAAAACTCTGGATAAAGGAATAAGAAACAATCAAAGATCCCTCAAGGAACTTCTAGTCTAGAGGGGAACATTAAGCAACCAGATACTTGGATGCTACAGGGATCAGCATGGGGTGCTTTGGGGGAATCTGAGAAGGCATCTACAGCCACTATCCAGGAAGAATGAGAGTGTGTATCTTGACTATATAGCACATGTTGGGGGCAGGACCTGGGTCTGTATGTGGTCCTTCCTGGCAACTAGCATGCACATGCTAAGTTCTTAATAAGTACTAACAGTAATTAGTATTCATTTAGGTAGCCAGGATGCCATTTCATGGAGTGAAACAGGTAGTTAAAGAGAAGTGATCTAAGAAATGCCAAGTTAAAGCTAAATACTAAAAGAATTTGGGTGGTTTATTATGAAACACATTTAGATGGAACTGACAAATTCGTTTTGGTTTAACATGAAATATAGAAGATTCTTAACTTGTTCAGTTCTTTGTCCTCTAGGTTAATGTAAACATTTACAGAAAACTAAATGAGTTTATCCTGCCCTTGATAGCCACACTGTGATAACCCCAACCCACCAGAAATAATTGTCAGAGCTACACTACATCTCTGTAGAAAGGCAGCTCACAGAGCTGTTTTTTGACTCAATGCTAAGTCTTTGACAGATGAAGTGTGCCAAAGCCTTTTTTTTTTTCCTCCCTGGGTGCTAGGGATTGAATCCAGGGCTTTGTGCATGCAAAGCACACACGTTACCATTTAGCCACACCCCCAGCCCGTAGGTTGATATTCTTGGAACTTCAGGCAGTTATAGTTTATTCCCCTGGATCACTTGTACATCAGGACCCAGCACCTGTCTCCCTGGGGGTAGGGGGAAGTATACAAAAGCAGCTTAAAGCCTAGTACCTATTGACTGATGAACTGTGAAACAAAATAACTTAGACTTTCTTTAGTGTGTCACTGATCTACTGTAAGCAAGAATGAAAAAAATGAAATGAAAGGAAGACTTAATTAAAAAATAATGTATTTTTAAAAAAACTTGTTTTAAACCAAAACAATATAAAGATAAGGACGTTAAAATAAATATTTCAGGAGTTGCTACTGAGTTTTAAAACTTCTCCATTAGTAAATATCTTTTTAAAATCATGGAATAGGATGGTGGCAGAGGAACAACTCTAACCTGGCAATCCTGGAAGTGGCTCTTAGTGGAAAAACAACTCCAGGCTGTGGTCCCTGTTATTCTGGGGTGAGAGTTTTTCTTTCCTAAACAGTCTGCTGGTGGATTGCAGAGCAATGGGTTTTGCCACTGTGTCTTTAGAATGTGGACTCGTGTCAGTCAACATGCCTTTCTCATCAAACAGCCAGACCAAAAGAAAGCCCTCCTTTCAGAGGTCTAAGACAAATGTTTCCTACGGCCACAACGGAGCAGTGAGATGTCACCAAAGGCAGCAGCTGGCTGCCTGCTTGACAACTTAGGGAGGGAAGGCTGCAGGACTGAGAATTATGTTCCAGGCCCTGGAGGCCTCTCCAAGGTCCTGCAGTGGGAAGTCAGCTGGGAAAGGACGCCCGAGGCAGGAGTCTTGGGTTTTCACCCTTCCTGCCAGTCACAGTCACAGACTGCTTTCATGTTTTGGAAGCTGTCCTCTAGTTGACTGCCTTTTCTTTTGTCAAGAATTCAAAGGAATAACAAAATCATCTCTGTCTGAGAGCATTTTTCCTTTTCTTTTTCTGGACTGGGTCTCACTATATAGCCCAGGCTGGTCTTGAACTCTCAATGCTCATTCCTGCTTCAGTCTGAGAGCATTTTTCTGTGTGATTTTGCTTATTGTTTTTCTCTTGAGCTTACACATTAAGACAAATACTCAGAATATGTATTTCCCTTTCTGAAAATGCCTTGAAATACATATATTCTAATGCATTTTCTTAAAAAGCTCAGCTTTATTGACAAAGCCTAACATCTAAAATTAGTTTCAATTTTTGCACATTGTTTTCCAGTAATCCTTCATGTCTGTAAATGCCTTGCAAATGGGATATAAAAATAGTATTTTTCTCTGTAAGCCAAATTGTAATGGAAAAGAAACGGAAGCAGGATCATTTTTTCATCTGCATACGAGTCTTAATTATACCCGAAAACAAAAAAGTCAGCACAGTAATTTGACATTTAACAACTTACTCTTACCCGTGAATGTAACCTTGGTGGGATTTCCACTTGCATTTCTAAGCTGCCCTACTCCGGTGCCTAAAAAAAATGCCTCTTACATATTGGATACTCAGTAATATGTGTTGAATGTATACAATGTAGAGTTAGATGTATGACAGTACCTGTCATACTGCCTGTGTGACAGTGGATAAACAGAGCCTTACTTTCCCCATCTGTAGGATGGAGACCCACTGCCCAGTTCATCTGTGAGTATTAAAGGAGAGAACATCCATCCAATGTCTGACAGTGCTGGGGACAAATTAAGGACTCTAACATGGGGCTGGCTGTTGTTCTTACTGTATTAATGTACATACGAGTAAGAGGTCACAATTCCATACTTTCTCTTGAGTTCAATGAGGGCAGAATGCATACATGCTGCACAAATATTTTACATTCAGAAAGTTATTTCCCAATGATGGAGGCTAGGGAACACTTGCTAACAAATGGAAGTTTTAGAAACTGCTTTCTGGAGCTGTTTAAAATAGTATTTGTGCATGTATTTGTTTATTCTATAAAATGAATTGTGGTGACCCATGAAGGCCATCTGGTTTTATGATCTTAAGAACTGAATCAATGTGGAGCTCAGCTAAGGATGTGAAGTCAGACATGGAAACCCAATTGTACATGCTTGCCAATAAGTGTCAAATAAAAGAGCAATCTGATTTTCTCATTTGTCGTATTTCGTTTTCTTTATATTGAGAAAATTCATCTAAAAGCAGAACATGTTTAGATTTGTCTTGCTTTGCCAAAAAGTAAGTTGCTGATTGGCCTGTTGGCTCAGTGAACGTACAAAAGCACACATTTGTTCTGTCATCATTATTCTGCCCTAGCTGAAAGAGTAATGAATGGACACTGAAGAGAACCTCTGGTTTTACAGTGCCACCAACATTTATAAAAACTTAGCCTGCAAGCAGTTCTCACGTCTCATCGGCATCACATGTGGGTTTCCAAATTGTACGCAGTTATAACACAGTTACCTTTTCTCGAACTGACTCTCCAGGAACCAGTTGAGGCTCAATGGTAATAAACAGGGTGAGGTAGGAGCCTTCACTCAAGCTTCGGACAGAATCATAGCCTCGTTCCATGACCATGTTTCGCTCCTTACTATAGCCCAGGAGAACTGGGGGGATATCTACCTTAAATGTTCCATCAATCTGTAAAGAAAATATGACTTGGTAAACGTTTTGGTGATTTTCGAATGCAAGTCCAAAGGCAAGTGTCAATACCTTGCTATGTAGTTAATGTATTAAATAAAATTGCTAAGATGGTAATCAAACCCCATGCCAGGCTCATCTGCCATAAGTGCTTACCAGGAAGGGCTGTATATTTCCCTGCCTTCTTTTCTTTGTTTAGCAGAGGATGTATTGATTGGGCAAGTTACCTGGGTTCAAATTCTGGTTTCAACTCCAAATACCTCAGCTTCTTCATTTGTAAAAAGGAGAAAACAATAGGACCTACTTTGTAGGCCTGTTATGAGTACTGAATGAATTAAGATGTAAAACACTAAGAATGGTCTCTGGTGTATGGTAAGTGCTCAGTAATTATTGGCTGATAGTCTTTTCTTTTTTCTGGAATGTAAAGCTGTTTTTCTCTATGTTGCAGAATTTCAATAATTCAAGGCTTAGGTCTAATGTCAATTCCTCCGTGAATTATTTTACTGTATCTCCACCTACACATATTTCATTTGTTATATTAGCACATTCTGTTTGGCTTTAGAGCTGTGTCTATTTGTCCTACTTTTCTAGATAATTGCCCACTTGTAAACAGAATCTTTACCTCCTTTTGTACTGTCTTCCTCTGACATATAGCAGTGTTTCTTATATACAGTGGGTGCTCAGTAAACATGGACTGAATGGATGACAAGCCACTCATAAAAGCACAAACTTATGTAGAAGCTTTTCAACTTATGTTAAAAAAAGGCAGAATTTTTTTACTCTTGTAAAGTCAAAACAATTTATTAAGACTTTAATACTGTAAGACTATTCATGGCTAGAATTTGAAATTCACACATTTCAGAGAATCTCATTTTTGTTTCAGTCTGTAATGCATTCATGTCTCAGAAGAAATAAAGAAGTTAGACTGTCAGTGAATATGCCTTCTAGGGATTAATTACATAAGCTGCCATTTGTTGTTCTCCTTATATTGAATGAGTTCACCAAAGTCTGTACCCAGTTGGATGATAAGAGTACAAGAAAAAAGAGTATAAACAATAACACAAAAAGTACAGCTGAAATAACACATTTATTCTGTAAAATAGGTAGATGATACAGAAGGAATGTGCACTAGCTTCAAATATTTGGATCAGAAGGATTTAAGCCAGAGTTTCTGAACCTGAGTGTGCTTGGTATTTGGGACCAGGTCATCTTTGTTTTGTAGGGTGGTTCTGTGCATCACAGGATGTTTGGCAACATAGATGCCGGTAGCAACCCCTACTAGTGACAGCCAAAACTGTGTCCAGTAATGGGTATAACTAAGAGCATGGGCTTTGGAGTTAGACAAAACTTTACATGACAAATGAAATGAAGTCATCCTCCAAAGGTATATTGAAACATATAAAACAAAATAATTGAATAGTTCTCTCTGCTTTTACCAATCCTATTCCCCAAGGATAAGCAATGTTACCATTGGAAATTGGTAAAAGTTAAATCCCAACTGTGCCATATAAACTTTCTGATTCGCATAAATTACTTAATCTCTCTAGACTTCTATTTTGTTCTCTTTAAACATGGGAGTAATGAGGTCAGTTGTGTTGTTGTAAGATTTAATCAAGGTGACATGTAAACAACCTAGTAATGGTATGTAATATGCACCCTATATAGAATTACTGTTGTGATTACTGAGTCAGGATTCTGCTTTTAAAGTAGTTCCAGAGAACTGAACCAGGGTTTAGGGATGGGATTTACAGGGAAGTCCATAGATTATGGCATTGTTCAAAGATGAACTTTATAATAGAGTTAGTGGGAAGAGGACAAACTGCCTCATAAGGTAGTGAGTTCCTGATAGATGAGCTCTTGGAGCACAGATATTGCCAGAGTATAGAAAAGGAAGGTTAATTATCAGGGAGTTGGGAGTAATTTTTTCTGAGTACCCTTCCAAGTGTAAAATTCAGCAATGCTAAACATTACAAGCAGTTTGATTTATAAAGTGACATGCTCTTTAATTTTTTTCTCTTAAAATCTATTCCAAGGGGAAATGTAAATTCTTTTGGTGAGCACATCACTGTGCACATAGCCTGTAGACTCCTTTTTCTAGGGAGGATTGCAATTATTGTTGACCCTTGAGATTCCAACCAACCCAAGCCTTTTAGGCTGGAGTTTTGGTGTTCATCTTGATCGAGACTGTAGCCTACACATCATTTGCTCGGTGTAGTCATCACAGGACCACAGGCTCCTGTTGCCAGGATTTAGTACTGGGATGGTAAAAAGATTTAGAACCTCTAACTGTCCCAGATTAGAGCTCATTAAGCCTTCCAGCCTTGTTAACCTTGCGGATCCCCTCAAGCAACGTCATGAACTCGGAAGAAGAGTGTCTTTGTCAAGTATATCTGTGGTCATAATTTTTGGTGTTCTAGTGTGTACTTTCAGGAATATTAATAGAATGCACTTGATTAAATGGGCCATCAGCTATCCTGATTGTCGTCTTCAAGTTATTTTCAGGCATCTATCCACTCTACTTACGTCATTTTGACAAATTTCCATGTTGTTCCACCTTCTTCACTTCTATTTAAATGTTTAAAAATTCTCAGATTTGGACAGTCATACATTAACTGTTAACTCCAATGAATGTAGCTGTTTAATAAGTCATGCAAGTATGATGTAAGATCAATGACTTTATATTATAGTGATTTTTATCTTTCCAAGGGCTTTGCACTTATATTCTCTCAGTGTTGAGAGTTTAACAGTAAAAAAAAAGGATAGAGTTGTCCCCCATTCACATGGAATCTGACTCTAGATACTTACCCTTGCTTGGAAATATATAGTTCTAAATGGAATTTTCACACGTCCCAACCAGTGTCTCTCAATACGGGTATGAATTCCACTTCCTCTTTCCCGGTCATCCTAGAGAAAGTGTGAGAAGAAATACTTGTTTAAGCACTCAGACACTTAGTATCTCTGTGATCCTAGGAAAGTCATTTAACTTCTCTGAACTTCAGTTTTCTAATCAATCAACTGGACATTTTGCACTCTACTTTGCAGGGTTACTTTAGAATTAAATAAGACAATATCTGGAGGCAGCTAGTGCAATTCCTGGGACAGAGCAAGTGAAAGTAAAAGTCAGTTCTCTTCCAACTTCACCTTCCACCATGTATACAGACCAAGTTTCAAACATTTCAAACACAAGAAAGAAGGAATATGTGCTTGGGTCTTACATAGTGGGAAGAGGATATGAAAATGAATATAGGGGTCAGATGTCTTCCTTAGAACTGAGACCTTACCTCTAAGATATCACACAGTACTTCATCAAAAATGTTAATGTACACGTCATCTTTCACTGACTGTAAACTGGCTGTACTGTAATCTCCATTAGGGGCCCTGTGAAATAATGCACGACTGTGAAAACAGGCAAAACAAATTATGAGCACTCAAATGTCAACATTTGAAAATACCCAAGTAGGAGCACAGCTGTGAGGGTTAAGAGCTCTGTTTTCCTTGCAGGGGTTTGTCTTACACAGGATTCATACTGTGATGCAGCACCTGCATGTCAATGGAGAGAGCAATGAACTGTGTGCTCTGTGCAGATACCAACTTCTGGTAGCTTGTGCTGCTGCTGAGTTTTGTATTCCCTCCAACTCCATGGTACTTGCAAGGAGCCAGCTTGCCAAGACCTAGCTGGCTCTGCAGACAGCTACAAGGTCTCCAGCTAACATGAGAGTTAATTACAGACATTCTAAGTACCCAGGTTCTAAAGGGATCGTTGCCAGTCATATCCTTCCTATTGTTCTAAGGCTGGTTGAATGATCCCTGCTGCCCACTCACTTTCCCATATACAAGGAAAGCAACACAGGGTGAGATTCCTTTCCTGTGTTTTGACCCACCTGGGACCCAGCCAAGACTTCCTAAGCGTACCAGGCTGGTGCCTGGGGTGCCACATGAATTAAACATGTGCCTTTACATTTTCTTATTCTTTTTGATTGTTTTATATAATAGTATTGACTGGCCCCTCTTCTGACTTAACTAGTTCTAATCACTGCTCTGTTTTTAATTTACTATGCAGCTTTAAGTAAGTCACCTTCCTTCTAAGTGTTTTAATTTCTGTAGATAAGTTCACTTCAAGTACTAAACTAATAAAAATCTTTTAAATATCTGAAATCTTTTGACCATAGTTCTGGAATACTTGTGTATTTCTGATGAGGGAGAAAAGATCATTTATAGAAACCAGTGAGTTTCAAATTTGCTTAAGGACAGGACATGAGAAAAAAGTGAAAAGTCAGTGAAAGGTGAAGGTCAATGGCTTTGAGGAAATTGTTGGAAAATTTGGGAAATATGAAGCCAGAGCCTCAAGGAAAGTAGGGAATCCCAAAAGTGACCTCAGGTTTCAAAATTGACATCTTTTCATTTTTATTCTTGAACAGAGTCATCTTGGGCCCAAGAGGAAAAACATGGGGCTTGGTGTCAGGATACCTGGTTCTTGTTCAGGTTCACCAGTTATAAACCTTTCACCTTAGCTATTTCTCACTGAACCTCTCTTTCCTTCACACTTCCTTAAGATCCTATAGTTCTTTAAAGGGGCTCATTCCTGTAATCCTAGCAACTTGGGAGGCTGAGGTCAGGAGGATCGCGGGTTGAGGCCAGCCTAGGCAAATACTTTGCAAACTCCATCCCGAAAGTAACCAGAGAAAAATGGACTGGAGGTGTGACTCAAGTGGTAGAGCTCCTGCTTTGCAAGTGCAAAGCCCTGAGTTCAAACCCCAGTCCCACCAAAAAATAAAAAATAAATAAAGGAAAATATATGCTTACCTAAATGGAAGTTCAAGTTCTTCATTCCAGCTAGGATTTGGTCCTTCAGCTGTAGTTGTGTGGCAAATTGTTCGTTGAAAAGAAACTTCTACAAAAGGACGTACTGAAACCTTAAAGTCAAGAACAAATCCTGAGTTCATAATCATTGGTTGAATTATTTTGTTCTTTGCAGAAGTAGAATATTCTTACTAAGTACTTTGTTACCAAAAGAAATGAGCAGAAAGCAAGACTGTCCAGAAGTTGACAGGCAAGTCTTTAGAACATATGGAGCAAGATCCAATGCTAAATTCCAGCCTCTGGTCTCTCACCTGGCCTAGGGGGTAGTCAGTGCTATGCGTTGGGCTGTGTGTGCTGGGAGATGCAGCATGTTTTTCACTGAAAGTCCTTGAAGACCTTGATGGCTGCTGGAATTTGCTAGGAGGGAAAATGAAAATGTATGAAAGAAGTAAATGATTGGGAAAGTCTGTGAAAAGATGGTTTCCTTCAAAGATGTGGCTGTAGTGACTGCCATTCTCCATTTGCTTGTTGACATTTCAGAAGGCTTTTAGCATGCTCTGGTCCTCCTCACTTACCTAGTGATTGGCAGCCCCTTCCCAGCTTACATTCCCAGGCCTACATGTCTGTCTGAGAATAGAGGAAAAAGTCTCCTCGTTCCTTCACTCCCAGGGAGTGCCTAAGCTGGGGACCCGTCTTTCCTTCTGTCAATGTCAGCCTCAGTCCCTCTTCTGTCCTCTCCAGTGACCCTGGCTACTTACCCCAGGCAGGACATCTCTTTCTGGGCCTGTCAAGCCTCACAGGGAAGGGAAACTCCTAGCTCGAATTAGGATCAATGGGTCTTACCCCTTCTCTTTTCTAAGCTAATATTTTAAAGGAACAAATGAAAGTTATCTCTTGAGAGCCTTTTCTAGATACCTTCCCCCCTCACCCTACCCACTCACTTGCATATTTGTGTTGAATTGTATAGTTTGCCAAATATTTTGTACATGATACTAGGCAAAGTAACAAGTTGTCTCTTTCTATTAGACTCATCTTTTTACAGCTGAGGTTTCAAGCAAACTATGAGACAACATAAGTGGAACAATGAACACAACAGCCACCAGAGAAAACTTTTCTTTTTTGGAAAACCATCAATTACTTTATCACACAAACATGACTTTAATACCTATTAGACTTTGATCTTAAAATGAATAGGACAACACTTCAGATTAGATGAAACTGGCAGGCAGATACAAACAAATAATCTCAATAAAGTGAGATATGTGTTAGTCTACAGGGATAGACTTGGGCTGTAAAAGCCCAGAGGTAGAGATTAAAAGTTCTGTTTGGTTGGGTGCAGGTGTAGAGGGAATCAGATTTTGCTTAAGGAAAAGCTGATGTCTGAGCTGTTCTTGATGTATTTACATTGGAATGTGTAGCATGAAGGATCAAAGATGCTTCCTTGAATTATTTAAGTGAAACAGTTTAACATTTACAAATGTTCTATGGAGACCAAAAATAAAAAGGTACACCTTTATGTTCTTCAAAAAAAAACCAACCAGCTTTTCATCCTAAAATTGAGCTTTGAGGCAACCAGGGTGGAAATACAGGCAGTGCCATGGCACAGATTCCAGGAAGGGGCTTAAGCAAGCACTTAAAAGTAGCAAAGTGTTGAGAATAGTTGAAACTGATGAATGTTCTGTGATAGGTCAAAGAGTCAATAAAGAAAAATAGGACAAAATAATGGGGTGAGAAGGCAGAGGAATGGAAATAAAGGCGAAAAACCTAGAGAGGAAAGATGCCAAAGGCTTGCATGGCACTTTGGATTCAGATAGTGCTGAATGACCTTGACCAAGCCGCTTGCACCCTCTTTCCTTCTACTTTTCTTTGGTAAAATGTATATGGTAAATATGCAAATGTGCCTACCATTGTACATGGTAAATGTACAACAAATTCCACTTTCTTTTATTACACCGGTAAGGGTACCAGCACAAAGAACTTTCACTTCTTGGTCCTTCTGTCTCTGTTCTCTAAAGGCATAAGAAACTAAGATTCATCTCAATTGTGTTAAAGGCTTTGCATTGCCCCCAGTATAGTGAGCCATGATGGTCAGCTCATTTCTCTGAACAGATAAGAGGGAAGAACCATGGAGACACCTCTTGTGTATCTTCCCAGCTCATGCCCTCTTCTTTGATGCTGCATCAACACCTGACCCCAGTTAACACCTTCAGCTTCTCTTCTGAGAAGGCGATGCTTAGTTAGTGGTGTCCTGGCTATATAGACCATTTTTCTATCACATGAGAAAAATGAAGCAAACGGGAAGGAAAACAATTTTAGTCACTGCAGTCTTCTGTGTAGTTCAGCTGTATCTCTTGTCTTTGAGTTCTATGAGATCGTCCCAATACCGCTTCTCTTTTGGCTGAATTTACTGAATTCACTCTGTTATTTACAAACAATAGGGCATTTGCTTGAACAAGAACTTCCAGGTCCCATGCATAAAATTATGTTAAGAATGAGAGTGACTTGACTGTGATGCTGCATATGCCATCCCCAAGCTGTACAGAAAGCTCTCACCTTGCTGTTGGCTTCCTCACTGGAATATCATAAGCTCGGATGATGTTCACCAGCAGTTTTATGTCTCCATCAGACAGGTTTTGGGCTGTCACCTTCTTCCGACCTTTTCTCCTTGGCCTCAGTGGTCGCTTTTGTTCTGCCAGCTTGAAAAGGCTTAGGCCCAAGATGCTAATGATTGCAGAACAGGATTAGGACTCAGTGGAAGATAAAGGTCCAGAAAAATTACAAGATGACCTCCCAAACTCTGCCCCAAGGTCTTTCACAGGCTCCCAGAAACTACTTTTAAGGAGGGTGGAAATAATCTAGAAATTCTGCTAAGTAAGGGAGAACCTACTGCATGGATTGTTACATTCTATTTTTTTCAACTGCTTCTCACTGGAGGAAGAAAAGCCATGTTCTGACCCCTGCCTGTGTCTTCTGACATGCTCTCTACTTTGCTCCTCACCAACCAACTCCTCATATGTGCCTTGTGCTCTCCATACCTCACCTTGGCTCCTGCAGGCAGTTGAGGTTTGCTCCTCCTTCCCCTCAGAGACCCAGCCACATCAGCTGGAAAGGACACTCTCTCTGAGCCCCTCCAGCACTATTAGCCTGCTCTGCTGTCATTATAGTTGGTCACATAGCCTTCTTATGCTGTTCCTGGGCCTTCTTGTTCTCTGAGGGTGAACAGACCTGAGTGTGAAACCTGGCTCCTCTCTTTGCCCTGGAGCAACTTACTTCACTCACCTCTTTAAGTTTCTGTTTCATCATCTGTAAATTGGGGATAATAAAAGCTACCTCTTGGGGTGGTTGAGAGGATAAAGTGAGGAGGAGTACAAAGTAGCCTGGGATTTAGGAGATGCCCTAAAGTGGTGACTGTTGGAATGATGGCAATGACTGTGATGCCAGTCATTGTGGGAGGAGGAGAAAGAGGTCTGGGAAATGGAACAGAATCCTCTCTTCTCTCTCTACTTTTCGCTGAGATGATGTACTCTAAATACTGCTAGGAAGATGAAAGCAACAAGGTCAGTGAATGAAGGAGGAAAAGCCCATGGAACAAATAAATTCTGGCCCAGAGACTAAATAGGAAGACAGATGAGACCTCGTGCCTGGAAGCTGACAAAGATTATGCCAAACAGCCATAGATCAAAGCCCACTATGCAGAACCAGGCATGGGGGTGTATGCATGGTGTTCATGGTTCTTTGATTTCCTGGTAAGTACTGATGGCTAAGTAGACCCTTGCCCATGCTCCTCTTTGCAAGAGGAGGACGGCCTTGCAGCTTCTATCTGGACATGACTGGTGGTTCCCACAGGAATCCCAAGGGGGTTCCAGGAGCTGTTCATGTTTGTTCTTCAGGGTCTTGCACAAAATAGGTACCATTCATAAGTGTCTTCTGTGTATCAAGAAAAGTGCTAGGAGCCTTACATACAATATTTCTAATTCTTGCAAGTATAACATTTAGCCCATTTCTCAGATGAAGAAACTGGAGGCTTTGAGAGGTGCTATGGTTTGCTGAAGGCTTCTTAGCAGGAAGAGAGGAGCTGGAATTCAAACTCAGTCACTGACTACACAGCCTATATTGTTGGTCACTCTGCTAGGACACTTCCCTAACTCAAACTTGGGAGCCTCAGAGACACTGCTTTAGCAGGCATCCTAACATGACAGATCCCCTGTCTTGCCAATCTTTCCTCCCTTCCCTTGAGGTGATTCTTCCCATGAGACTTTGATGCTCCATAGCAGTCATCCTGGAGCACCGTGTTGGCTGGGACCATTAAGTAAAGAAACATCTTCATTTAAAGCCAAGAACAAACTGAAATTAAAAAAATAAATAAATGAACATACCCCGAGCCTTCAGAACTTAATGCAGAAAGTAAAGCAGAAAAAAAAGAAAAGGAAAAACATGAAAATCATCATCTATTCTAAAGTATAATTTTGATGACTGAAAACATTCAATGACTGATCAGAATTATAAAAAAAAAGAGGTTTTGCATGAATTTATGTGGACACCACCTTCCTTCTGTTGTGGCTGTAGGTGCAAGAGGCTGACATGAAAATCATTTTTTTCTCTCTTCAGTTTGATGGTGGAAAGCATGTGCATGCACAGGAAATGACCTTTTCAGGAGACCAAGAAATCTGATCATAGAAAAAGGTCATGAAGTGAGTAGCGCCCCCAAGGCCATCAATATAAGAATTTATCTTTCATCTTTTTTGCATCCATCCCTAATTCAGACTACCTGAAGGTCATTCTAAGTAATAGGGAGTCACTCAAATACAATCAAATTCCAACCATCATGTCAATATCCATTTTTTTGCTTCCCTTTACCCTCAGTGAGCACACACTCAAGGCTTCTGCCTCCAAGCTTCAGTGCTGGAACCAGGTCTTCCCCTGCAACCCCAGTACATCAGAGGGTAGGGCCTCAGCCACCTCCACAGCATGTGATGGGAGTGTAGAGAAGCCTGGCATTGGAAGGTTTGGAAAACAGAATACATGCAGGAAGGAAATGATGTCAGGGTTACTTTAACGAGAATGAGAAAACAGCAAAGCCTGGTGAGGTTGATTTGAAAGAAGAGGAAGGTAAGATGGGCTGTACTGGAATGTGATGAGAGAGACCCTAGGATGACTTGTCTTGATAGGAATCCCTAACTAATGTCATCATGAAGTATTACTCAGTTTTAACCAGGTTTCCAGCATGGTTTGGACCCAAATGCGAACATTATAATGATAAAAAATCTGATGACATCTTTCATAGAATAGAATAAAAATAAAAAATTCATAGGAAATAATAATAGATTTGTTCGATTACTTTTACCTGATATTGGGAACTTCTTCTTCTACTACCAAATCAGTAAGAAGAAAATGATGTTTTGCAATCAGGAAACGATTTACCACTGATTCTCTAACCTAGGGAAAGAAATTAGCTTTACTTAAAATATTCATATTATTTATACTTCATAGTTTACTCTCTTTGTCCAGTATCACCTCAGTGTCCCCAACCCCTCCAACTGTTACTTTCTGTGCTGCTCTGGTCTCCTCTTACCATAAATTCTCTAGTTTCCCTGACAAGACTGTATGCTCCCTCAAGGCAGATTCGTTTTGTTTTGTTCACTGTGCCTGTTATGTATTCAGGAGCTGGAAAAGTTCCTGGCACATAAGATAGCAAAATTTCACTGAGTGAATGCATTACCAGTTACAAAAAAAATAGGACCAGTCTCGAAGCACACACAATTCAGAACTGGTTCTTAAGTTCTTCCCCTATTCAGACTGATTCACTTAGTATAAATAGAGGACCTTGTAATTGTCATAAACCATTTTTTTTGCACATGAGTCACAATGAATAAACTATCTGGGAAAAAGTACATTGTAGTTACTATAGCACTTCTTACAAATTAAACTTGTTGAAGGAAGGAGAAAAAAAGAAGATAAGAAAAAGGAAGGAAAAAAGAATAGTTAAAATTATATTCCAGCTAAATTTTAGATTTTCAGTGCATAAGGGAAGTTAGTATGTGATTCAACAAGTTTTGTTTTTTTCTGATTATAATGGTAATCATTGTAATGCAATGCAACATAAATGCAAACTTTCAGATACTAGGAAAATCATGACTTAGAAACTGAGTCCCAGCAGGCCTGGTAGCTTACACCTGTAATCCTAGCTACTTGGGAGGTAGAGATGGTGAGAATCACACAGTCTGAGGCCAGCCTTGGCAAAAAGTTCATGAGAACTCATTTCAACTAATGAAAAGCTGGGAGCTGTGACACACACCTATCATCCCAACTACGTTAGAAGTGTGATTAGCAGTCTCGTGGCCCAGGCCAGCCTGGGCATAAATGCAAAACTGCATTCGAAAAATAGCTAAAAGCAAAAAGGGCTGGGGGCATAACTCAAGTGGTAGAGCACCTGAATGCCAAGCACAAGGCCCTGAGCTCAAATCCCAGTACCACACACACACACTAATAATAAGAAGAGAAGAAATGGGGTCTGCTGTAATCATATCCCATTTCAGGTGCTCACCAATAATAAACCACATATCTTAGTGGTTTCCTGTTTCAAAAGGTGAAGACACTTGGCAATCAGTTTCTTATTTGTATTTGTGGGAAAATAAGTCTAGAGAGGTTAAGTGGCTTGTATTAGATGACACAGACATTTGTAAGGGCAGAGAACTTCCCCTCCTGGACTGCTGGCTCTTTTCTCCCTATGAAGAGGGTTTTGATGATTTTTCTTACCTGCTGGAAGTACTTGGCTACTGTGGCCCTATGGGTGTCTATGTGGTCTTTGGTTTCAATTACATTTCTGTCTCGTAAACGTTTCTCATAGTCCTAAAATTCAAAGGACATCATAATTTAATGATTTTTAAGTACTCTGATACTCTTTTTGTAATTAGGGAATTACTTACCACAAGCAGTTTAAGTCATAATTGAATGGTTGTAAACATTTCTTCCCCTTTCCTCCTAACTAATGGTTCAGAATTGATCTTTGATGCAGTATCCAGGATTCTCAGTCATTGGTTGAACTGCCTTACTAGCAGAAGAGAACTCTATGTTTAAAAGTTAAAGTATTCACACAGGAAGGATCAGTGGCATGGAGATGAGAGGAAGTAGTTATAATTCAAGATGCTAAGCTCATCAAACAACTTTGCCAACGCCCCTGGTTAAGTTCTGTCTTACCTATTTTAAGTAAAGCAATTGCAAAATCAGTGAAAAGCTCCAACTAAAACATTACTATTACCACTTGACACCTGGCTATAGCTGACTTGGCTTAGCTCGTGGAGGACAATGGATTCCTTTGGCTTTGTGTGCTCAGGCCTCTCCTGTTTACTGTCAACAAAATAGTCTGTGTGCCCCCTGGGAACTGTCTTGTTCTTTTGTGCCCTCTCATGAAAAATAACAATAGTATTAATATCAAGTGACTCTTCATTTACTCATAAAATACAAACTTGTCTGTTTTTCCACTAGCCTTACCCCATCTACACAGCCTGTTCCCTGTAACTCCTTAGAGGCTTCTCTGCCCCACACCTGCCTCTGTGATTGGCCCTTCTCTGAGCCTCTGTTCTTTCTCTTGCCCTCGCCCAGATGGATGTCCAGCCTGTTCCTGGGATTCCTTCCTGCCTTCCCTAAGCCATGGCTGTTCAAATTATGTCTTGTAGGTTTCCATGGAGTGCTTTGCCACTGCACCTTAGGTAGGTGCTTAGCAAGTACTTATTGCACTAAAATGGAATTGAATTCCTGACTAAGGCAGGAATAATTAGCCATAGTAATACCTAAGATAGTTTTCATCCTCACATTTGTAATTGTAGGCAGTTCAACAAGCTGACTCGGAATCCTGATTACTGGACAGCTTATATGGTATTATAATGAGACAGAGACATTGTTTAAATGTCAAATTCAAGAAGAAATAAGGATGGGTTAGATATAAAAGTGCTATAAAAGAGAAACCAATATTGCTACTGAGAACAAGAACAACAAGAAATATATACAACAGCACATCAGATGACACAACAGATATTTTATTAACCCATTTCAGGAAATTTCTTACCTGGAATACCTTTTCCATAATTTCTCGGTCATATACTGGAATTTGCTTGTAATTTCGAAATTCTGGCACCTCTTGGTTTCTAAGACAAAGAAGCCTAAATCGCTTGGATCTACTTAATTCCTCATCTGAGACAAAATTGAATTCCTGTTGCAGCTGTTCCAATCGAAAGAAATCAGGGACATAGGATTCACCACTGCTAGCAACCTATAAAAACCAGAAAATGCTCAGCTTCTGGTAACACCCAGAGGAGCCAGCTAGGAGCTTTGGGAATGTTGAACAGTTTTAACACAGTTGAAAAGCAAAATACATTAAAATATAATAATGATGAGGTGGATTTTTATTATATTCCTTTAGTAGTTATAGAAAGTACCACTAATCTTTTTTTCAAAAGTATAAAAATGGTAAGTTTCACTTTGGGTATGCCTCCTTCCTAAAGGTGTTCTTACAGATATACAAAATGAAAAAGGAGGAATTTATATCAGATTCCAACTAGGAGCCTACTAGAAATAAGATACTCACATATACTGTACACACAGTGTGAATAATGGGAAGTGCCACACTTGATAAAGCCCCAACTGTGCCTTGCTGAATGCCTGAGCCCCCTTTGAATTCCGGTATCCAAAGCCCCTGCCTAAGTGGGCAATGATGTGTGACCTTTTTTATTTATCTTTATTTTATTTATTTTTTTCTATTTCTGTGTGACCTTTTAATATATCTGTACACATATGTAGATAAAGGCCCCGAGGCAGCTGGTCAGCTTTCTTCTGCTTCAGGGCCATGCTTTCCTGCCTGAACAGCACCTCATGGCCTTGGTCATTAAGAAGTGAGCCAGAGATGGAGATGAGCAAGCCAACCTCCCAGCCAGCTCTAGGATACTACAGAGAATCAGAGCAGTGTGGGACTCCCCCAAGCCTGACCTGCCTCTCTGCTTGGTGCTTTGCCACCTGTGACCTCTTCCTGGGCAGACAGAGGCCAGAGCAGGGATTTGCTGGACCTTGGGATGGGGATAGTGCCTTTATGTTAGGGAAAATCCTAGTCCATAATAAGAGACCAGTCAGGAAGGTATTCTGTGTTTTGTTCTTCTATGGGAAAACAAATATTCCCAAAAAAGAAAATGATGAGTGTGATATGTGCACTATATTATTGTTGATTTAAGACTAGTAATCAAAATATGATTTGAATACTTCACATGGAATATGAGACCCTTTAGGTAATATGGACTTTTTCGAATTTGTATTTTCCACATTAAATGTCATATTGGAAGGAGATTTGTAAAGACAAGTCAGACTCAAATAAATCTTGCTCTTAGACTTACAAAGACTAGAAGAAAATGAAAATTTCGTAGAGGTTATGATTTTCTCTGATGATGAACTCACATTAATAGCCTCAGTTGTGAGAATGTGTTGCATGATGTAGCACCCACTTGCTTACTGTGTTTTTGTGAGACTTATGAAGCTCACAATGAAACCCATTGTATTTGATTCCAAGAAATACAATTTACTAACCAATGCTCCACTTTATTTATAAATTCACTGAAGAATTTTGACTGTTATGGTAGATACAGCAATTTATCTAGTAAGTACTTGAAGATTTCCTTAAAATGCCCATTAGTATTCAGGGCGTGAGAAAAAAATTACATGCTCTGAAACCGGATTGACTTACTAGCTGTATGACTGTCTCCAAGCTCAGTTTCCTTTCTGTGGCATGGGGGAAATAAAACCTTTCTTAGGGGTTTATGGAGGTCACAGGAAAGAATAACAACACCATGCTAATATTCATTGCACTCTGCTGTGTGCCCAACTAAGTGTTTATGTGCAACGCTCATCTTATGACCACACTGTGGGGGTGGTACAGGGCTTAGAAGCATTGATGTGCTCCTGGGTCTCATAGGCAGGTAAGCAGCAGAGCTGGGATTAAAACCTATCACTGAGCCCAACTCCTGTTCTCTCAAACAGAACTGCATAGAACACAGGAGCTTAGAAATGGTATGTATGCCTCTGGCTAAAAATTACCGAGATTAGCTGCATCAAAGGGGCGTTGTTGGGGTCATTGGGGTCAAGCTTGGACTCTGCTGCCCACTTGGCCAACTTCTTCATGTCTGTCAGTCCTGATGTGCCAATGGATGAGATGGCGTCTGCTCTCTTCAAAGCACTGGAAAACAAAACAAGCAAAAACTAAAACAAAACGATTGTTTGACTCCAAGAGCCTGACTTTACCACACAGATGTTTGTGTTAGAATCACAAATTCCAGAGACAGAATTGCTTACAGAAGCCATTCTTGCCATAGGGACTTTCGCCACTTCTCTTTACTTGATGATTGCTGATAAGTATGGTGTAGGGTAATAAGGAAATAGGAATGGAAGGAATGCAAACATGGGACCCAATCCTCTAGCTCTCCCAGTGTAATAAAGTGCTGAGTCCCAGATCCTGATAGGGAAGAGGAGTCTGCCCACACATGGATCCAGGATGCTTTGGAAGTCTCACATCTCCGGCCACAGTTACCGGAATTCAACAGGGGCCCAGGCATTCAGCATGGCACAGTTGGGGATTTATTAAGTGTGGCACTTCCCATTACTCTGACTGTGTTTTACCCCCTTTCCTGGGGTGTTGGAAGTGTTAAGCCCAGGCAAGTTCTCCAGCACTAAAATGATAGGAATGCAAAGTGCCTACACTCCAGGGCATCGCCAAGCCTCCACCAGAAATGACTCCATTCAGCTCAGCGCTGCATCTCCTCGTGGTTTTCATCATACAAAGATGGCGATTGGTATGTAAATGCAGAGGGCATGAAAGGGAGAAAACAAGCCCAATTTTGATTTCCCACACGTTGGAAAGGACAAGTCTGACTTGGAAAGTGTTTTCTCAATGATTAGGATAAATTCTTTTACTTTAGAGAGGAAGCCACTCAGGCCTAAATGGTGAGCTGATTGACTCAAGATGTGTCTATGGGGAAATGAAAGAAGATGCCTCTGACAGAGGCCTAGATGCAGGCTGCCTGGATGAGCATCACCACAAGAAGATGCTTGGGGCCAACTATGGATCTAGCAACCCAGGAAGGGGGCTGGAGAAGATAGACTTATGTATAACTAGAAGGCTGTACAACAGTCATTAGCAACAAACTTTTGATGATGGATAAATACACACAACCATATGCTGTGCACTTCCCCATCTGTAAAATGGGGAATGAAGACCTCAGAGATTTTTGTGAAGATTGGATAAATGCTCTCGTTGTATCTTACACTAATAAGCACCCAATATTTGTTAGAGGGTTACTATTTTAATTTGTTCCTTAAGAACAATTTTTTAAATACCCTGAAAATATGGGCACCTAAAGATAAAAGGAAAGAATATGATATCACAAGCCCCCTTCCACCTCTAGATAGCTTTAATCCTGGTGCTGACATAGGTCATCAGTTTATTCTAGCCACATATTACCTTCGAAATCCAATGTTTTGCTGTGACAATGGAGGAATTAAAGGTATCCCATTTTCTCCAATGGCCCATGCGACACTGTGGGACACTTTTCCCGAGGTCATTAGAATCAGTTGATTGCTGCCATCAGCTTCAAAGGAGAAGGGAACTCCTAGGGAAGCATCAAATTTGACAGAATATTGTTTAGAAAGGAATGAGCCATGGCCTGGCAAGAATGCAGACAGTAGACAAATGGAACTTGAAGTGGATGAGATGGTAGGACGATACATAGCCCAAGCCAGTGCCACTGAACGTCTCCAGGTGCTGCTGCACAGAATCGGCTACTCAGTTCCCTCTCTGACAGCAGAGTGTAGACGTTACCATGAGTGAGACCACCGGTGTGCATATCCTGGCCCTGACACTTTGTAGCTATGTGACCCTTGGCAAATTACTTAACTTGTCAGAGCCTCAGCTTTTTTTTACATGTAAATAAGGGAAAATAGCACCTCCTTCAAAGAATTATTTCAAAGATATTTATTTGTTCATCCATTCAAGATACTTGAACTCCTACTTCATGTCAGACATTATCATAGATACTGAAGTTAGCAGTAAAGAAAGAACATTCAGCTGTGTGTTACATGCCTGTAATCCCAGTTACAATGGAGGCACACATAGGAGGATCTTGGTCTGGGTAAAAAGCATAAAATCCTATCTGAAAAATAACTAAAGCAAAAAAAAATGTCTGGGGTCATGGCTCAAGTGTTATAGTGCCTGCCTAATAAGCATGAGGCCCTGAGTTCAAACCCCAGCACCACTAAAGTAAAATAAAGTAATTTAAAAAATAAAATAAAAATAATAATCCCTCTTCCCATGTTGTATTTGATTGTGTGAGAGAGGCAATAAATAAGGGAAACTCTTAGTACATCAGAGGGCAGGAAGTGCTAAGGAGCCCTGAATTAGGGAAGGTATATGAAATACTTGTGCTTTATGAGGGTGGGGAGGGGCTGAACTTTTACCTGAAAGTGTCTTGAATAAATGGCTGAGAAGGGGAGGGAGACACGAGATGTGTCTGGAGAGAGCACTCCTGGCAGAAGGAGCAAGTGCAAGTGCCCTGAGGTAGGAATGAGGAGCATGAATTCAGTGGGCCACCGTTATGAAGCAATTTGTGGTGAGCCTACAACAAGTGTCAGCTGTCACTAAACTGCTATGGCTATGTGAGGTCTCACTGCTTTGGCCTCCAGGACTTGCAAACTAATGGTTAAAAACTCTCTGGGCAGTATGTTTAATCAACTACAGGAAGAAAAGCCTTTCAAGCACTAAATATAGTAACTTCACAGTCTGGAATTCAATAGCAAACAGTAATGCTGTTACACCATCATAGCATCTTTATGTTGTTCAGATCCTTTCTTCATATTGCAAGGACTTCTTTCAAAAAACCTGTATGAAACATTAAAGGAGGTTTTATTGGATGTGCTTTATGCATGAGGAAGATAATGTTCAAAGAGACCTCTTGACTCCAAGAGTCACACAGCTTGTCAGTGTCACAGCTGGAATTAACCTCTGATTGGATTTGGGCCCCAAAGAATTCCTGCAGATAAAGTTTCAGGTGTGAGCTAAAAATAAGAAAATCATCAGAAATGGGGAAAGCCATCTTGATGAGAAGCTGCAGAATCAGACTAGTAAACAGATATTGGAATGATCAGATAGAATATTACAAAGTATTTTAATATGTTTAAATAAAGTGAATGAATGAATGAATGTAAAAGAAATGATTGATAGACTGAGAAAAGGTTAAAAAAAATAATAACTGACCAGAATGACTGGAAAAGAATTATGTAGAATTTCTAGAGTTGAAAAAATACAGTAAGTGGAAGGAGAAAACAATGCTGAATTCTAATCATTAGACACAGCCAAAGAGTGAATGCATGACTTGGAAGACAGATTTAAGGAAATTGCATAGAGGCTTAGGGAATGGCTTGAGTGGAAGAGCACCGCCTAGCAAGTGCAAGGCAGGAGGCCTTCAGCTCAAACTCCAGCATAAAAAAAGTTAAGAAATACGTTGGACAGAGTAAGAAGGTTCATGGTGCATTTTATTAGAATTGTAGGAAGAAATAAGAGCATTAATAATCTCTAATTATTAAAGTTAGTAATGTTTTCATCCTTATAAATATTGCTGTGATATATTTTATGCACAAACATTTGTCTTCATTTCGTATTATTTCCTTACAAAAAATTACTGAAGTGGAATTAATATATCAAAGAGCATTTTAAAGGTACTTAATTCACACTACCAAATTACTTTATAGTTACTTAGTCAATAAGAAATTTACGTGGTCAACAACAGTTTATAAAGAGTGACTGTTTTCATTTGAATTTTTGATAGCAGTTTTATAATTATCTGGTTGTTTGAGAAGAGAACAAAGATATATTCAAGCTGACAGTGAAATATGAGTCATCAAATTAGTTAGCTTTCCATACCACTTCCAACTCCCTCGTGGTCCAGAGTCACATGCTGGTTACTGCTAAATTCCACTTCTTCAATGGGAGCCCTTCCAGTGACAACAGTGGTCTCAGGAATAGGCAGAAACACTTCTGCTAGCAAGGTGGTGCTACTGTGCCCCACAGTTTCATAGACCTGAAATCCGGAGAAGAGAAACAGCCAATAAAAATGACAATAGAATGTGATCCCTCTCAGAAAATAAATACACACCGTTAGAGTTTGTGCCATGAAGAACAATGTATACCACGTTTGTGGCTAAGTTGTTGACACCCTGTTTCTTCTTGCCTGACCTAATCACCTGGCGAGGAAGGCTAATCAGAGTAGTAGGTTACCACTGTCATTTTTACTGCAAGCCAACATATGGGTTACTTGGAGAGTATGTGTTCTCTTCTTCCTGGTTCAGGTTGTTCTCAGGAGCAATGGCATCAGGTACGATGGATGGGACAATATGGACATGCCACTAGTGGTTTATTATGTGCACCAACCTCAAGTAGTAGAAGCCTTCTCCCTAGACACACTCTAGAGTGTCACGTTTAAATGTACTACTCAGTGAATCTCTCAAACTCTTCCCTTCTATACCTATTTTATTTTTCAGCTACTAAAGCCCCATCCAGCCCCTTCCAGACCCTCTTCCATGCTGGCGGTAACTAGAGCACCTGCAGCTCTGATAATTACCATGATATGTCTCATAATTGCCATCACCACAAGGTGAAGGACCCATTGACGAGGCAACCACAGATGAAGAATGTATGACTCAGCCTCAGGTGGACCGCCATGTGGTCAAGTTTTCCCTGTATTCTTGACTCATTACTTTTGTAATAAAATATATTCCACGGTTTTGCTGGTTTCTTTTCTTTTTCTCCATGAGGTCTGACTGGTACATATTTCTTTGAGAATGCTAATTTTACTACTTTCATTTCTACTATTAATATTCACATTTTTCTTCTTATACAATAGAGCCTCTTCTAACTGGCATTTTCCACTTATCACTGGATCCTCTCTGCCCACCCTCCCTTTCAGGGCATGTGATTGGAAGTCCTTTCCTACAGTGAGGCTGAAATAGTGCCTGGCAACCATACTGGCCTCATCTCTCTGGAATCTGCTAGCCTACATTTGCAAGATGGCTAACTGAGCTTGGAGTGACTGGTGAGGCAAAGACAAAGGCAAAATTTGCATAGGAACTGAACTCAGGACCCCAGACTTAATATCACTGTGAGTTATTCTAACAGGCTGGGTCCATCAAGTGACCTGAGATGTTCAGGGCTTACCTGTGATGTGATAGCACAGGAGGAAGCCCACACATGGCTCATGTAAGTCACGCTCTCCAAATCCATCCTTATCAGTTAAAAAAGATTTTTATCTGTATTAAAAATTCTTTTGGAAAAAATTTCAAACATGTATTATACAAGAATAATAATATATTCAGGACCCATTGCCTTATCTTAACCATCACTAATTTTCCACCAATCTTATTTAATCTGTACTCTCAACTATTCCTTTTTTCCAATACCTTGAACCTAAATATCATTTAATCTGTAAATATTCAGTATGTATCTACAAAAGATAGGGTTACAGGAAGCATAATTACAATACTAGTATCAAGGAATATAATATATTATATATTATATATATATATATATATATATGTATATATATATATATATATATTATAATACCAATCAGTAAGGTTCAAATGTCCTTGACAGTCTGGAATATTTTGTTTGAATCAGGACCAAAATGTATTTTATACATTGTAATTGATTGAAATGAGCTTAAAGCCTCTATTAATTTATAATTGACCTCATTTTATACTTTTATATTTTTTTATATTGGTTTAGATCTCTGTTGGGAAAAGGAGTGCTATTTATTGCTTGCTTCAATGCCTCTTAAGAGCCCATGCTTCCACGATCCTACACAGCTACGTGAACATGTAGTAGGCTATTGTTTCTTGCACGGGAGATATTGGTTTGGCCTGTTAATTATGTACTCATTGGCATGAAGTATGAACATAAGAAAATGGTGTACTTTATTTTTAAAAAATATTTAGCTTTTGCCCGAAATTTTAGTTTATTGAGGCATCCTTTTGTATGAGCCCACTAGAAGCTTTAGGTATATTATCTTGTTTAATCACCATGTGATGGTGTGTGGTGAAGACTAAACAAGATAACAGAACTGACAGTTTAAGTTGTTGGATTTGAGGGTCCATGAGAAGAGAAACTTCTCCAAACTAGGCAGCTGGTAAATAAAAAACCGGTAATTGAGTCAACAACTGTTGTAGTTTAAAACAAAACTTAGGGCTGTGTCTTCCTTGTGGGCCAGGGAAATTCCAAAAGTTGATAAAATAATTAAAAATTATCTTAAAACAATAACCTTGATCCATAAAATGTAATTGTTAGACAAACTGGTGAGAAATAGTGAGTGATTGAAAGAGAACTTAAAATCTGAGTAAAAGAACAAGAAAAAAGTAAAAACTATGGCTAAAATCAAAGCTTCCTGCATCACCTTAGTGTATGTGATTATGGTCAAGAGACCACTAGTCTCTTCCTGTCTGACTTCTTGGTTATGTGTGGCCCGAGGTAGCTGATGCCCCAGCAAGTGCCCTGTTGCACAGGCTACAAGTGCATTAGTCACTGTCACAGGCCCACACTGCACTAAGCAGGGAGCAAGGCATCATTGTCTGAATTATTAAATACCTACTGCATGGACAGAATGCCTGTGTGCCCTCAAAATTCATATTGTGAAATCCTACCCTCCAAAATGATGTATCAGGAAGGGAGGCGTTTGGGAGGTGACTAGGTCATGAAAGTCACGAGTGCTTATGAATGGGATTAGTGCAATTGCAAAAGGGACCCCAGAGAACCCTATGACTCCTTTTCTGTTGTGAGGATGCAACAGCTCAGCAATCTGCAGCTCAGAAGAGGCCCTCACCAGAACACAACCATCTGGCCCCTTGGTCCCAGACTTCCAGCCTCCAGAACTACAGAAATACATTTCTATTGTTTATAAGTGACCCAATCTATGGTACTTTGTTATAACAACCTTCTGTGATTTAGATCTTCAATGTCCCCCAAAGGTCTATACATTAAAGGCTTGGTTCTCACAGAGGAACTCTTGGTAGGTGCTGTAGGTGCTAGGACCTTGAAGGGGGGGGCGGCTAGTGGGATTTAAATCGTTGGGGGTGTGCCCTTGAATGGGATTATGAGACTCCAGTCCCTTCCAAGCTGTCTTTGCTCCCTAGCTCATGATGTGAGTGGTTTTCTCCACCATGTGCTCTCACTATGATATGCTTCCTCACCACAAGTCCAAAGCAATGGGGCCAATCCATCATAGACTGGAAACTGCAAAACTGTGAGCTGAAATAAACTTCTCTTTATGAGCTCTCAGGTATTTTGTTGTAGTGATGAAAAACTGACTAACATATAGTATGAACTGACTAGGACATCGGCTAATGTTCAATTTTATGCCATCACTATACCCTGTGACTTCCTATAGGAACACTTACCCACTCTATCAGAATTCCCTTGTTTACATATCAATTTGAGTCACTCCACATTGAGATGCTGTTTGGTATTTCTATGAATGCTGTGAATTACTGTGCTGGGAAGGTACATACTGACTCGTGATAGAAGGCATTGGAAGATCAATCCATGAAATGGAATTGCTCTCTTCTCTCAGCAGCTGGTGGACTTGCATGTAGTATGACTTTGAACTTTTCATGTGTCTTTTAATACCTCACTTACTATCAGCTCTTTCCACAACTATAGAGGGTAGCCTTGTGGCCAGGACACAGCATCTTTGTGGACCAACAGATCTGACTTTGCCACTTACTAGCTGTGTGGACGTTTGGCCTGACTCCAAAGCTTTGCTCCCTCTTTTTTGGCTTTCATTGTAAACTGAGGCTGTTACCCTAAAGCTTGCTGGAAGGCAGTGGTGATAACTCCCTTTAGTATGAACTCATTAAGTGTTCTCTGCTGCACACATAGCTGTCAATAAGATGCATTTTAATGAAACTTTGGTGGTTACATTTTTCAAATATCTCATGGAATCATCTTGGTGAATTAAGTTAGCAAACTTTATGAAATAAGAATTTTACTTATAAAAAATCAAAATTTTCAGCACATTCCACATTTAAAAAAATAAATACATTAAACTACTGAAGATTTATAGAAATTTTATGGCATATTCCTTATTATAATTAAATAATTAGAGTCAATAGAAATCTTGTAGGAGAAACCATACAACTTCCTGTGTATTTTTGGGTAAGGAATTTTGTAAGAAATTGAAAAATGATTAAGGCTTAAATACTTCTTGAAAAATCAAGAGTTAACAAAATTCTGATAATACTTCAAGTTAAGAGAATAGAAAGCATATAAATATTAGAAAATAGCAAGAATGGTGGTACAATAATTCAGAAAATGACATAAATGCTGCATTCAGTATCAGATATTGTCAAATGTCCCTCCTGGGACAAAATTATCCCTGTTCAAGAAGCATTGACTAAGCAAAGTGTGTGTGTGTGTGAGATTCAGGGTGGGATGTTCATGAAGTAACAAGACAGGAAATATAATTTAAACCACATTTAACTGTTCAGATATTCTGCTCTTGTGAAAGCAAAGTTGAAGCTATGTAAGAAATTATTACTTTCTTTGCATTTGTAATATTATTTGTTCTAACTCAAGAATCTGGTACAAATGTAACTGCTAACAGGATTTATAACTATATGCCTAAACTGAACCTTAGAAATTACGCTAAGGTAGATTTAAAAATACATTTCTCAGGGGGAGAATACTTCCTTGTGTGTAAGGCCCTGAGTTTCATCCTTAGAACCTCAAAAAACCAAAATGACAAAATTCCATCATGAAGTAAAGCTTATATTGCAGCATTTTAAGTCATGTTTCTCTGATTAAAAAGACACAGTTCCATCTCTTTCACTTAGTAGTGCTGGATCTGTCACAAGTGGTTGCTCTTTATTCTCACAGTTCTGAAAGCTATTCACCAGTCAGTCCAGTCAGTCATATCCTGGTTGATGTCCCCACTTTGGCTCAGTGTTGAACCTAACCTCCCTTGCCCTCATGTTCCCAGGCTCCCTTCCCCCACTGAAAGGGGTTGAGGACACCTGCTGTGAACTCTCTTCACAGCCCAGCCCTCCCTACAATCTTCCAAGGCCAATCCCTCTATTACATCCTGTGAGGGTCCTGATAGATGGTAACATTGAAGTATTTTTTCAAAGGATGAACCAGCCATCTCCATTGTTCCCCAGCCTGGTTCAGCCATCTGCCTGCTATTCTGCCAGCCTTTTCAGGAGGTGGGTAGGATAACAGATCTCGTTTGCTTTAAGAAAAGACTTTTTTTTCTTTAAAGAAAAGACATTTTTAAGGTAAGAGGTAGAACTGTTCCTCTTGAAAGCCTATTAAGACATCTGAATACAACAGATTTAAAACCACCTCACATCTTCAGTGATCATAAAATTCTTGGCACAGTGACTATAATTAAAATGTGTACCTGAAGTGTTAAACTCTCCGGCCAGTTGAATATTTGCAAATTGAAAATCTGTCCAAAGTGAACTCGGAAGTCTGCCCCTAGTTGCCGGCTGACTGTCCTGGACACCTCCTTGCTGTTGAAAAGCACCCTTAAGTACACCGAGCGCCTCTTTACATCTTTCCTTCGCAAGACCTCCACCCTGTAAAGTGAACCATTTGCAGCTGTAATTAGTACTGATTTACTAAAGATTGCTGAAATATGTGACAAATAGACACTGAACATAACAAGAGACTCTTGGCGGTAACTCTATCGGTCATGTTAGCTCCCATTTGACCAAAATAGCTAGAAGTCATACAGAGTTCGCTATAATATGAAATATGTGGCATGGACTTTACAGAGAAGCCATGAACAGGCATTGAAAGAGCAGGAGCACTAAGAGCTATGGGTCAAGTCTCACTGAACTCTGGTCTCAATATTCTAACAAGCCTTACATCTGTATCCAAAACAAAATTTTAAGGAAACAAGTCCCTTGTTAAATGGGTTGAATTCAAACCATAAGGGGCACTAATGATTTATATTTGAATAATAAGTTTTATACTAAAAATGTAATAGCCTACTTTATAGCAGATAGATTAAGCCTGTTTCTCTGAGATCCAAGCCTTTTCTCAACATTTTCAGAGGGTGACTGCTCATTTGAATAACAGTTGGTATCCTGGCACCTTGGAAACATAATAATCTTATAGCTAGAAAGCTTAAAAAATTAGAACCTCCAAAAGTGGGCTTTCATTTTATTTACGTATTTGTAGACACCCATTAAAAAATGCCAGGTACAATATCAATAGCAACTCAAGCTTATCGAGGAAAGGGAAAGGTTAGGGCATTAGTATCCAAAACTTGTTGAGATTTTTGATGTGATCCGTTATAATTAATTTTTCATTGTGTTAAAATATATAAAACACATTTGCCATTTTAGCTATATTAAGTGTACATTTTAGTGGTAGTCAGTACCTTCACCATGCTGTGCAACCATCACTGCTATCCATACCCCAACTCTTTCATCATCTTAAGCAGAAATTCCCTACTCAGTAAGTTGGGTGGAACTTTTAAACTTTTTATATCTCTACAATTTAGAACATGAAATTGCTCAACTGACTTCAGCTATTTTTTTTTTCTGTAAAGGACATTTAACACCAAATTCAAGTACCCAGGACACCCATGGACTTGGACTCTACTCAGAGCTGTTGTTCCCAGTATCTTTGTGCAAACAGATCCAAAATAGTCCTTTTCTCTTTATGGTTTCCCTCACCTAATGGCCTGACAAAGGAGAGATTATGGTCACTAGCTTGGGGAATATCTGGATTATAGTCCCAAAGCCCAGTCAAGACTCTGAAAGTTCTTAAGTCTGAGGTGTATATTGTCATTGAAAATGGTACTCACCATAAAAGATCACCAAAATCAAGCTCAAATTCTCTCTGTAGGAAACATAACCTGCCCTTACATATTTTGAGTGTCATGACAAAATTATATGATATGGTATTTGTGTCTTAAAAATAGTTTTCTTATTTTTAATTTATGTATAGCATCTGAATATGAGTTGAGAGAACACATAAAAATGCACAAAAGTTGTATTTTTAAAAATCGTCAGTATACTAACAGAAGTTTGAAACCAGCAAGGTCGTAGGAATCTTATAATGGCATACTAATAAACTCTGCCATCCCAGTGAACGTAGAGACAGACTCACCTGATTTAAGTTTGTGCTTTTTATGTTGCAATATTGAGGATTCCCATCTACAATGTTCCTGATGATCGTGACAGGTCTTAGAGAACTAAGTCTGGGATCTGGTGGGAGTGAGGATTTAAGCAGATTCTCTCTTGTTGATTATGATGCGTGTACCATGCATCAGGATCACCTGGAGACTGTGTGATAATTTGGTTTTCTAGGCATCACCTGAGTTACAGGGTGGGTCAGCAGTTGTCAGGTGTTTGCATTTCTACCAAATTCTCATGTGTTGCTGATTTTGACAAACCTGAGGCTACACTTTGAGATCTATGTCTATAAACTATAGGAATTAAATTAGTAGGAAAATTTTAAAATTTTTATTACAATTCTAAAAGAGGATAGATAAAGCCAGGCATGGTGGCTCAGGGCTATAATCCCAGCTATCTGGGAGGTGGAGATCAGGAGGATCACAGTTTGAGGTAAGCCTAGGCAAAACGTTATTGAGATCCCATCTAAACAAATAAGCTGGATGTGGTGGTGCGTATCTGTAATCACAGGTAGGCAGGAAGTGAGGTAGGAAGATCACAGTCTGAGGCCAGACTGGGCAATAAAGTGAGACCCTGTATGAAAAATAACTAAAGCAAAAAAGGGCTAGGGGATGGCTCAAATGGTAGAGCACCTGCCTAGCAAGTGCAAGGCCCTGAGTTCAAACCCCAGTACTGCTAAAAAATAAAAATAAAAAAGGGTAGGCATATAATTTATGCTTATGAATTTATTGTATGTATAGGAAAGGAAAAGGTTAGGGCATTAAAATCCAAAAGTGATGTTTCTCTTGGGCAATACATAAGAATGACTAAAAATGTATTTTTATCAATTCAGAGGTTTGCCTGATTAAATACTAGCTATAGCACACACCCACAACTCTCTTTGGGAGCTTCTGTGAGCCCTTCAAAGAGAGAAGCTGGCCTCTGATGTAGTTGAAATCAAGGGGCAAGGAGAGGCTTTATTGTTCGTTCTAGGGAGAAGGGACATGCTATCAGTGACTATAAGATGCACATTGAGGCTACAGATAAGTGACCCAAACCCAAAGCCACACATGTGGCCACTGGGAGCAGCAGACACAGAAGTACAGAGCAGCTCTATGCACGATGCTACTGCATAGCCAGTGGGATGCACGGATAGGTGAATGCTAGGAAGTCAGCACCATTGTGCAAGCGTCAGCAATTTCATATGGTTCAACCCTGTGCATACAGACAGGGTTAATGAGTCTTTTGATCACACCGTGTAGCCCCACAGTCGTACTTCACATACTGTGCATTTGTATGCACATGTGAGTGCGTGCTGAGCTCTTTTATGCTTAGAACAGCTGCTCACCTGGGGCACTGGTTGTTGGGTGTCACACTCCCTGCCAGGCTCAGCTCTGGGACCAGCATAGGCTCCCCTGGCCTTCTCCTTCTGTGTGCTGCTCGCTCCCTCACCTGCTGCTCTATGACTGCTGGATCGGTGAGCTCCGGAGGGATGGGCTTCACGGGGTCCTCCTGAGGATAGGGCTCCCCAGCTTCTTCATCGGGATGCTCTTCTGCTGCCTGTTTCTTTTTCTTCTTCTTGACCCTCTGTTGGGTAAGAGGCAACCTGATGTCAAACAGGAGTCTGGGAATTTCATTTAGGTGCACAGTCTTCCAAGCTAGATAGACCTGAACACAAACCAGGCCCATCTCCATCAGTATGTCCACTTTGTGCCTCAGTTCTCTCACTCACCAAGTGTGACTTCTCCCAGGGCTGGCAAAATGAGGAAACACCTGTAAAGCACTTAGCAGAGGTATCAATACCCTACATTCTGTGTGATGATGTATATAAAATACTTAATCCCATGCTTGGTATTACTGTTATTACAAATACAGAGTGCTACTACTGAATTATCTATGGACGAAGCTGGCTTTGGTGCATTTTGGAACAAATGCATTAGCCAGTTCATCTCCCTCCCTGATCCCTAGAGGTGGGGGGCAGGGAGAGAGACAGAAAGGAGCCAGCAGGAAACCCCCGTCTGTCTGCCAGTCCAGCTTCCTCCTCCTGTCTCAAGGGGCCACCCTCTTACCCTTTCCAGGCCAGCCCTGCTCCAGGCTGAGGAACGGTTTGCAAACCTGGGCTTTCTTCCAAGCCTTCCACTGCTGGTGTGAAGTTCTGTACTCTTCCATCTTCTGTTCATACTCTTCTGTGAGCTCTTCCAACAATTCGTTTATTTCAGCTTGAATTTCTTTTTCATATGCTTCCTCATCTGCTTTCTGGTCAACTTTTTCCCTTTAAATCAATTTATAGCATCTTGGTTATTTCTTGGAATTAAGGAAGGGAGTAATATTCCCAGTAGATCCTTAAATTGGGCCTGCTGTGTGCCAAGTCCCTCTTCTAAAAGTGTTGAAGTATTGTACACGTTATTTTACTTATTTATGTATTTATTTATTTATTGCAGTGCTGGGGATGGAACCCTGGGCCTCATGCATGAGAGGCAAACACTCCACCCTAAAAAGCGTTGTGTGTGTTAACTCACAAGCCAGTGAGGCAAATGCTGTCATCACCCATGAGGTGACTGCAGCACAGAGAGGTTAAGAGCATACAGTTGCTGAGTTGGAAGAACCAGAACCTGAGTCCAAGATATTGACCGCTCTCCTCCCTGAGTTAAATGTTCCATGCTGGGAGCTGACACAATGCTTGCAAGTGCTCAACCCACAGCGCAGAAAGTTTATTGAAGTTATTTTATTAACTCTTCATTCTGTTGCTGCTGAGCCCCTGAAACCACTTCTTGATACTGAATTGATAATTTGAGTTTTTTCTATGATTCTGATGACATTCCACATTAGATTGGTCCAATCAAAACAGTATTTCCCAGAGTGCTCTATAGAACATTAGTTTTGGGGGCTGTCCTATTTAAAAGGATGCTGTGGCCATATCAACACCAGCTTAAATAAATGTGAAGAGTTCCATGGCACTCATTTATCCAGAGCCCTTTCCATCTTAATGGCAGTGTGACTCTGGTGGGAGAGTCATAAATCTGTGGCGCCCACCACCCACTCAACAGTGGGGTTTTACCACTCCTGATGTGGTCTGGTGTCCACGCTCTAGGTGCCAAGGTTTCCTCCATACATTTTAAATAATCTTAATCAGCTGTCTAGAGCTGGCAAGTGTTTGTGGCTTGGTGGTATAACAGCAAACAGTTCCCCAAGAAACAAGCGCCTCCATGTCTTTAAGCTAATTACTGAAGAAATCAGGTATGTCTTATACATTTTTGTTGATGTATGATATCGTCCAATAATACAACTTTTGAAAAAACAACCTACTTTCTCAAAACAAGTTTCAAGGGTGTATTCGTAAACCTCTGGAAGTCTCGAAGAGATTTCATCTCTTTCCAGACTTTTATGATGGTCTTAAGCAGTGTGCGATCTTTTTCTTGCTCAGCATCACGGAGCTTTCTTGTTTGCCTACAAGATACCAGTGCAACGCATGAGTGCAGTTAAGAAGTTATTAGGTGTGCTTATAAACAAAAAGAAATTAATAATGCTACAGTGATTGTATATTCAATTAGATAGCGACCTTATTTCTAAGCAAATACTAGAATACCAAATACTAATGCAAATTTGAAGATAATAGGATGCCCACCTGTTTTTGAGAGGTTTACTTGATTGTGTTCTCTGTGACTTCTTCAATTAAACTAAATTATTTTTTCTATTTCTTATTAATGCTCTGCACCCTTAAACTAACAGCCTCCTTTGTAGTTATGACAATAAGGGACCCGGGTAAAGGCAGTTCTCACAGATTAAATTATTGTAACACTGCAAAAGTGCTGTGTCCCAGTTATGGTAAAACACTGAAGTCTTTCTGTGTTAATACAAATCACGAGTTTTGCCCTACGGAGGTGATGTAATGTTATTGCATGCCTTGGAGAATTTTCAGTGCTAATGAGATGACCAATGTTTTTGGCTTAATCTGAAGAGGCATCATTTGAAAATGCTTTTGTCTTTATTCCCATATTTGAGAATTATTTAATACCTTTTTTTAAGCCTTCTTTATGAATGATAGCCAAATCCAGATGCCAAATGTGTTTTATTATGCCATTAATTACTTAGTTAATTAATGAATGAGACAATTATTTAATTTTTGAACAGGTGCCATGTGTCATTCCAGGGCATTCAGAAGTATTTGTCCCTAGGGAGTTTATAGTTTGGCTCAGGAGACACACACACATACAGAATGATGACATACAACATGAGAAAACAAGAAGCTGCAGAAATTAGCAGCTCTGAGCTCAGGAAGGTCTGACTCTGGAGGTCATGCTTGTGATGACTTGTGCTGTAGAAATGGTACAAAGAAGTCAGGAGATCTAAGTTTCTAATTATTCAGCTGGTGGCAGAGGAAAAAGAAGATGCAAAAGATAATAGCCAAGATTCAGGACTCTCTGAAGTTGTCAGAAAAGCAAGAGTAACAAACTAGGGAATAAGACACATTTGCTTTGAGGAGCAGTCAAGCATAGTAGCTAAAAATGCAGGTGTTGAACCACATCACCCAGCTTTGAATCCTAGCTCTAGCATTTTCTTGCTTGCCTTGGACAAGTTACTTCACTTCTCCATGCCTTGTTTGTAAAACAAGGATGCTGACATACCAGCCTCAACATCACGCCTGTAATCCTAGCTACTTGGGAGGGTGAGATGGGGAGGATTTCACTTGGAAGCCAGCCTGGGCAAATGGTTCGTGAGACCCCCATCTTCAAGATAACTAGAGCAAAATGGACAGGAGGTGTGGCTTAAGTGATAGAACACCTGCTTTGCAAGTGTGAAGCCCTGAGTTCAAACCCCAGTCCCACAAAAACAAAATAAAACAAAACAAAAAACCTCTTAGCAAGAAAAAATTTGACATATGAGCTAAATGAGCAACAAATCTCAAAATATATAGTTAGAAATTGTGGCCAGAGCTGTTTTGCAGAGTACAGTTTTGCATAGAAAGTTGGGGAACACTTTTTTGCAGATAGATGATATAGAGAAAGGCCACCCTGCTCAGGTGAAGGTGTGGAGCCCTGGCCTCCACATGATTTTAAAACCACCACAGGGGTAAATTCAGTTTAGAAAGCAATGCAGATTTTAAAAAGGTTAAAAGGAAAATTACACCCTAGGAACTCTGAACATTTATACACTGGATAGAAGAGGAAGACTAGACAAAGGTCAGGTGACTACAGAGAGACAAGGACATCAGGAGAGGGAAAGGAATGTCAACAGGAAATTTGTGGGGATAGTGTCAGTATCCAAGAGCTGAGAGGGCTGCAGGGGTCTTAGGGGCTGTGGTAATCCTGCTTCAGAGGCAAGGTGAGCTCAGGAGTGAGATGGGGGGGCTGGAGAAGGTTGGAGTGACAGCATGGATCATGAGTGCTTTCCAGAAGTTCGGCCAAGAAGGGAAGTACTGATAAAAGTAGTAGCTTGAGTCATAGAATTTTTATTTGCTCAAGAGTGAGCACATCAACAGCAAAGCCCCAGTGGAGAGAGTTAAACAGTCTTTCCCTTCCTGCTGAACATTCATGTTTCCTTTCTTTTATGCTCTCGTCCAGTTCAGAGGACCAGCAGTATGGTCATGGTGCTGCTATGGAAAATAAAGTGGGAAAATACTTAAAGTGGTGCTAGTCCAGGTTAAAGTCACCATCTGATGCTCAGAAGATGCTCAGGTGGAGAACTCCCAGTGCAGCTGGTAGGGAGTTTAAAGAAACAGGTCTACTTGGTAAGATGTCCAGGGCAGATTGTCTAGAATTTGTTTCACCACTTAGTGAAAAGTCAGTAAGAACTGAAATCGGTTCTTTTCCTGCATCAAAGGTGCTAAGTTTCAGAGATTTTCATCGCCAAGGGCTGTGGGATTCTTGCGATGAGTCTGTGATCCGTAACTCCACTAGGTGTGTCAGTAAGTCATACACAGGTGACTGCTTTTCAAATAGTGATTAATAGATATCCCTGGAAAACCATGGCTGCTTTCAGAACAGTTTTTTTTTTTTTTTTCCCTGCAGTGCTAGGGATCAAACCCAGGGTCTTGTGTATATATCACAAAGCCCCTTTCACTTTTTTCTTACTCAGTGTATGCTAAATCAAAACTTGTGGAGGCTGAAATATGTTTTTCTTTTAACATAAAAATAATTTTTATTTTTAAACATATTCCTCATCCTTTTCTAATTATAGTATACAAACTTCGTTAACTTCCATTTTTCTGGAAGAATTTCTAATTCATGCCTAGTTCGTGTAAAGAAAAGTATACACTGAAACAACTTGATTTACTATTTTCTGTTCTAAGCATTTGTTCTGTGGAAATATTCATTCATAAATACAAAGACACAGGAAATTTAATTATCACACAATTTAAATAATATAAAACAGGAGTAACATAACTGCCTGTCTACTAGGGATTGCACAGAATATAATAAGTCCATATGATAAATGCCAGCCATTAAATGAAAGGGATTTAGATGCATTTTAAGAGGAAAAGGTCTAAGATGCATTATACATAAAAAAGCAAGTTTCAGAATGGTATATGAACACGACTTCTTTAAAAAATAAAATATATACACATACACACATCTGTGTGCTTGTGTGTGTGTGTGTACAAAGTTTATAGAAGAACTAACAAAAAACTGTTAACCAGGAGTTTCCCTGAGGGATGGGACTTTAGGTGATTTTTATATTCTATATTTCCTTATTATTGGGCAATAATCAAGGTTTTAATGTTTCAATTTTTAAATTATGTCTAATTCAAAGAAACAGGTAAGTGAAGATAATAAATAATATGACATCTATTGACATTTTGACTTATTTACTTGAGACTTTTAAATGAAGTGTTACAGTTCCATTTGAAGACCTCCTCCTCTGCACACCCTTTGCTCCGTACCAGGACAAAGAACTGGCATGTGTCTTTTCCATCTCTGCCATACATGTGGGTACCCACAACAAATAAGGATTGTTTCAGGTGTTCTTTGGGCTCTGTGAACCATATTACACAGTGAGTATCCACTGACAGCTGGATGTTTTTTCATTCAGATTGATCATGCCAGTGCATGAGATCTGACTGTCATTTTAAGTGTGGTACAGACATCCACTTATATCAAGATGTGCTCCTGCTGGTATTGGGTTGTTTCTAGTTCTCACTTTTGTGAGTGATGCTTTGCACATTTCTCCATGTGCATGTGCACACGTGACTCCTCTGACTAGACACATCTGAAGCAGAACTTCTGGGTCCACCTTCAACATTTCACTAATCTGTCACCAAGCTGCTCACTAAAATGGTGGCTGCAACAATTTCGACTTCTTTCTGCAGAGTACGAGAGTTACTATTTCCTCAGGTCCTCCTTCATATTTTCAAATTTTGTGTTAATAGGATGGGTATAACTCATTTCACTTGGCAGAATTTCACACGTATTCAAGTACATTCAGAAAAACTATCAAGAAAGACAAACTCTACCCAAGTACACATTTAGTAGGAAAAGAAAAGTAGAATTACAATGACAAATTTTACTCACCGAATTTCAGACTTATATTCATTGATGGTTTTTTGGGTTGTATCAAGAGATTGATGAGGTTGTTCTGTAAGACCAGTCTGAACAGCATTTCTTAGAGCTTGGAGCTTAAAAAGATATGGATATAAGTTTTGCATTAGAAACTCTATCCCCTACAAGCAATATGGCTGGACCCATTTAGTTCTGGGCAAAATGGTGTGAGCATTTTTGTGAGTGGATGTTCAAGCATCCACCTGTCTTTAAACTTTCACCAAAATGAACTTGAACAGAGAAATATTCTTCCTGTTTTTAAAAGTCTGGAATAATAAGGGATAGTGTTTGTCTGTCCTTGTTCTACAGTCCAGGTATGCTCATAAGAAATACTACTTTCATGTTAGAGTCTCAGACACGTGTTTATTTTCACAGCTAACGGGGTCTTTCTGAGTTCTGAATACACAACAGTATTTTTGTGATATGAAGAAATCATAAAATTATAGACTCATAACAGGACATATTGTGGAATAATCTCTTATGTGGGCAGTAAGACTTTAAAGTGAGGGCATAAGACTAACATTGTCTGCAGTCAAAATTACCTGTGAAAATCCCATAGGATATTGTTGCATTGGAAATAAGTCCAAAGGGTTGCCATTCTTTTGAGCATCAGTTGTGTTTAGGAACCACACCATGGAAAAATATATATATAAAGATAAAAATGTCTCTAAGGACAAAGGGATTCTCAAGCCGCCAATGGTCCCAGGGTCTGAGATCACTTCAGCAAGTAATAGCCACTTGTCTTCCATCTGATACCCCCTTCTTATGGTTGGGATCACTTACATTATACACAAACATTCCTCTTCAAAGCAAGTGTATGCAGCTGAATTTGGGCTTATTAAATGTACACCATCTATACCCTTCCTTTGGCTTCTAGGTAGGATGATATGTCACATATCCCAGACTGTGGGAACATGCAAAAGAGGTGCAGAAATATTTTGCTGCTAGAAAGTATTTTCATTGTTTGCCTCATCAAAAGAACCAGCCCCACCAACAGGCATGGAGATTGCATGTACCTTATCAGTGAGAAATTTTGCCTTGTTTCTCTGGTGTCTTGCAAGGTACTGGTCATATAATTGAACCAGTTTGGCTGCCAAAACATGCTCTCGGCTAAAACAAGGGTGATGAGTGAAGATTAGCCCTGAAATATCAATGTCCAGTTGGAAATTTCCTGGTGGGTCTCCAGATCCAATCATATGCTGACTACTGTGGACATACTTCACTGCCTGCCAGGAGAGAAGAGAGAGGATGGCCATAATTAAAGCACTTACTAAATGATGCTCTAGTCCTCAAAAGTACAGAGGCAAAATGTCTCCTCTCATGTCAAGCTGGGTACCAGGTACTTGATTGCTTGTTTAGGGCCCTGCTTTTTTCTGAATATTTAAAATGAAAGACCAAGCAAGAAACCATTTCAGTCTTGTTTTCCTATGCATTCTAGACTTTACTACTCTCTCAAGTCATAGTTTTAACCTTTTTCCTGCAGACTATCCTGTTTCTTGAAATCTTAAGTTTTGTAGTTAGAGACCTTGAAATTTTTTTTAACTGTGAGAAGCATAGATTCTAGTCCCAACTTATTTATTTATTTATTTGGTAGTACTGGGTTTGAACTTAGAGTTTTGCTCTTGCTAGGTTGGTGCTGTATTGCTTGAGCCATACCTCCAGCCCCAACCTGGTCATTATTATTTGGATCATAGATGTATTCCCATGTAACTAAAATTTTAAAACATGGAGAAGTTTTTGTTTTGTACACAGAAGCAAGAGAGTTTTTCCTTAATTGTACTTCATGCTGGTATCCAGTTTGGGGGTAGTCAATGGGCAAAATAACAGAGGAAGGGGTGGGGAACAGCTGAGCCTGTTGTACAAAAAACAGGAATGGAGATTTCCTGTGGGAATTTCTTGAATTGTTCAATGTATCAGGGCAGATAATTCTCTCTGGTTTTCTTTAGTAAAATCTTCAAGAAATTTTTCATCAATCACCACTGCTTACTGAAGTAGGAAGCTTAAAAGAGAGGGGTATCTCTGATTTTGAATTTTTATTTTCTTTCCTGGCTATAGATACTGACTATAGTCAGGACATGCTGATTTGAGACTCAATTCTTCTCTTTTATAGGGATAAGCTTTAGAAGCTATTTTTGTTGTCTGGAAAATCATGAGATTGCATTGTACAAATGTTTTATTCACAAATTCTGAGGTAAAATGGAAATTGAAAAAATCACTAGAGAGAACTGAAGCTTTCATCTTTCATAAACTGTGGTAACATGATCAACAATCTCCTCATCTAATTCTCCTGTATAGCATCAGGTAAAGAAGCCTTGGATTCTAGCCCTGGTTCTACCTTGAACTTGCTTTGGGACCATAGCAAATCACTTGTCTCTGGGCCATTATGGCTTCATCTATAAAAGTAGGAGGCTGAGGGAGAAAATTTAATTACCATTTTATAGAGCACTAGGCATCATATCAAGCACTTCATATATACCATCTCATTTATTCAACAAAGATTAATGCATGTCTACAACATAGTGGGAGTTAGAGGAGAAGAAAGACTGGAAATTGACAGAAAAAAGCTTGGGCTCTACAGAAAGTGTGGAAACTCAGAAGAGGGGATTTGCATTACAGACCTGTGACTTAAACAAGATTCTAATGTTATTTCCTATGAGGCTAAGAACAGAAAAGGAAGATGTATCTGTGTGTGTGTACATGTACATGTTGTATGTATAAGACAGCATTCCCACTGGTTTTATGGTGTGATCTGATTTTCAGTTACTCTTAGTAAAAAGGGTTCCCAGTATTTGCATTTGTACTAAAGCATACTCCTAGCCTTCATCACGGGCAGACTTGTCATTGTTTTGTGCTGTTGCCTACTGTGTGTCAGTCCTCTCAAGAAAGACTATTTTCATCACTCAATTCCACACTTTTTCCAGATTCTACACTATTAATGTATATTTAGGATTTAGAATTTTTCATAGGACACTAATACAATGTGTCCGACACTTATATTAATATAATATCAAGTTTTTTTCTGTAAAACAATACCATTTATCTTTGATGAGACTTTTTTGGCAGTGCTAGAATTTGAACTCAGGGCCTCATGCTTACTAGGCTGCTAGTTTAGTACTTGAACTATGGCCCCAGCCTCAGACTTTTTATTTTTTAAAATGTCAATGTAAAGCTGGTATATGTTTACAAATATTATAGGCTTGAACAGAAATGAATTAACTATATCTCAGTACTTTCCAAAATATACTTTATTTCCCAAATCTGTATTATCCCATGTTCCAATAATTGCTAGTGGTAATCTGCCTTAAGCTCAGCTCAACCAAATAGGAAAGCTTCCAGGACTCCTGGTGTCTATTGGACTAGACTACTCAAGACTCCACCTCTCTTGCTATTAGAGAGAAAGACTCTTAGTTCCTCGCCTTTTTGTTGCATTTGTCTTCTGTTGTGGGGTTTGGATATGAAATGTATTCCCCAAACGTTCATGTGTGGAAGGCTTGGTTCCCTCTGGTGGTGTTACTGAGAGGCAAGGGTACCATGAGGGTGTGAATTTCATGAATGGGCTAACCCACTGAGGACTTCATACTCAAGGGGCTGTTAGTAATTGGAGCTCGGTTGGAGGAAGTAGGTCACTGGGGGTGTGCCTTTGAAAAGTCCATCTTGTTCCTGCCCCCTACTATCTCTCTCTTTGTCTCTGTGTCCCTCTGTCTCTGTCTCTCTTTTCCTTCTCTCTCTGTTTCCTAGCTACCATGAGCTAAGCAACTCTGTTCTGTTATGCTCTCTTTCCATCATGATGCTCTGCCTTACTACAGGCCCTCCACAATGGGCCAAGAGACCATGGACCAAAACTTCAGAAACTGAGCCCAAATAAATCTGCCTTCTTTTAAATTGTTTCTCACAGGTATTTTGTCATAACAACAAAAATCTAACTATCACACCTTCCTTTTTTATATATTGAGAGCTATCAAAAAACCAGTACCAACAATTCCTCCCAAGCATCGCCTCTTGAATGTTTCAGAGGAAACATCCTCACGGTTCACCTTTCACTGTTCTTTGTATCTTATGGAAGCCATGTGTGGCCTTTCAGAGACGAGTTCTGATCATGGCTGTCCTTACACTTGAGGCTGCAACATGGAGGCCCATTTCTTATCTCTTTCATTCAGGTAAAAGTAACACCTGCCCTGGTGTTAGAAGTTTTTAATTTGCATGTAGCCATTACATGTCTTATGATCACCCAGATAACCTGGGTTAATTAAAAACTCTTCCTTACACAGACATGTACACCTAAATTCAAAGATGGAACAGGAAGAATCACTGACTGCCTAGCTGCTTTGTGCCTGCTAGTTCTTGCCTTGCCTTTCCTCTTTCCATGCAGATTTCCAGAGTCATGAGCTCACTCAAAGTGTGGCTCTCAGGTTCCACCTTGTATTCTTCTTGGTATGAGTAAGCAATGCTGGCAGAAGGCTTGTATGGACTTGTAGTGTTGTCTGGGTCATCTGAATTTTCATCTCCTTCCCCAAATTTGCCAAATCTACATTAGCTCATATGTCAATAATTGCTGGTGGTCTCTGCCTTAAGTTCTTAAGCTCAATTCAGTTAAATACAAAAGGCTTCCAGAACTTCTGGTAGCCTCTGGGCTACACTGTTCAAAATTCCCCAACCCTTTTCCTTAGTGAGAAGGACTGCTAGATCTTTGTCTTTTTGTTGTATCTGCTTTCACTTCTTACATATGAAGAACTATCATGAAAACAATAGCAACAATTTCTCCCAAGGAGTATATTTTAGCTGTGAAATTGACTTGATTCTTCAGCCTTCAATTGAAATCTGAAAACCAAAACTTAAGAGGTGATGTGTATGGGTCATTTGTTGATATTCTCCATATGTACAGAGGTGCATGCCAATGGATTAAAAAGAAATTAAAAGAATTAAAAGTTATACATAAAAATAATAATTATTGGTGGGGTTAAAAAAAGAAGTTTCTACATTTTTCCTGTAAAAATAATAGCAACAAAGCCTGAGTCCAGTCCAAAGCCTGTAGAAGACTGTAAATCCAGTGTTCTGGGTTTCCCTGGGAAATTTTCTCATTTTTCTCTTCAAGATTGATAGATACATATCTCCTGAAACATGTGGCTGGTGGGGTACAGGATACACTTACTGCTACTGTAGTTTGTCCTTGGTCTTGATCATGTGAAATGTGGGAAAAATCTGATTCCCTTTTCTGTGGAGTTGTTAAGGTAGGCCATCAAAGGTCAAGTTCCCCCAATATGTGGGAAATTCTGGCCTGCCAATAATAGGAAAGAACAAGAGCCGTCGATATTTTAGGAGAACTAGAGGAAAGAGAGAAGGAGAATGATCCCTGATGGCATGGAGACCCTGGTCCTAGCTCAAGCCTTGATTCCTAAAGCTCCTCTTTCAATCTTATGATTTGTCCCCAGATCCCACCCAGTTCTATAGGTCACCAAAGTTCCTTCTTGGCTTAAGCTAATTTGCACTGAGTTTCTGTCATTTGCAACCAAGACTCCAGACCATCACGAAGCTTAGAACTCAGTGGATGAGTACTGCTTCTGTGAAAAGTTGGTAAGAACAGCACAAGGGGAAAGTGACAATTTTATGAAGCAGTGACTGTCAAGGAGGTTGGAATTCTGACAAATTCCTCTAACTGGCAAATAGTTCTGATAAGGGGCACCTCCTGTACATCACCTGATTCCATTTCTGCCTCTCACATGAGGCACAAAGTCTCCCCAAGACCAAGTTTAAATGCTGTTACCTTTGTATTCCTAGAGTTTAGCACAACTAAGTGTGTAGTAGACTTTCAGTTAGGGATGGAAAGAATAAAGCAGGGAGGAAGGAAGGAAAGAAGGAAGAAAGGAAGGAAGAAAGGAAGGAGGCTGAGGGGGCTGCTTTTCAGCAACTCTAGCCCTACTTTGCTATTGTGATTAGGTGAACCACATGTTATAGAATGTTTTATCTGTGATATTCTATTTGGCATTTTTATCTTTTAGACTTGGAATAGTCCCTTCTTAAAATGTGTCAGGTTGCATGTGTTAAATTTGAAGCTTAACTTTTTTTCTGTGCATGATATCTAATCTCTTTTTTTGCATTTCTTTATCTTTAATGGTATCTTCTCAATTTAGGAACAACAGAATATTTCACTTTTATTGTGAGTGTGTTTTTCACACTTTTTTTTTTTGGTGGAACTGGGTTTTGAACTTAGGGCTTTGCACTTGCAAAGCAGGCACACTACTGCTTGAACCACACCTGCAGTCAGTATATTTCACTGTTAAAAATTGTATTTTACACTCTGTAATTAAAGGAAATAGCAGAGCTGAAATAATAACTCTTCTAAATAGAATTCTTAGATTATCTACTCAGAAGGCATATTCATCATTTGAACTGATGGTCTAGTCTATCTCACCAAAGAACAAGCAAGTTTAACTTTAATGGTAAATAAGATCTGTCAATCTGGTCAGGTTGAGTTAGCATCAGACCTGGAAACACTGAGGTATAAGTGCCTGGAGGCTCCGTTAAGAGTCCAAGGAATTTCTGAATCCTGCAGCAGTCTGACTAGTTGTTCTATCATTTGGATATAAGACTAAGTCAGGTCTCAAGAAACACTAGTAGCTTTTCTAGCTAAGAGATAGCTAAGTACAGAGAGGAGTAGAAGAGAAGGCATTTCTTTTGAGTACACTAGGATAAGCATTTTAATGATGAGTAGTTTGCACTTGTGTTGAGGTATTATTTCTTATGTGCTAAATGCTTGATTTAAGAAGAAAAATATAATCTAGTCCTGGACCCCCAGTTACTCTCAAGGTAGAGGGGGAGGGGAAGAGAGATGGATTAGCAGTCTGTGAATAAAATAAACTCAGCCTGTTGAGCTGTTTCTCTGCTCCCATATCTTCCCCAAACTCATAGATGTAAGTAAGGTCTCTTTGGACATGAAATGGAAAATATAAGACATGTGAGTTAAAATAAGTTTTTAAAAAAGGAAAGCCTATTGCAAGACACAGGTTTCAGCATCAGACAGATAAGACTAAATGGAGCAGTATATTAAATAAATTGCTCATTTGCTAGATTTAACCATTCTATAATGATATATTCTTCAAAACGTCATATTGTACATGATAAAAATATAAATGTTATCTATCATTTAAGAAAAGAGTATTGAAGGAAATACAGCCACTGGCTGCTTCCTAAGGGAGAAGGAAGAATGGTCTGATTAGAAAGTCAGCTGGAGCACAAGATCCATTCTGTGCTGAGCAAGGGTAAGTGGTAGTCTCTGGCTGTGCTGCCTTAGCTGCCTCTGTGAGATTGTGTGATCTTGGCACTCCATGAGCTACACTCATCAGAGCAGTTCTACTGGCTCAGCTTGATGGGGAATGTAATTCATGGGCGATAAAATAGGAAGCCATCTGGTCTTGGGTCCAAGTGGCTTTCTGCTACCCAGTTTTGTGACAATCTGATCCCTCTCACTCTAGTACATTTCTCAATTAGTTTACAACTTCTAAAGGAGACAGCTAAGATTAATTGGCTCCTTCATACCTTCCATATTAATTATTCTCTCATTTTCTAATTTTAACCCAAAATTTAGTGCTTCATTTTATCAGTGTTTCATGCTGGAGTCGATGGATGGATGAAGAAATGGAAGGATTATCTGACATGTGCATAAATTGATACTGTCTTCATCACTGATTATATCATATACCTTTGCCATGTAACCAAATAATGATTAAATCCCACAAAATCTGAGGCTTATGTTCATTCTTGTTTCATATAGCTACTCACAGGATCACACTTCTATGCAAAATAGCAATTCATTAATACTTATCTTTGGTACCAATATTTTATAGAAATTTACAATTTCACCAAAGGGCAGACTTACTATCATCTTAATATTCACAATGACCCAGTGAGGTAAAGAAGATTATGATTATTCCTACTTTTTAATTAATGAAACAGGGCCAGAGAGGTAAAGAGACCTGCCAAAGCCACCCACTAGTTAGTAAGACACCACGACTCTGCTCTGATTCTCTGACCTCATTATTGCACTTTATAGAATAACCTTTATACTCCCTCATCCTGCTTCATTTTATCAGTATGCAAATGCTATAAATTTTAAAAGACACAAGTTTCTGCAGGAGGCAATCCCAGCAAAGCAAGAACAATATAATTGATCATGAGGAAGGACAACCCTGTGTGTTTGCAATAACCAGTTACTAAACTCTGTTTAAACCACTTAAATGCTGCTGTGGTTTGGAAGTGGTTTGGGTTTGCCCCTTAAAAACTCATAAACTGGAGGCTTGGTGCCCACGGTGCTTTTGTTGAGATGGCAGAACCTTTAGGAGGTGGGAGAAGGTGATTAGATCATAGGGCATGGCCCTCAGAAGGGATTAATGTTGGTTTCGTGGAGTGAACTAGGTCTTGAGAGAATGGATTGTTGTAAAGTAGGTTCCGTTGGGATTTTTTGCTCTCTCTCTTGCTTCCAGTCTCATCAAATGATCTCTCCTGCATAAGCTCCACCAGAGTGAAGGCACCCACCATAAGCCCCTCACAGGAGCTGAGGAAACACTGGCACCACACACACTTGAACCCCCAGAACTGTGAGCTAAACAAACCTCTTTTCTTTATAAAGTACAAAAGTTCAAGTATTTTGTTCTACCAGCACAAAACAGACTGGTACATATATATATTATCTCATTCAATTTGCACAGTAGTACTAGGAGGTAGACACTATCACTATGTCTATTTTGCAGATGAAAAACTGAGGCACAGAGAGATTGAAGACCAAGTTCACCCAATGAGTGGAAGAACAAGGACTCTAATCAGGCAGCTAGGTACAGAACTTAGGACAATACAGTAGAAATGGATTTGTAAGGATAGCAAATCTCCAGTTAGATCATAAAGTCAGAACAAGCAGGAAATAATCATGCAGCAGTAACTTAGTGGTGACAGAAGAGAATAAACAGTGGTGAAAGAAGAAAAATGAAAATAAGGGCAGCTGGTCTGCATATGCGAATAAAGATGCTGACAGAGCCAATCTTGGCTGGGAACCTTGCTCCCTGTAGAGGAAGGGATTAGGTAACGCAGAGTTAGACTCTCTCTTACATACTGCAGTTTGTTCTTTATGTGCAAGATCGTGAATTATTTTTAAAAAAATCAAAGTAGAAATCTGGTGTTGGTGGCTCATGCCTATAACCTTCACTACTTGGGAGGCTTGGGATTGGGAGGATTGTGGTTTGAGGTCAGCTCAGGCAAAAAGTTAGTGAGACCCCATCTCAACCAATAAGTGGATGTTGTGGCATGTACCTGTAATCCCAAGCTACATGAGGGCCAGCTTCTTCTCACCAAAAGAAGTTGGTGAGACCTCCATATCAAGAGAACAAAACTAGGTGTGGTGGTGTGGTGTATGCCTGTCATCCCAGCTATGGAGGAAGCGTGACGTACAGGCTGACTTGGCAAAAAGTGAGACTTTCTCTCCAAAATAACCACAGCAGAAAGTGTTAGAGGTGTGACTCAAGCACCTACCTAGCAAGCATGAAACCCTAAGCTTGAAACCCCAATACTACCCACCACACCATTCAATAAGCAAAGCTATTTCAATTTTGTAGGTTAAATGTGGAGGGGATGAGTGTACCTTTTTGTACAGCATTTCAAGTTCGGCCTTGACGCTCTGCTCCTGAGTTAATAGCGCTGGCCTCACGGGAAATGGCTTGATGGGGCTGGGCAGTGCCAGGATTCTGCCATTATCTCCAAACCACTTCCTCTCCTGTGGGTTAAGCAGAGAAGAGGACCATGTGTGTGTGTGTGTGTGTGTATGTGTGTATATGTGTAGATACACATATTATATATATATATATATATTTTTTTTTCTATTTGGGCAGAAAGTGGTTTCCAAAACAAACAACACTTGCAAGAAAATTCTGTGTTGACATACATATCTCACGTACCTCCTCTTCCACCCGCAAAACGTGAAAAGTTGCTGTTTCCTCTGAAAATTGAGTTTTCACTAGACACTCCCACAATTAAGTTGTGATATAATTCCCAATCCCCCCCCCAGAATTTAAGATAAAGTTTAAATGAATGCTTAAGAAAAATGTCATGTTCTAGTCACTAAAGATTTTAGGGAAAAAAAAACAAGAAAAACTTGATATTGAGAACATTCTATCTATGGATAATTAACAGTGAATTGGGAAAAGATTGCCACCATCTGATTTAGCAGACGCCCAGATCCAGCTAGCAGAAAAACTGGTTTTGAGCAACTGAGACCCTGTCTTGTTTGAGGATCACATGACATACCGAGAGGCCACAGTAAAAAAGAAAAAAATGAACCACTTTCTGTAGACAGAATGGAAGGAGTGTAGTGGATACAGTGATGTTGAGTGCAAGGCTCCTCTGGGAGCAGCATCTACACTCACGGGCTCCTGCATCAGAAGTCTGTTTTCCATGATGTTCTGATTGGTCCGAGACACCTCCGGTCTGGCCCCAATGTAAAGGCCTTCGTCTTCCAGGAACCTGGGCTGCACATTCTCAGGAAGCTTTTTATAGGTCGGCACTAGGTAGTTCACAGATAAACACAAGAAACATTAGTGCCGGCCTCAACTTCCAGACTGCCATTCGATGAGTGAAGACCACCAACTGAGATATTATTTATGTTCTTTGAAACTACAATTTTCCAAATTAACTTCTAGAAGCAGAAGCAAGGAAAAGATGAATGTGTTCATTTGCAGTATCACGCACTCAGAACCTGACTCACCAGTGTGGCATACAGAGAAGAATGAGAAGGCAGTAATATTCAAAGCAAAGGACTGAGGTACACGTCTCAGCTCTATCGCTCTCAGCTCACTGAATTCAGGCCAGACATTGCTCTGAGTCCTTTCCTTCCGCACAACAGATATAATGAGTTTTACCTCGCTGGGCTCCTGGGAGAATTACATGATGTAAAGTATGAAGAAATGTTTTGTAAATTTAAAAACTTTTTGAGGGATGGGGTGTGGCTAGGTGGCACAGTACTTGCCTAACATGTACAAGGACCTGGGTTTCATCCTAGCACTGAAAAAAAAATTGTTGATATACATGACTATTACCTTAATTATTTGTGCTCTTTTTTTTTTTCCCCATGTGTAGAACAGATCTTCACTGAGAGCCTCCTAGTGACACTGTGGCAGGGCATTTCTGTCTGGTCCTGTTTAGGTCCCAGTAGGAGCAAAGGCAGCAACAAGAAACATAGGTCTACACAGGACCATGTCAAAGAGTGACATGTATGACAAAGAAAATACACAGGTGACAATGACTCAGGGAAGGAGGGATGAACTTGAGAAAACAAAGAGGCTTTGCGAAAGCACACAAGGGAGGGGTGAGGATAGGTAAGACACCTAAAAAACTAGCTAGCATTTGTTGCCCTTAACGCAGAGAAACTAAAGCAGATACCTTAAAGCAACTGAGGCCAACAGGAAAAGGGGAACAGGTACTAGAGAAAAGGTTAGATCAAAAAGAATTAACCTAGAAGGTAACACCCACGCACAGGAAATCAATGTGAGTCAATGCCCTGTATAGCTATCCTTATCTCAACCAGCAAAAACCCTTGTTCCTTCCTATTATTGCTTATACTCTCTCTACAACAAAATTAGAAATAAGGGCAAAATAGTTTCTGCTGGGCATTGAGGGGGGAGAGGGAGGGGGCGGAGTGGGTGGTAAGGGAGGGGGTGGGAGCAGGGGGGAGAAATGAACAAGGCATACCAAGCCTTGTATGCACATATGAATAATAAAAGAAAAATGAAAAAAAAAACCAAAAAACAAAAAACAAAGAGGCTTTGCTCAGAAGGTGATGATTTTGCAATGACACCTGCAGGCTGAGTAGGAATCAGTGATGGACAGGAGAGCGAATTCAACAAGGGAAGAGCATAAGTGCCACGTGACAATGTTTTAGCCAGTGGTGTGATGTCTGAGAGATGGTCCCATAAGATTCTAAAGGAGCCCAAAAGTTTCTATCCCCTAGTGACACTGTAATTACCATTGTGTTCTAGTTACCTACAATATCAGTATGGTTACATACCATGCGTGTTTTTACCTACAGCCACAGGCTCACCACACAGCCCAGGGGTGTAGGAGGCTGTGCTTCCTTGGTTTGTGCAAGTACACTATGGGGCTCACATACAATGACAAAATCACTAAACAACACATTTCTCAGAAAGTATTCCTATTGTTAAGCAGGCATGACTGTAATAAGGACTAGGTGTCTTGAGGAAACATGTCATCTTCTAGGAGGCTGTGGTAGTGAGCAAAGGAAGGAATAGAGGAGAGAAAGTGAGGAGGCCTTTAAAGACAGAGAGAGGAGCTTGGGGCTCTGTGCCAGGGAGGGACCCAGCAGATGTAAGATTTTAACAGGGCCATGGAGCCTACTGCAGCAGAGTGGTCTAGAGGACACAGAGGAGAAGCCAGGATAGGATGACCTATGGGAGTCAGAATGTAATGTGAGAATTAGTGTTTACAGGGGACTCATTTTTTTGTGTCAGTATTATCTCACTCTGAATCGACAGTAAATACCTGACCATACTGACTTGTCTGTGTGTGGCCATTTGGATACTTCACTCCCTTCACATCCACACAAACCAACCAATGCCAGTGTTCCTAAAAAAACTCACGTCTGGTCCTCAGGGTAAATATGGTGGGTGCATTTTGTATTCATGAATGAAAATAGAATAATGGAACCTGTTACAGTTGTTCAAAGAAGGGGTAGTGAGGTGAGGGAGAAGGATGGAGGGGGTGATCTAATTAAGATATATGGTAGGCACATGTGTAAATGTCACAATGTATTCCCCTGGTACAACTATCAAATGCTTATCTAAAAAAACACTTAAGCCCTCAAAAAAAAAAAGAAGCATGGGACAAACTAATGTTTCATTCTCCATTCATAGGAGGCTAGACTTCGGCCGATCACTCATCTTTGGTCTCCATAATTTTTCAGTAAGATATCCAATATATGTATGCACTATTATGCTTCCAAAGTTAAATGAAGAAGGGTGAGGTTTCAAATACATGCTCGTCCTGCAGTCCTGGGGTGAACGCACTGTCCTTTGGAAGTCACTGCTCCTAGCAACAGAACAGAAGCTATGGATTCTGACTGCCTATGTTTGTGAGTCACAATACCAGACCCTTCACTCATTATTTCCTCAGTGTTCACGATCAGAACAAATACCCAAGGCATCGTTTAGGTGGTTTTAATTTCCTCCTGTCTTCACTTGAGGAACCTGAGAATAAATGGACGTGCTCAAGTCATACTCCAGGAAGAAAACAGCTGGGTCCACTTGGCCCCTTCATTACTTGGCTGTCGTATGGCCTCCTCGCTGGGCTCACTGTGGAGAGGGTAGAAGGGTAGGGGACGGATCCATGCTCAGGCTTGTCAGAAAAGGTCTCGGGTTCATCCATGGTTTCTCACAGCTCCGCCATGGCCCTTGCCACACTGCCCATTTCTGGCCCTGAGTGTGCCAGCCCCCAAGGAAAGGTTGCTTATGGTCTGCACCTCCATTCCTGGGCCCGACAGTGCATGATGATCTGCTTTCTACCTAAGGATGCTGCAAATGCCCTTCTTTGTACCCTCAAGAAACACCATGGGGCACTGCAGGTAATGCGCGACCCCTGGTGCAGGCCACCGATAGCACACACCTGCCCCCATCACTATCATCAGTGTCTTGGGCTGTTTCCCTAACTCCTCTGGGCTTCTGCTTCCTCTTCTGTAAACTAGGCATGATAAGGACCACCTCTTGCTGGCCAGGCATGATGGCACTCATCTGTAATCCCAGCTACTTGGAGGCAGAGAAAAGAGGATCATGGTCTGACACCAGCCAGGTCAAAAGTGCAAGAGCCTATGTGAAAAGCAAGGCTAAATCCAAAGGACCAAAGTTGTGGCTGAACTGGTAGAGTGCTCCTACAAGGCCCTGAGTTCAAACCTCAGTACTGAAAACAGAAAGAAGAGTAAAAAAGCCTCTGTCCCCCTGGTGGGTACACACTGGCAGATACACTTCACACTCTTAGGAAACTCCCAGTAAACAGTGAGGAGTTATTATTAAAAGCATGTGCTTCTATTCACAATAGCCAAGTTATGGAAACAGCCAAGATGCCCCACCACTGACGAATGGATTAAGAAAATGTGGTATCTCTACGCAATGGAATTTTATGCAGCCATGAAAAAGAACGAAATGTTACTCGCTGGTAAATGGATGGAATTGGAGAACATCATTCTGAGTGAGGTTAGCCTGGCCCAAAGACCAAAAATCGTATGTTCTCCCTCATATGTGGACATTAGATCAAGGGCAAACACAACAAGGGGATTGGACTATGAGCACATGATAAAAGCGAGAGCACACAAGGGAGGGGTGAGGATAGGTAAGACACCTAAAAAACTAGCTAGCATTTGTTGCCCTTAACACAGAGAAACTAAAGCAGATACCTTAAAGCAACTGAGGCCAATAGGAAAAGGGGAACAGACACTAGAGAAAAGGTTAGATCAAAAAGAATTAACTTAGAAGGTAACACACACGCACAGGAAATTAATGTGAGTCAATGCCCTGTATAGCTATCCTTATCTCAACCAGCAAAAACCCTTGTTCCTTCCTATTATTGCTTATACTCTCTCTACAACAAAATTAGAGATAAGGGCAAAATAGTTTCTGCTGGGTATTGAGGGGGTGGTGGGGGAGAGAAGGGGGTGGAGTGGGTGATAAGGGAAGGGGGTAGCAGGGGGTAGAAATGACCCAAGCCTTGTATGCACATATGAATAATAAAACAATAAAAAAAAGCATGTGCTTTTAATAATATTGTGGCAAAGTCATACTTTGTGCATTTTTGTCAACTGTATAACAGACTCTAACACCTTGAACTTGTATGGTTCAAAATGGCCTTTCAAAATGAGACAATGATTTGTCCTCAACTCAGCATTTAACTGAAACTCAGAAACAACATGGCATACTCATAGGAAGTCCACATTCCAAAATCCCATGAAGATGTACCTGTCCCCTTCCTTTCCCTCCCAACTGGAATCAGAGAAGGTAAGGCAGAACCCATGGGGCTCTTAACAACCTCAGGGAGGCTCTGTCATTTCCTGTGTCATTGGCTAGCACTGAGTGAGCATGAGGTCCCCAGGCACTGCAGAGAAAAAGAGCAAAGGCCAGAAAAGAAGCCAGAAGCAGTAACTAGCAGGAGGAAGGGAGTCATCAGATCCAGAACCCTGACCATTTCACCAAACTGAGAAACCTTACCAAGTGGGTTTCACATTCTCTCAGACCCTAGACCACACCACTGATTTGATGCAGGGGCCCTCGCGCATCTCGGTGTTTCTTCTGCTATTCTACCAGTAAGTGTTTGCTGAGTATATTTGTCACCCATGTTTTAATTTTTGTCTGAATATATTTCTTGATTGTTAAATCAGATTAGAAACTAGGATCAGTTCTGGAAACAGGCCATCCTTATATACGAGCCATATTTCATCTGAAGGAAAATGAAGACGTCCAAGTTGAGAGGAAGTACCTGTCAGTCTACTGGGTATGAAGAGAATTTCTTTTTCTTTCTGCAGCCAAACATGGGCACTTTCATACTCCGCAGGTCTGACTGCCACAAAATCACTGTCTGCATGATCCAAGCCCGACAGGAAGTCTTCAGCATCCTTTCCATGAAGCAGCTCTTCCTCATCCTGTGTTATATTAAGAGAAACAAGAAAAAGTCACACCAAGATTCTTAGTTTACCTAAGAAAATAATTACTGAATCTGAACTCATCAAACGTATTTTTCCCTTTTTAAAATGAAAGCACAGAACTATATGACCTTTCCTATTCAACAGGTGGGGTTTTGTTGGGTGTTTTCACTAGTCTATATGCCTGAAAGGTATGAAATCAGACAGGACTGACTCAGAAGAGAGCTGATAAGCAAAGTAGTTGAAATCCTAACAAACCCAGTTTCCTTTGAGGTGCTTATTTGTTGACATTTATTTTTAAAACTTGAACTCATAATTATGTAGCATTTAATCTTCTGACCCAGCACTGACCCAAGTGCAAAGACCCTGAGTGGACAGATGTAGATACCATACACTGCTCAGAAGGTCTGGGTTTGTATTCCAGCTTTGCTGAGTGCTGCCTAAGGAACTGAGAGAATTTACTTAACCTTCTGATCCTTAGTATTCTCTAATGTAACATGGGGATATTAATGGGGCTTACCTCTTAGGACTCTATGAGGATAAATTTAAATTAAATGATGCATGTGAAAATTCTAAGCACAGTGGCTATGTTAGCTGAAGTATGTTAACTTTGAGTATTTTCCAGCCTTTTTCTCCTCTCCTCTCTTCTACTTTCCTTCTCCTTCTTCTCTCCTCCTCCTTTTCCTTTTCCTCCTCCTCCTCTTTCTCCTTCATTTTTAGTTAGACAGGGTCTCACTATGTAGCCCAAGCTGCCCTCCAACGTGGGAACCTCCTGAGTCAGTGCCTCTGAGTGCCAAGATTACAGACTTGTACCGCCATTCCTGCTTCTTTTTCTTTTTATTATTTTCCTTTCTCTTTCCTCTACTCCTTCTCCATTTGAACATTTAAACCTGGCACTCATGTTTAAGCAATGTCTTTTAAGATCCTACAGAGACTTTATTTAGCTAAAGACCATGGTGGTAGCCTTTCCAAATATTTCCTTTCCAGATATATGAAACAAAAAGAAGGGAAAAGCAAATCACCATGGAAACCAAGCTTTTAGCATAGCTTGAAGAAAGAGAATGGCAAAAACATCAATAAAAGAACCAATAGCAATCCATTTTTCTACTCCTGTCTACCTCTGCTTTGTGGGGAGCAAAGGCAAAGTAAGAACAACTGCAAAGAAGACCGTAAAGAGAAGTCAGCAAGGCAGCCTCTTGATGACCTAGTTGTCCAGAAGGACTAAATTACTTTGAATATGAAAATACTTGAAAGGTGTCTGGGCAGACCAAAGACGGACTGTGGGAAGGGGTGTCCAAGTGTGCAGTTTTAGAAACATAATGTTCCTGGGGAATTGAGAAGGCAAAGGCTAAAGGGAGAACTACCCTTTAAAGGCAGAGTCATGATTTTAGAAGATGCCCACAAATTGGTCCTTCCAAAGGTGGAGCCTAATTCTCCTCCCTTGGAGAGTGCATTGTCCTTCATATCTTGTTTTATGAGTAGAATATGGCAGAAATAGTGGCAATGACTTCAGAGACTTGGTCTTAAAGGCACCATAGTTTCCTCCTTGAGTTCTCTCTTGGGTCACTTGCTTAAAGGAAACCAGCTGTCATGTCATTAAGAACACCTGAGCAATGTTATGGGGAGGTTCCATGGCAAGGCTGGACCAGCCACCTTGGAAGCAAACCCTCTAGTGTCAGCTAAGCCTACAGATACCTGCAGGCTTGTCTGCAGTCTTCTCAGAGATCCTGAATTAGAGAAAGCTGAATATTGGTACATAAAACAATTACTATAGAATAAGCAGGAACATTTCTATGTTTCTGCAGACCTGGGTAAGAAAATGCATTTCCGGGAGGCATTTTTCAAGGGATGATATTAGAGGCTGAACACAGAAGTATTGCATGTTCCATGCAAATTTTGGAACATTCTGGTGTATTGTCCTTTTTTGACTTTTTAATGTGGTGATATAAAGAATATAAAATTTACCATTTCAACCATTTTAAAGTGTAAAGTTCTGTGGCATTACGGGTATTTGCATAGCTGTGTTACCATCACCACCGTCTATCTCCAGAATTTTTATTTCCCATACTAAAACTCTGTTCCCATTAAACAGTCATTCCCTATTCCTTTCTACTCCCAGACCCTGGCAACCACCATTATACTTTCTGTTTCTATAATTCTGATTACCCTAGGCAACTCAAATAAGTGGACTCACACAATATTTGTCCTTTTGTGAATGACTTATTTCACTCAGCATAATAATGTCTTCAAGGTACATCTGTGTTGTAGCATTCATTTTTCCATTTACCTTTTGGCTAGTGTGAATGTTGAGGTACAACTGTCTATTCAACTATGTTTCAATTTTTATGGGTATATCCTCAGAACAGAATAGCTAGATCACATGGTACTTGTTAAAATTTTAATTACCACCATACTTTTTTAAAACAGTAGCCATAACCATTCTACTTGCCTTACCAGCAGTACACAAAAGTCCAATCTCTCCACACCTTTTTCAACATTTATTTTTTTTAATAATCATTCTAATGGATGAGAAGAGATATTATATTGTGGTTTTAATTTGCATTTTCCTTATGATTAGTAAGGTTAAGTATCTTTTCATGTGTTTATTGGCCATTTGTATATCTTCTGTAGAGAAATGTCTTTTGAAAACCGAAGGTATCTCACTAGTATATACAATTTTCGTGTTTTTATGCATCAGTTAAAAATAAGTAAAATAATTAAAAAACCTTAACCTAATTTTAATGGTTTGTTTTTCTTTTATGTGCCACATACCAGATTCACAGTTCTGGAATGACATCTGTAGCTTGGGTGTGGTATTGGGCACAAAAAGCTGTGGGAGAGAGAAAGGTTTCATTTGCCACAGAGGCAAATACTTTGCATGTGAAATGAACACTAATCATTGTACAGTCTAGCAAGAAAAATCTGCAAACCATATTATTTCATTTTTTTTTGTATAAGAGAAAGATGTGGACAGATTTAATCAAGGCCCTTACTACTCAAACAGTGGGGTGTAATCAAGAGCTACAGAAAACCATGTGAGGCCAGTTCACCTCACTGAGCAGTAATGCCTGCTGCCTTTGTACAGTGATGGCAGGTTTCTCCTCAGCTACTTCCTTCCTTGCTATGCTTTCTCCCTCATCATTTACCTTTGCAGTCTTTCCCCCTCCTCAGTACCATCAAGACACCAAATACCATCTGCTTACCCTTTGTGTGGGTGATTCTTCTTCCTCCCCTTTCTCTTCCTCTTGATTAGCTCCAGCTCTACCTTTTACCTTTGGTTTTTCCTCTGGCTCAGGATCAAAGTTGAAAGTAAAGAAGTTGTAGGCCTCTTCTGCAGAAGGGAAGCCAGGTGGAGCCTAAGGGGAAGCAAGGAGCACCTTCAGATTATTGAATCTGAATGACCCCTCAAGAGTAACTGACAGCTGGCATGATGTTAATGCTATCAGATGCATTGAGGCCTCCTAACTCTGTTGTCTTAGTTGAAGGTTAACTGGATTACTGGTAATGAATTTTTAACAAGAGCAACATGCTGTTGGAAGTTTTAAAAATAATTGTAGTTACTTTATAAAAAAATCAATCATTTACATTCCATTATGCAAATAAATATCTTATTTCCAGGAATATAAGCTTCAGAAATGATTAGTAACATGGCAAAAAGTGGATTCACTGTTACACAGGCCAGTGCTGAGATAATTTTGTTCAGTTATGAGAATTATAAGATTTGTTAACTTTTTTTTTTTAATGTCCTATTTTGTTTTTGGTTCTCCTTGAGTTGGTAATGTTCCTTCTTCCTCAACATGAAGGCTGGTGCAAATTCAGTGCTGAACCAAGTGTCTCAACCCTACTATTTCCTGCCATCCATGAGCCTCCCTTCTTCCCCCACGTGAAGCAGTATTCTAAGCTCTCCAGCTAGATTCTAGGAGTTTTGAGAGCCCACTCCTTTCTCACAGTTTTTTTTTTTTTTTCTTGTATTCTCCAAGGCAACAGGGCTCAGGTATGTGGATGGACATCTGTTATTGGGTAGTTTTGGAAAACACAAAAAACTACTATTTAAAGAGGCAGGATTTCTCACCTGGGGTTTAGCCTTGATTTTTCGTGCAGAATCACGGAACTTTACTCTTAAATAACTTTGTGAATCATCTTCTTGTTGAGTCCCTGGTACCTCTTTACCTGACTACATGAATGGGAAAAATGACAGATAAATCAAGTAAGTCAAGAATCTAAGGTTGTTCTAAATTAAAGGTTATAACCCTTTATCTTGTTACTATTGCTGCATCTCATCATTTAGAGGGATGAAATGCTTACAAATTTCAACTATACTTAAAAGTTAAGATGGCCAAACATTTTCTTACTCAACCTTGTTTCTGTTAAGGCTATGTAAATGTAAAATTATATACTCAATAAGTCCTAAAGTGGAAGATTCTATAGATCAAAAGATTGTGCATTTTGCAGAAGCTAATTCGCAAATAATCTATTTAAAAATCATCAGTAATGTTTGAGTATAAGTAATTCCATTGCTTCCTACCCTTCTTCCCCCAGGCACAAGGTTTGTTTCTCACTGAGCCTCGGGACTTCTTGTTCATTTGGTGAACTGTCTATTTGGTGAGACTTCTGCCTATACAGGTCAAGTGTCCCTTATCCAAAATGCTTGGCTTCAGAAGTATTTCAGATTCTGGATTTTTGGGAAGGTTTTGGAATGTTTGCATAGATGTAATGAGATATCTTAGGTATGGTTCCAAAGTCCAAATACAAAATTTATTTATGTTTCATATACACTATACCTCATACACATGACTGAAGATAATTTAATACAATATTTTTAGTGCATCTGTGTTTTGACTATGATCTATCACACAAGATCAAGTATGGAATTTTTTCCTTGTGGTGTCATGTCTGTGCTCAAATAGATTTGGATTTTGAAGCATTTCATATTTCAGATGTGTGCATTAAGGATGCCCTTAACTTGTACTTGCTCAATGTGAGATTCTCTTTCTGTTATTCCCTTTGTCCTCAGAATCAACTTCCCATTCATCTCTCCTTCTAAACTCTCCCATCTAGAACCTTTCCACTTAGCAAAATCCAAATGCTGTGCCTTTCTTTTGAACAATTTGAATCCAATTTTGAACAATTAGATTCTACAATAGTAGCATCTAAATAATTCTACCATCCCATTAATGTATCTAGATATTCAAAATGAGAAGGTACAACCTCAGTCTACTGATGGAAACTTGATCACTATTATTTGGATTGAGACATTTCATAGCACGGAACAATTTTCACTTAACGACAATCATGTGGGGACTTTTAATATATCTGTCTCAAGTCCTTCCTGTTCCTCAAGACCATGCAAAGCATCCAACATGATCTTTCTTTTCTAGAATCTTATCATCTTAGTCAAACCTGGTACTGTTCTTATAAGCTTGGTCACTGAAATCATGAGCTCTAGAGTCAATACATCTGGCTCTGAATCCCAGCTCTACCTCATGTAACTTAGTCTATTGGTTTGAGCATCAAATGGGATAATGTTCATGAAATATAAGCCATATCTCAATGTTTGCTGCTATCTCATGGCTAGTTTTCTTGTTACATCTCTATCTTGTCTCCCAAGTTTGTATGTACATAATGTGACTATAAATGTTTTATTTTGGCCTGCCAGAAGCCAGAGCCTGAGAAGGTTTTTTTGTTTGACTGCTTTTGTTTTTGTTTTTGATTTTATTTTTTGCCTGTGGTTGATTTTGAGAATTAATACCAAAGAACAGGAATTGGGGACTGGGGAGATTTAAATAGGATGGAAAGTCAATTCAAGGGAACATCTTAGAGTCAGTGTTTGCAATGGGAAACACAGCTTAATGCTACTGGGGATCCTCTGAAGGCCTTGTAGAATGCTTCTCAGAACTGTTCATCTGGGACAGAGAAAAGGGTAAAATTTGTCCCTTAAGTGGTCAAGGGTTGCTCTGGGGAGGGGGTCAAGGGCAGGGGTAAGGAGTTAAGCCCCTGGTGCTTCCAGTTCTGTGTGTATATCAGAACAGCTCAGTGGGTCTTCATAGGGTTTCTGAAGAGGCAGATGGACCCCTGGGATGGAAGTTGGAGGTACTTGGCACAGTTAAGGCGGTGTTATGAAATTTTACTCACATATAGCTTGATGTCCAGTAACAGCCACCATAAAAGCAAGAGCGTTAGTTGGGTATAATCAGCCACACTATCAAGGGAATAGACGTAGTTTGCATTTGTATAAAATTTTATATTTTTTCTCTATTCTCTCATTTTGTAGTGTTGAGATTTAGTTATATACAAGCTTAATGAAAGCTGAAGTTCAATGCAGTGTAAAATAAAGGAGATAATATTTGTCTTGGTCAATTCCAGAATTTTAAATATTGTTTTTGAGGATGAGGAAAGAAGTGCCTGAGTATTACATTGTGTAAGGATAAACAAACAGACAGACAGACAAATGAATAAGCTGGAGAAGAATAAAGATCATTTCCCTGTGTTTGGTCAGGAAGGTGTTGTAAGATTCTGCCAAATCCAGGCCCCTCATAAAATAGGGCTAAGATTTTTTTCATACACTGTCCACCTCAGAATTCCCCATCTCCAGTAGCCTATGAGACAATGAAGTGTTTGAGAATAAAACAAAGCAAGAGGTCAACCCAAGGCAAAGGCAAGAAACCTGCATAGGCAAGTCTTCGGTTATAGAGATCTGTGAAGATGATTGTAATAAGATACAAGACCAGGCAGAAAGTCTAACATGAATAGTTTAGAAAATAAATAGGTTAAATCCCAAATGGCCATACAAGGGTATATAGAGGTTAGCATTTTATTCATTTGTTTCTTTCCTTCTCTCTATATTTGCTTGGTATAGAAGCTAAGTTCAGTTAATATAATTTCACTGGTGTGTTTTACTAAAGAATTGATGACTTTACCCTAATAGTTATGGAATTAATAAAAAAAATTTCCAATTTTATCAAAATCTAAAAAAAAAGTAAAAATGTAAGTACATTTAAGGCCAGTAAATATGAAATGATTGAGTGTGCTGAATTAAATTTATGGAAATATTATCTAAAATACATTTGCAGTGTAAAGTAACAGCTTACATTCAGTTCCAATCCAGCATTCAAATACTGAGTGTTTCTTTTACATGCTCATGTGTCCAGCTAGGAATTCTTTCTCACCCTTTAATTTGTTGTATCTTCCAAAAATATTCCATGATCCTCTTCCAACTTGAGCTAGACAATCTCAAGTCTCATTACTTTTATTAGAGCATAATTATAAAGTATATTTGTTTTTGCCCTGATCTCTCTTCTAAACTTCTAATCAGTGTTTTAAATCCTAACCTCATTATCTCACAGATATCTCAAATTTTATATATTCTTAATACTAGTTCTGATATTAAACAAGGTATATGATTTTCAAATAAATATCTTTTCTTTGTTGTCTTTTTCTTGACGACATCCTTTAAATCACAGAAGCTTTTAGTTTTGATAAAGGCCAGTGGATCCATTTATTCCTTTGTTACTTGTGTTTTTGGTGCCACATCTAAGAAAAACATTGCCTAATCCAAGAGACCTTAATTTTTGTATGATCTGACTCCAAGACTGGGGTTAGGTGCCATTTCTGTGGGCTCTTAATGATACCCACTGCAAAGCAGAACCACTGTATACCAACATTGGCTGTTAACGTGTCTATCACCACACTGAACTCCAAAAGGGCAGGCTGTTACTGGTATCACTGTGTGTTCAGAGCCTCCTGAATGCCTGGCAGGAAGGAGTCTCCCATAAATGATGACTGGGCAACAGATAGAGTGTGTTAGAAGATCAGATCTTGGGTCACATGGGGTTGTGAATCAAGGCCACATATGAAGACATTTTTATCACATCTAGTTGGTACTCAACATAGTCTATGCTATTTCTACTTTGATTTTTATGTGTTCTTTGAGGTTTGCATTTGTTCTCTTATCACGTCTGCTGAGTAAAAAGGGAGAGGAAACGTAAGAGATTGCTTTGGTGAACTAAGATTACTGACCAAATACTCCCATCTGTTTTCTCCTTTTCTCTCTGACATCAGCCTCTAACAAGGGCTCATACTTAAATAAAGAGAGCTTAACAGGTACTGTCTGGAACACCGTGAACGTGTGTTAACTCATTTAATCCATACAACAATACCAAGAATTAGGATCTGGTATTGTCCCTCTGTGTAGAAGTGGATACTGGGGTTCAGAGAGTCAAGAAGCTACATTTCAAAGTAGAGAGAGTCTACTTCTCACCTCTGTGCCAAACTCAGTCTCCGATTCTCTCTCACTGGGACTTCGCAGGTGCCTAGGTCTTGGGGTAGGAATTTCTTGCAGCAATGCACTTTCTGCCTTGGACTAAAAAGTCAAACAAAATTACCACTAGGGTAATGTCAGGAATGCTATGAAAACCTCAGTTGGCATCTCAGAAGAGAATAATCAGTTTAAAAATACACGCTGTCCCTCTTTAAGGGACAAAAGCAAGGGAAATAGTTTAGAAGAATGACATTAATTCTTGAGCATAATATTCATCTGGGCCAAGCAAAACACTGCATTCACATGTATGATTTGAAAGAAAATTGAACGGTATTCAAATCCACACAGTTTGGAACACACAAAGCAAGCCAGACAAGTTCTGGAAAACTGCAATCAGCACTGAACAGAATATTCACATTGTTCTCTCACCCTGGCAGCTTGAAGCTTCTCCCTCATGCGTTCCCTCATGGAAAATTCTGCAAAGCCCGTTCTGGAAGTTGAAGGAATTGGAGGTAAGCCTTAAAGAATACAGGAAAATTAAATGTTTAAGAGCTAGGGATGTAGTTCAGTGGACAGTACACTTACCTAACATATACAGAGTCCTGGGTTTGATCCCCAGCACCACTAAACAAACAGAGTAACAAACAACCAAACAAACAATGGGAAATTACTTTTAAACATTTTTCTCAAGGTGAAAATTAAATTTTAAAAGTGACAGAATGTAATTTTTCAAATTCAGAGCTTTACATAACATGAAATGAAGCTGACAATCCTTCTTTTGATGTGGTAAGTACATGTTTTGACTTCTTTGAGACTGACAGTGAAGACCATGGTCTGGTCAGAGGCTGTCACTTTGATTTAACTAATACACTGAATGTCATCTGTTTATTCAAGGCACACAAACACTAACCAACTCAATTACCACTGGGAAGAGGCTTTTCAATTTGGTGACTTTTCTCATGTTTATTCACATAATCATGATGGAAGCAATGGCTAGAGAAGATGGAGTCATGCCTTTCCTGATAACTAGTAACACAGTAGGTAATATATATTTGCATGTGTCTCAGGCCTCCAAGTGCCTACAGTGGTAGACTACAGTTGGTGAGCTATGGGTTTTTCCTCCTTTGCTCAGTGGGCATCCTTTAACTAGAATGTTCACCCCATTCTCCAGCTGCTGGGTTCCAAGGTAACACCAAGAGCCCTCCTTCAGGCTGCTCATCTCTGAATCTCAGACTAAGCTTCATAAAAATTCTTCTCTCCAGGTCTTGATGACTTTTTTTTTTAAGTTGCCAAAATTAAATTATCTACTTCATTTATATCAACTTTCACTGGATTCTGAACTTTCTCTGTAACAAATACTGAGAAATTGGCTCTGAAAATGATACTTTAATCAGAGAAACTAACATGAATGAATGGAAAACAGATGCTAGTAATGAAGAAATTTATATTATAGTTTCTCCCTGAAGAGACAGTGCAAGATGGAATTGTGGGGGATGGGCACACTTCTAATAGATGCCTATTTGATTTGGAACTACAGCATATTCAATTAAATGCTTTCCTTGTTTGGAATGTCATAACTATATATAAGTTTGATTAACAAATTAGAAGCTAAAGTTTTCAATGCATGGATTTGCATTTGTTCAAAAGGGATGTAGCACCTCTGGGCATATACCTGGTACAGTATGGGAGGCCACAGGGTCAGGGATGCTGGTTTCTTAGCCTGACCTTGATAGCACTGGGAACCCTGAATGGAGCTACAGTATGACAGAAGGTCCCAGGTTCAAGGTGAGGAGCTGGGCTGGTAACACTTAGGGCAGCCCAGACCAATGAGATGGTTAGGAAGTAAAAAGTCAGGACAGGAATCAAATATTTGCATCCTGGTGGGCAAACTTGATTGGAGGCTCTGTCGGGCATGCTTGATGTGTTCGCTCAGCTCACATTGTGTGATGCCATCTATACTTTGCTGCTGGGTGGGGCAGAGTTCAAAGTCCATTTCTGTTCTCTAGGACTTCCGTCTGGTGTTGGTGGTGGGAGGGTCTGAGTACTAACAACAAGAGACTTCAACAAGAATACTAATAACAAGATGCCACAGAGATGGTCTTCTCGGCCTGTCCCAGGCTTAAAGGGTACTTTCCAAAGGGGTGATGTATGTTTGATTTTTGAAAGATGAGTAGATTGGGTTAAAAAAGAAAACAGAAACAAAACCTCCAATAGGGAAGGGGTTTTTCTAGGGAGGGGAGCTAAGGGAGTGATCTACTTGAGTGCCTTTCTTTTTGGAAAATACTGAGGGACAACCAGATGGAGAATTTTGTGAAGACTCTAAACTGACTTTATGCCTCATATCAGGAGTCTTCTATGGGTCCCTGACAACCACTGCTGGGTTACAGTACTGCCATTGTGGGCAACTGGAGTCTATGAGCTTCTAAAGACCAACCAGGTTAAATTCAAGGATGCAGCAAGTGAGAACACAGATGCTGGAGGCCAGCAGATTAAAGCATGAATCCTGGCTCTGTCACTTCTAGCTATTGATTCTTTCTGGATCTTAGTTTCCTAATCTATAAAACAATGCATGAGGCTTGATGTGGTGGCCCATTCCTGTAATCTCAGTTACTTGGGAGGTGGAGATGGAGAGGACTGTGGTTTGAGGCCAGCCCAGCCAAGAACTTAATGAGACCCTGTTTCAACAAACAAGTCAGCTGTGGTGGTACATATCTGTAATCTTAGCTATGCAGGAGGTTTAAGTAGGAGGATCATGATTTGAGGCTGGCCAGGCAAAAATGTAAGACCCCAAATGAAAAATAACTAAAACCAAAAGGGCTGGAGGTATGGCTCAAGTGGCAGAGCACCTGACTAGCAAGTATGACAACCTGAGTTTAAACTCCAATATTGCCAATAAAACATAAAATAGGACTGGTCTGACAATTAAATAATAAAATACATGTAAAAACCTTAGCATGGTGCCTATCTGACTCAGAACATGGTCTTACATTCTTAGTGTTTAAAGTTGTCAGATTTATTTTGTTTATCTGTCTGTCCACCTATATATTGGTCTGTTATGTCTGCTTAATCCTCTCTCTCTCCCTCTCTTTCTCTCTTTCTCTTTCTGGAATAAATGAAAGCTTTCCATAGTTTTCTCAGCATCAATCCACAAACATTAATGAGCTGGTCACAAAGGAAAGCCTATGGACCCATTTATAGAACATTAGCTTCAGCCCAGGTTAACAAGCCTTTCCCAGTAGGCTCACTTTGCAAACATTCAACTCCCCCTTGACATTTAAAAAAGGGGAGGAGTTCAAGGATAGTTCAACATTTGAAAGTAATCAATGCAATTCACCACTTTGACAGACTGCAGGGCCAAACTGCATGATCATCCCAACTGATGCAGAAACATTTGACAAGATTGAACATGCTTTCATGATAAAAAACATTCAGAATCCTAGAAATAGAAGGGATCTTCCTCAACATAATACAGGAAAACTACAGTTCACATCATATTCAATAAGACACGGAAGGTAAGGAAAGATAACTGCTTTTGCTTCTTCTATTCAACCCAGCATCGGAAGCCTCCCTCAGAGCAAGTAGGCAAGTAAAAGAAATAAACACCATCCAAATTTTGAAAGGAAGATATGAAATTTTCTCTATTCACAAATTACATGATTGAATATATAGAAAACCTGACTCTACAAAAAAAAATCTGTTAGAATAAATACTTGAATCCATCAAAGTTGCACAACACAGAAAAAACACATGAAAATCAGTAGCATTTGTATATACCAGCAATAAGTAATCAAAAATAAAATTAAGAAAATAATTTCATTTATAATCACATCAAAAAATAAATAAAACACTTAGGAGGATACTTATTTAGAAGGTGAAAGACTTCTGCATAAAAAAGTATAAAACATTCTGAAAGAAATGAAAGAACATAAATAAATGGAAAGATACTGCATGTTTGTGGATTGGAAAATTTAATATTGTTAAAATGTCAATCCTACCCAAAACAATGTACAGACTTAATGCAATCCCTGTCAAAATCCCAATGATATTTGTTCTACAGAAATAGAAAAACCCTCCCTATGTTTCTTGAGGAATATTAAGGAACCCTGAGTAACTAAAACAATTTTGAAAAGGAACAAATTTGGAGAGATTACAAAGCACATTACAAAGCTACAGTAATCAAAACAGTGTTATATTAGCACAAAGACAGAAATACAGACCAGTGGAATAGAATGGAGAGCCCAAAACTAAACCCTTGAATGTATGGTCAGACGATCCTCCATAAATGTGCAAAAACTGCTCAGTGGGAAAGGATAGTCTTTAACAAATGGTGTTGGGAAAAGTGGATATCCACATGCAAAAGAATGAGTTGGTTCCTTAACTAGACCTTATATAAAACGAAATGGATAAGGGCCTAAACATAAGACCTAATACTAAAAGAAGACAAATAAGATAAAAATTTCATGACAATGGATTTGGCCTTAATTTTCTGGACCTGATACCAAAGACACGGGCAACAAAAGCAAAAATAGACAGCTGGATCCACATCAAACTTAAACACTACTGTGCATCAAAGGAAGACACAATCAGCAGGGTGATCATAGTAGACAAAGTTCTGTTCTCAGGGAGCTTCTGTCCAAGTAGAACAGACAATCTGCACACCAACAGCTCCCACAGGTGAGATGCACACTGAAGGAAAACAGGCCAGGAGAGAGGGCAGCCTGTGGGTAGAGGGAGGAGAGAAGGGCAATTCCTGCTAGTCAAGGAAGGCTTTTCCAGCCTCTGCCACTCTCCAACCAGATGCCTCCACCAGGTCCATGTCCACTTAGGTATCCAGCAGGTATCTTAAACTTCTCATGCCCTTTCCTGAAGTCTACTCCCAGACTTGTCCTTCTGCCAGCTTTCCTCTCTTTTAAATGGCAACTCCATTTCCCAGTTGCTCCCCAAAACCATGGAGTCATTTTTCCTCTTTTACAACTTTGGTTCAATCTAGTAACAAACCCTGTTGGTTGTACATTCCAAATGCCCAGATTTCCACCATTTCTTCCACCCCTCCCACAACCAGCCTGAATCCATTCCCCACCATCTCCCACCTGGATTGTTTTATTGGCCTCTACCTAGTTTCTGTACCTCTATTCTTTATTTTATTTTTTAGGTACAGAATTAAATATTCCATTTATTACTTATTAGTTTGTAAACCATAAGAAAACCAATCTGGTCATTTCCCCCACCAGCAGATCTTGTGTTGGAATGGAAAATGTCAATATACAGATTTCAGCAGCCAGCAGACACTTCATGAAACTGACCCAAAGCCATGTGGAGCTGAATGACAGGTTTACCATCTTCACATACACCATTAACATTAATACCTTTGCAGTGCAGATTGGCCAGATCTGTTACTTGGCAATGAGAAAAACTGAATGCAGACACCATGCCTCGGGAGAAGGCCACCATGCCTTGGGAGAAGGCCTGCCAGGATTGCTTCTGTCCCCTGGTACACAGCAATTGCCTCAAAACTTGGGCCAAAATATTTATAAAGCAAGCAAACAAAAAGACAGACATACAGGCTCTCCTGAGACGGGGAGGTGCATCAGTTCTCAGGTAAGCAGGACAATAAGCTGACTAAACAGCCTCCTAAAACACAAAATTCCAATTTTCAAAAGCAAAAAGAGCCTAACCTCATAGGAGTCCAGCATAAGATACGATGGAAATGTCGTGTTCACCAGGAGACAAGGGGCAAATGGCTGTTTGATCTGTGGCTCACTGTCCCCCAGTTCATCCAGAGACTGGGGACAGAAAGATGTGCCTCTACTCTTGCCTGTTCCAAAGTCTACGCTTGGCACAGTAGCATGTAGTCTGACCATGTCAGTTCTCTGCCATACTCCCCAGAGACTCTCATAGAGAGTCTTAGATTAACGTCTAAGGACCCACAGGCTGAGTGCCATCCCTCTCCTTCCTTCTACTCTGCTCCCTTCTCTTACTTCCTGCTCACTCTCTTTCATCTACCCTTGCCTCCAGGCTGTTCCTTAAACATACCAAGCACTCTCTTGTTTAAGGACACTCCTAGAATATTCCCCCACCAGGAATCGCTCATTTCCTTTTATAAACACTAGCTTTTCCCATCACTCACATCCAGCTTATTATTTTTCTCTATTGCACTTCTCCCCAGCTGCCATACTGCGTATTTATCAGGCGTATTTCAATTTTTTTCTCTCTTTTCCTCTCACGACACCAACAAATGGGACATAAAGTGTGTGAAGGTCATTTATTACATTTTATTCTTGCTCCCATTTTAAAAATTAAGAAACTGAATTTAGAGAGGCCAGGAAACTTGTGCAGATAAGACAGGTAGAGATGGTAACTCGTGTGTGATTCCAAAGTCCACAGTCTTAACTGCCACAACACGGGCGTCTTTCAGCCAATTGTTTAATAAGGAAACAGACAGACAACTTCCTTTAAGTGGGAATCAAAGCCTAGGAGTGCTCTGCTCTGCTTTGCTTTGGAGCCAACCAAAGCTGGGCAATTGGAGAAGACTGAAAAACTCAAGATGGAAGGGACCAAATTGCATAGGGCCTCAAATGCCAGAAAAATAATATTTTATGTGCTGCGCATTACAGACTTCTGAATAGAAAAGTGAAAGAAGTTTTAAAGAAAGACTAATGTGGTGTTTTATTGTCATGTGTTCTTTGACTCCTCCCTTCAAAAGGTGGAGCCTAATTTTCCTGCTCTTGAATGTGAGCTGGATTTTGTGACATGGTTCTAGGAAATAGCACATGGACAATTTCCAAAACTGAGTACTTAAAGATATCACTGCTTTCACCTTGCTCTCTGCCCACTGAGTGTTTTCTGTTCAAAGACCTCTGTCTGAAATTTCCACCCAACTCCCACACACTGTTGAAGCTCAATTCCTCTGTTGACTCTCCTGTCACACTACCCCGCCTCTTGCCATCCCATAATCATTTCTGTGATCCTCACAGTTCTCACCCTCACAGCTCTCACCACTCCTGGTGGCTTGTTTGCCTCCAGCTCTAATGTGCATTGGAATTACTATGTGTGATACCTGACCTGCTGTCTTCCCTATGTGACTGACTCTCTGCTGTTTTTGACTTTTTACTTCTGACTGACTCTGGCCATACAGGATCCATACAGGATCCATCAAGTGCTCCATTCCTCACTCTTAGGGATGTTTTCTCTGCATCTGAGTCCACCAGTAGTGCTGCCCAAATCAGCAACAGTTTTCAGCTGTATCCAGGGCTTTCTATTTAGAGATAAGGCCTATAGGAAGTAATTAAGAGCAAATAAGATCATAGGGTAGAGCTCTGTAAGGTAAGATTAGTGTCCTTACTTTAAGAATAGCCACTAGAGCTACCTTCTTTCCTCCAACACCTACATAGAGGTCGTGTGAGCATAGAGCAAGATGGCAGCTGTCTAGAAGCCAGGAAGAAGGGCCTACTATGATTTCACTCTTCCAACCTCCAGACCTATAAATTTCGGTTGTTTAAAGCACCCAGTTTATGATATTTAGTTATGGCAGCTTGAAATGACTAAGACAAGTTGTAAATCTTCAATAAGAAGAATTTTGAAAAAGAAACAGCTATATGGGATAAAGTTTGGTTCTTTTCTACTAATTCCTAACAGCTCTCATTGAATCACTGCCTTTAGATTGGAACCACATTTTTCTTAGGGTTGGACTTCAAATCAGCTTACTTCCAAAGCTCTTCAATTTCCAACAATAACTTTATTTGCCAGCTCTGCCGCAGTGAAATAGTATAACAATTATGTAACAATTGAAAAATGTAACACTCGACTTTTGTCTAATCTGCCTTTCATGAAAAGCCAGGAGTGATGGGAATGGTTTTCTCTGCAATGAGCAGATAATTAATGATGTTCTCTGTACTGGGGAAGAACAAATGCTGTAAAGTACAGGACAAGTTTCATGAACGGTGTCCTAAGAGAAGAGGTTGCCAGAAGCCACCTTCTTTTCTCTCAACATCAGATTCATTTCAAGTCCCACTTGGTTGACATGTAAGTCTTCCCTAACTATGTCATCCTCCTTTGACTTTCTACATACTTGATTATCTGCACAATTTCTATTTCAACTAACAGTCTAACTTACTATAGAAACATGTCCCAAAGCTGTGTGTCCTGTCTCCTAGACAAATGCTACCCTAGAAAACAGCCCACAGAGTTGTGACATATTGGGGGGAGCAGTAGTGGCTATGCATGAAAAATAATACCCCTAACCACACCCTGTAATTCCCTGCGCTGAGCTCACGGTATGCAATTAATAAGTCTGAGCTGGGTGACACTTACTCCGTGGCCCCCGCCGGGCTGTCACACTCAGGAGGCGAGTCCCAAGCTCTTCCTGTGAAGGATCCTCTTGGGAGCCATCGTGGGATTTTTCTGACACCATTTCCTCTGGGTCAGTAGTTGGCAGCTGTGAACAGAAGATAAAAGGTTCAGAGTTGCCCAGGGTTGCTGTTGGCCTTAGGTCTTCACTTGGGATGAGGCAGGCCACCAAGTGAGGGGATAGGCTTTAGTACTATTCAGAATGGGACAACAGTGGTCCCTTTCAACTGAGTCCCTGTAGACACACCCACCCAGGAAAGTGGTGTCAACCCTGAGTTTTTCTGGGAAATTTTATTATTGAGGCATCCCAAAACAAGATGATTATTTTCATTTTTTTTCTAGGTAAAATGTGTAGAGCTCTGCAGAAAATCACAGTGGGGTAATTCATTCCCAACTCCAAATAGATTGGAAATACCGTTAGCGTGACTGGCTTATTTGGGGCAAATACTGATTCCACACTTTAGGTACCCCCAGGAATAGACTCTGGTATCTTCCCCAAAGTCTCAGGGGAGGAAAACAAGGAAGCACAATTGGCATTAATGCCTTGGTGGCCAGGCAGACTAAGGCTTGCAGCCAACTCAGACTGACTGTGGACTTTGGCAAGAATTCAACTTCCCTGTGCATTACTTTCTTGTCTGTAAAAGGACTAGGTCAATAGGTAGGAGGCATTGTGCACAGTTTGGCGATTCTGATTTAAATAGGTGGCCCAGGGTAGACCAGAGCCATGTTAATAAAGCCATGGTCAGGTTTTCTAGTATGTGTTGAAGGAAAAGGATAATGCCTGTAAACCAGACACACAAACATTCAGGGTTGAGGGCTGTAATATTCCTTCTCCATTCCTGTCCCATTCTTCTGTTTAGTACAAAATTCACTACAGCCTTAGCCCTGATCATCCATGGTTCACTATGCTTGTGCCTTTAGAGCTAAGGGACTGAATACTTTTTGTCTGTCACCTCTCTGTCCCGTGCCCAGAAATGCAGGGGCAGGCTGACCCCACAGGAAAGGGTTAAAGCTCTAGGGTGCTAAGTGTGGCTGCAGGTCTCCCTGGTCCCCAAGAGTGGCTAGAAAGAGACCTTTGTAACCCTTCAGCACCTCCCAACCCCCTGAGCCTGCCCCTGTGTGACTTCATCACAGCCTGCAGAACACAGGGGTGGGGGGCGGTCCTCTTGCTCAGCTTACCCCAGCAGGAATGTGCTGAGCATGGAGGAGCTGGGAGGGAGGTTTCTTCCTGGTCTAGGATCTCCCGGTGCCCTCCTCAACTTCCCTGTCCATCCCTCTGTGGGTAGCCAGCCCCACCACGTGATTGCTGGCTCAAAATGGCGATCCCTTTCCCTCCCTCCCAAGCCCGCATCTCAGTTGTTCCAGGCAATAGCCCTTTCCCTGCCTCCCTTCTCAGCTCCTTGCTAAGAGATCTGCTTTATGCGAAAAGGTTTACCTTGCATGGAGGGTGCTCCCTAGGCGAGGAGCTCCTGCGGAAAGGTGGGGATGAAACAGGCATGGTCTCTGGCTCAGAATAATGTGGAATTTGGGCTTGGAGTTGGAAAGAGGGAGTTCTATAAGATTTGTAATTCTGCACTGCCATCTACTGCCCGTCCTTGATTATGACACTCAGTGACAACACTAAAACAGGCTTCTTCCATGCTTTCTAGACTTCCTTCAGGAGATGGAAGAAGTCTTAAAGGAAAAATACTCCAACTATGGATCACAGCCTTATTATGAGGGCCATTTATAAGACCACACACTAGGGTTCTACACACTGGTTCATCCTTCTGCATCCCTGCTTCACAGTTCCCCAGAGCCGGCCAAAAATTGGTACCCATGGGAGGCATGCTGCCTACGGCAGATTCTGTGTGGTCCTCTGGGGCTGCAAGAAGATCACTGGTCAATCACACAATACACAGACAGACATAGTTTCTCATCAATTCCTACCCGTTTTTTTCTTCGTTGTCTTTGGGACTTTGAGTTCTTCCGTCTTCCCACATCTTCATCCTCATCATTTTCAGTGAACTCCTTTGTTAAAATGCAAAGAGAAGAGCGGGAGAATGTTAAAAGAGGAAGAAGGGTGTGATTTTCAGGTTTTCAAATTAAAATCACCATCTTGATCTTGAGCCTCCATCCACTAACATCAAGTGTTAATGAAATGTAAGTGGCCATCACCATCTACTCTTCTCACAGTACATGCTCTTAAAAAGCTGAGTTCACACTCGAAACATTGTAAGTTAGATGATGTTGGAGCTCCCATTGTTTCAGGTGCTCATTCTTGCTTACAACATTTATTGAGCACTTATTGTGTTCCAGGTCCTGGGGGCACAGGGAAGAATACAACAAGCTTCCCACTCTCGAAAGTCACATTCTAAGAAAGGTGACTAACACGTAAATCTGCCAGGACAGATGGAGAGCCAGGACAGACATTGGATTCATATTTGGGATTTCACAGGTTAGATGTTTCTACTTCCAGTTTGATAAGTACATAGGGAAAAAAATACACCATTAAATCACCAGGAGAGTTTCAACTTAGAGGAAATTTTGGCAGACCTTCTCTTTTTGTACACTATGCTTTTTAACGGTTTAGACATAAAATATTAGTGGCCAACTTTAAAGTTGGCCACTTTTAAAGTTTTCTACTCACAGAGTTTTACAAACTGAGGCATCAACACTTCTGAGTGAATAAGAAATAGCAGGGAATTGTGGTTCACACTTGTAAGATCTGGGAGACTGAGGACGAGCATCAAAAGTTCAAGGTTAGCCTGAGGTACATAGTGAAACCATTGAAGGGGGGGCGCTATTCAGAGAGACTTGTAAGATAAACACAGAACCTGTGCCTTGTACTCCAAGTTTATTAGAATTCCTTCCCTAATTTTAGAAAATAAACTGAAACAAAGCTGGAACACCATGCCTGGATATTAGCAACATAAGATTTCAAAGAAACTGCATTTGGATTGCTGGGTCAGGTTCAATTATTCCTCATTCCCCTTGCCTCTTAGGGGTAGGGAAGACATGAACTTTAATTGGAGGAGAGAGGTGAGAGCTCAAGCAGAAAGCAAGCTTGGCTTGGGCTTCTGCCTGGTCTGTGTGACAAAATCTCTGTGCTTCATGCTTTGAAAGAGGCCACTCTTGCTCTGGCTCCCTTTTCTCAGGGTCCATAATCCTCAACCAATGGAAAACGGTACAGTAGTGCTTCCAGTAAGATGGAATGTAATCTCCAGAAGGGCACAGCGTTTTCTTCATTGCTAGATCCTCAGGGATCAGAGACACAAAACATGTTTGTTGCAATAATGAATAAACAAGTAAGAGATTTATGTGGTTAGTACTTGATATCTTGATAGTCGGTACTTGTTAGTACTTGATAACTATGCAGATCAACTGCATAGTTTTCTGAGGAGTTTCCTCAGGCTTTTGTAAACACTGTATTGGAAACAGCAGTGTTTCTATTTCTGTGCCTATATGCCCTTAAACCAAAGGTGAAGTAACCGTTCTGAGGAATACTCTCTCTGCTCAGCGATCTATGGTCTCCAAATTGTAGACAGCTTTCCTTGTCTGGTCTGGGCAGTGCTTTAATAAGCTTTTGTACCCATGAATCAGAAATTGCAAGACTCCAGGGACAGAGGATTTTTATTAGCATTGTAGTCTACAACTGTTACCTTCATTCTATTGTTTGGTTTTGGTTTTTTGTTTTTAAGAAGTCAACGTGCTTTAGGCAGAGCTGGGCCTAGTAGCAGGTAGTAAGTTAGAACTGCTGTATGTTGGAATTCATGAAATTCCAAAATAGTCTTAGAAAGTTCAGGTAGAGCTTGGATCCCTGGGGTTCCTACAACCCCTCCCCATATACCCCCACCCCTTCACTACTGATGATAGAGCACCCTCAGCATGCATGCACTATGTGTTTGTTAAATTGTTCTAAATTTGCCCTGAAGATGTCTCTGTACCTTAAATACTTACTTAACAAAAGGCAACCTACTTAGTATGGAAACTGACAGAAAACCTAAATTGAAAGTATACTTTTGTAACAAGTAGTTGAGTGTCAGATAATCTCAGCAACCCAGCCAGTCACAGGAAGCTACACACCATATGCAAATAAGACAACACTGAGCAGCAACCAATCAAGCTGTATCTGTACCTCACTTCTGTTTTCTGCCCCTAAATGATGCAGAGTGGAGCTCTCTGCACATCTTCTGGTCTGTTCATGAATTGTTCTTTGCTCCATTAAGCTCTGGTAAATTTTAATTTGCCTGAAATTTTTCTTTTAACATATGCAGTAAATGCTTGTTCCTGGTCTAGACTTCTTCATTCACAAATACATCCAAGCAACCACTTACCTCTGCAATTATTTTTGCTTTTTCTTCCCTGGGATTCATTTTAGCTGTGATGTATCCTGACAGGGAAGGAACAATGAAGAAATCAGGCATTTTGAAATCAGTGAAATATTGTTTCTCCTACTGTTGATGAATATGAAGACTTTCTCTTCACCAGGAATCCTGTAGACTCCAGGACTGGTGGGAGTAATGACCAGAGGAGAAACAAGGATGTCACACCCCCTCAGTCCCCATATACCTGGTTTTATTGTGCAAACACTGGGAGTCAGGTGACCTTGGTTGGAATCCAGCTCCAGAAGGACAATTTCAGAGCTTCTACTCTCTCCTCAACCTCCACATTTCTGTCCTTCCTTACTCTTTACCCTTGACTTTGGTTCTCATTTCACAGAGCAAAGAGATGAGGCCAGAGAGGGCTCCAAATCCCTTTTACCCCATCCACCGTCTCACTGAATCATGTCACCTCTCTGCTTCCACTTGCCGCCGTGAGTTAGCCCTGCTTCCATCTAGATTATCACTGGCCCCAACACTTCTTCCTCTAAAACCTTGATCTTGCTGTTGCCCGCCCTCACCTGGACAATCATTTCTCCCTGCTCTATTGCTCATTCCTAACCGTGTTAGAAGTCCTATAATTTGTTCTTTAAAAAGAAAAAAAAAGGCTTATCTTGACTTTACTTCTATTTTCAGCTATTGCTCAGTTTTTCAAACTTTGTAGGAAAGTCTCTCAAATTATTCCCTCTGTTTCTAATTTTTTGGAGGGAGGTTGGGTCTAGCATGCCCTGCAGTCACTCTCACCAGTATTGCTGTGTGTAATGATTAATTCTCAGTCCTCACATACTTGACCTCATCAGAGGTGTTCAGTGATGAAAGCCATCTATCAGTTCCTTTATAAATACTTTTATCACTTGACTTCTGGGATGAGTTCTTTCCTGGTTTTCCTTCTATCACTGGCTGCTTCTTCTCACACCCCTTTGCTAGTTTCTATTAATCTCCTAAACTCAAATACTAGAGTGCTTTGGCCTCTGCCCAGTCTGTTCTCACTCCCTTGTCTCTTTTATCTGATTCTTGCCTTATACATTAAATATATACTGATATTTCCCGAATTACATTCTGAGTCTAGATAGATGTCTCCCCAGAACGCTACATTTGAGCATGTGACCCTAGGAAGGATGCCTCCACTTGGCTTAACATGCCCCAAGCGATGCTCCTGCTTTTATCCCCAGGCCTGTCAGGACTGCAACCTTTCTGTCAATAAACTGAAAGCCATTCTGCTCATGCTGAAAGCCTTGCAGTCATCCTCAACTGCTCTCTCACTCTTCTGGAACACACACACACACACACACACACACACACACACACACACACACGATGGTTAATTTTAGGTATCACCTTGACTGGATGAAGGAATACCTAGAAACAGGAAAGCATTACTTTGGGTGCATCTGTGTAGATGTTTCCAAAGGAGGTTAGTGTATGAGTCTGAGCAGATGAGGGGGTAAAGCCCACTCTCAATGTGAGGGCAGTCATCTAATCTGCCAGGTGCCCAGAAAGAACAAATGCAGAAGGAGAATTGGTCTCTTCTCCTGACCCTAAAGACTAGGACATGACTGTATTCTGAAGTCCATGCTCTCTTGGACTCTAGGACTCTAGAACCAGCAGCCCCCTGGGTGCTCAGGGTTTTGGCCTCAAACATAGAGTTTGATCATTGGCTTCCCTGATCTGAGGCCTTGGGACTTGTACTGCACCACGCTACCAAGATTCCAAGGTCTTCAGCCTGCAGATTGCCTGTTTGGGACTTCACAGCCACCAGAATCATGTCAGTGAGTCCTCTAATAAATCTCTTCTCATGTGTCTATAAACGTATTCTGTTGGTTCTGCCTCTCTGGAGAATGCTGGCTCCAATCCATCAGAAATCCTGCCAGTTTTGACTTCACATTATGTTTAGGACTCAGCCATTTCTAACACCACCACTATTGCCACCCGAGTCAGGCGCCACCTTCTCTCATGCAGATGGCTGTAGGAGCCCCCTGATTTCTCTGCTTCCCACACTTCTCATCTACAATATTTTCTGCATTGGAAACCAAAGTGACTGGTTGAAAAACTTTTAAAATGAGATTGTGTCCTTTCACAACTCAAAATTTTCTGATGATTCCCTTTGTCAACTGAGTGAAATCCAAAATCCTTTCAAAATCTTACATGGGATTTAGCACTTGAACCCCTTTGCACCAAGGTCTTTGCACTTGTAGTTCTGTCTGCCTAAAACTCTCTTTTCCAAGTTATCTGCACATTTCTCTCTCTCTCTTTCTCATTCCACTTCACTCTGAGACTTCTTCCCTGAGGACTCACAGTACAGTGGTAAGTTCTTACTTGTGCCCTCCTAAGAACTCCCTTCATACTTTACTGTGATCTCTTTTTAATGCAAATCAACATATATATTTATATGTTTGATTATCACCATTAGAAAAAATATAGCTTCAAGAGGGCAGAAATAGTGTTTTGTTCATTGTTTATCCCCAGAGCCTCGAACCATGGTACACAATAGACAGTCAAATATTTGTCAGATGAATGACGAAGTCACTACCTATGGCCACTGTCTTCATGGCCACATTCTGGAACCCTTCCTTTAAAGCTTCATTGTCCTTCTAAGCTGCTGTGAAGACTGAACGAGAGAACAAGTGGAGAAATAACCAGGCACTGGGATGACAAATCACAAACTGTTCTTAGTATCCTGGGATCCAAATCTTAGCTAGGAGGTCTCATTTAAGCAGCTCATTTAAGCAGATTACACTGCCCTTCCTAGAGAAATTAGCATGTTAAAGGGAAGTCAAAGATCTGCATTTTTATTATCCTCCACACTGACTCCTCACAAGGCACAAGGAGAAGAGAAATGATGAAAGCCCATCAGAAAGTAAAGAGGTGGGAAGATAATTTACAGCCAACCAAGGAGCAGACAAATAAACCTAGAAAGGATGCAAAAGCTCTCCAATAAACAACTCAGGTCATGATGAATTGGAAAAAAAAGAACTGTGAAATATTTAGTAAGTTGAAAAAAAAGATTCTCCATGAATTAAAAAAAAAGTCATACATGGAAGAAAAAATAGAAGTAGAAAATGAAAAATATAACAGCATTATTTTCTTCTCATTCTTTCCTGGTCATTACCTTTGAATGAGTTTCTAAGGAAATCAAATGACACCAAAATTTATTTTTCTTATGAACACTGTGGCTTAGAAAAGATAAATCAATACAGTTCCACTTTAATATGCCTCTTGTCATCATCATTTGCATTGGGCACTTGCTAATATATTCTTTGTGATAACGTCAAAATAAGAGCTATGATTTACTGTGCACTTATTCTGTGCCATCCCTAGATATATGTTCCCTTTATTCCTCATAATTATGCTTCTACCTGAGTAAGAACTGCCTCAGTTTATACAGGAGACTTCCACAGGTTATAGGATTTGTCCACGTTGTAGTTATTAAATGTTGTATTCAAAAACTGACCTCAAGACTTTGTGATGCCAAAGGCCTCCTCTATTCCTCTCCACCTCTGAGTCTCAATATTTAGTCTTGGCAGTGGTGTCAGTAATTATTCTCTTCCGTTTTATTATTCTAGAAATATTTAAAATTGGAAGCTGTGAAGCATTGCATTGATAGTGTTGATATTAATATAATTAATATTGAAGGACAGACTGTAGGAGGTCCCAAAAGGTGATAAGTGGTCAAGGAGACACCTCTCCTTCCCAGGAAACCTCTATCTGCACCTGTGAGACATCCCTGCCCTGGGGCAATATACAAAAAGGTTATAAAAACCCAATCTCCAACTTGACCCATGGGACCATGGGTTTCCCAGGTCCCCCTGTATGCCCTCCATGCAGCCTTTCTCTTCTCTTCTCTACAAATAAAATCTTTCCTACCTCTGCTGCTGGAGTCCGCCTGTGCTTTCATTCTCAGAGCGGGCTCAAGAACCCTGAGCACCTGAAATTCCTGCGCGTGTCATCTGCACATCGTATTGCTTCCTCTCTCCAAGGGTGACAAGTTTATAAGGGCTCAATGACAGAAAGTGTGTAGAACAGAGAACAGCATGGACCAGGCTCTCTGTAGTGGTGGGTTGTATTATTATAGGTTAGATGACAGTAGTAGGGTTTATTATTAAGAAGACATGATGGCAGAGAGGGTCAGTGGGAGAAAGGAGTAAAGAGGAAAACAGGGTGGTGGAAAGAGGAGAGTCATAAGGAAAGTCTTAGGGATGTTCAAGCCCCATTTCTCTCTTTAGGCCCACCACAACCCACAATGCCGATCCCCTGCCTTCAGCCAGGCCCAGGATTTCCTATGTCCATCTGTGGTGCTTCTGAAACCTTCTGCCCTCCTACCCCTGTGCATTTTCGCCCCCCCCCCCCCCCCCCGCCGCCCCTAGGAGATCTTTCTACCCATCCTGCTGAACTTTCAGAAACTTCAGGAGGTGTCACACTCCCCCCTTTTGCAACTTGCTTTCTATATAAGTCATTTCAGCCACAGCTTCCTTAGTATAAGATTGGTGACAAATACCCTTGTAGAATGATTTGGTCCAATAGCTATGACTGACGTATCTATTTCCCTTGATGTGTGCACATAGGACCCTATTTGTGCTGGGCTGTGTGGTACAAGGCTGATGCATTTACATGAAGGAGTAAGTGCAGAAGCTCCTCCCAGGAAGGAGTCCTGCTGGGCTCCCAGATCTTTAGATGTCTTTATAAATCTCTTCTGGCACTTAGCTCGTTGTGCTCTTATTATCTGTTTATTGGTCTGTCTTTCCAGTAACCACCCAGCTTCTGACCTGGTTGAATTCTTTTTTGCACACGCTAAACTTTAAGCATGTTGCCTGCTGTATTGGTAGTGTTTAATAAATGCTTGCAGGAATGACTATAAATGAGCTCTAGGTGATCTGTATAAAGAGATATTTCATACTGGCACTGAGTTTACTTGCAGAAAAGTTTATATAAAAACGCAGTAGCAGACATATATTTCCCATTGGACTTTATTAGCTTTTCACAGCCCCTCTTTGCAAAGAAGGAAAATGAATAGTTTAAACCATGGCCAGTAGATTTTCCTGAGGTCCTTGGAGCACAGCAGTGCTTAGCCCTGTGCTTAAGAACACTTTCTCTGTCCAATGCTAAGGAAAATGAAGTTTGCAGTAACTATTACTCCTCCCCTTGAACCAGATTGAACTAAAAGACCCTGCAATGCAACAGGCAGCAAAGAATTCACAGCGAGCTGGTCAGAGGATTTCTACTCAGGGATCCAGATGAACCGGATTTACATTTCCTGCAAACCAGACACCAGACAGCAGCTCAAATCAAAGCTGCCACATAATGGTCTGCATTCCCATTGCAGAAAGTAAGAATGCAAATAACTATGAGAGCCCCTAAATGTCTAATGCATCCAACCCACTCTAGGGCACCAAGGGAGAGGCTGAATTCCAAGCCACTAACTGCAAACGGGAAACCATTGCTGCAGCCTGGTTCAGTTAAGAACGGATTTACCTTAAGGAACTTTACAAAAGGCACTTTGTAGGTTCTGCCTTCAGGAATGGAGTGCAGTGGAGAGAGACAGGGTGGATCCTGCAGAAGAATCTTCTACAAAGGTCCCAGGGAAGGGCTGAGTGTCAGAGAGCTCCTGGGCTTCTCCCCGGAAGCCGCAGCCATGTCTCAGGGCAAAAACATCAGCTTAGCAACCCGTTCCCAAGGAAGGTCACTAGATGGCTTTTTTTTTTTAAAGTGACAGTTTACTTCTAGTCTTAGAATATGAACAGACCTGGTAATCAGAAGAAGCCCCACCATACAGAAGGACAAAGAGAAATCAACTTAGTCCCAAGGGAGATGGGTAGAATTCAGTCAGGCTTTCAACTGAACTTCACTCCTGTCACTTGGTTGTTGTGCATTTCTGGAAAGGGACAGGAGATGCTCAAGGTGGGGTGATTTAAAATCATAAAAGGCCATCGCTATGCTGAGAAGTTAGCTGGAGCAAAGACTTTGATGGCTGCAGTGTTTCAGACTAAACATGGAAGCTTGAACACACACATTTGATTTCTGCTTATTTTCTGAATCCCACTCTGGTTACTAAAAGGGTATGTAAATATTATGACTCAAAAAATCAAAGGAAATGGGAGAAAAGGCAAAACAGAGCAGACCAAGGGAAGCCACCCTTCAACTGTGCTAGTGTGTGTGTGTGTGTGTGTGTGTGTGTGTGTGTGTGTGTACTATAAGGGTACATACAGAATGAGGAAACAGGCTCAGAATTTGAAGCAGTGATGGTATGGGCTGAATTGTACCTGTACCCTGTACCTCAGAATCCAACCTTGTTGGAGATAGGGTCTTCAGAGGTAATAGAGTCAATGAGGTGGAATCGAATTCAAAAGGACTGTGTCCTCATATGAAGAGGTAATTTTTTATTATTATCATATTATTGCTGTATTGAGAGTACATTGTGACATTTACCTCCTCTGTCATTCTCCTTTATCTCCTCTCCTCCATTCCTGGAACAGTTTCAGCAGGTCTCATTTTTCCATTTTCATACATGAGTACGTAACAGTTCCACCATATTCTCTCTCTTACACCCTTCCCTTATATCTGTCCCCCTTCCACTGGTACCATCCCCAAAGACAGGACCTGTTTTGCCTTCCTGTTCTCCAATTTTGAAAAACAGACATTTTGTTTGCTTAAGATAGCAATACAGGGTGTTTCATTGTGACATTTCTGAATCGGTTCATGCCCTCTATTTTTCTCCTTTCTACCTTAGTAAAAAGATAATTTGGACACAGAGATAGAAACACACAAAAGAGGATAAGCAAAGACACAAGGAAAGCACCCTCTACATCAAGCAAGGAATGAATACTTGAAGCTACCAGAAGCTGAGACAGGCCTGGAACACACCTTCTCTCTCAGTCCACAGAAGGAACTAGCCCTGCCAACACCTTCCTCTCAGATTTCTAGTCTCCAACATTGTGAGAAAATACAGTTCTGTTGTTTAAAGCCACCAGTGCATCGTACTTTGTTAAGTAGCCTTCGGAAACTAATACAATCAGACACCAAGGAAAGTGGATGAGGCAGGGATCTGAGGATGCAGGAAGATCCAAAAGTCTGTGCAAGGAGGGGTGGGATCCTCAGGACCCTCCCTTATTCCTGCAGTTTGAGTGATGATTCCTACCCACTCACCTGCCTCTTCTGTTGCCCAGAGGAGATTGGGGCTTTCTTCTCTAAGGAGGTCTAACCAGACCTTCTGAAGTCTCAAGGTCCCAGGAATGGCAGAAGGTAAGTTTGTTTCAGAACTGATTGATAATTGTTTATGAAATAGAGAGATTTCAGGGCCCTTTCTAAGCCCTAATCAAGAAATTCAGCATTCAAACCAGACTTCTGGCTCCTATCTCTACCAGTGCTAAATTCTCCCCCCAAAAATTAGAAAATAACTTTCTGGAGAAACTGTATGATCACAAGAAATAGACCCTAGATAATGACATTTCTTAGTCTTCCAAAAACAAAACAAAACAAAACAAAACAAAAAACCCCTACATTGCTAATAAAGCATTATAGAAAAAAATTAAAGAATCTCCAGCTAAGAAATTCAATGTTCATTATAGAAAGAACTAAGAAAATAGAAAGGAAGAATTTAGGAAAGGAATAATAAAAAAAAAAAGTTGTCAGAAGAGAAAGAATAATCTATCTATCTCAACTTGTGTTTTGCATGTAGTAAGAAAGTTCATAATTGTTTAACTGTCTCATTTATGCTCTCTATATCCTTTAGGAACTCCCTAAGTGACACATTTAAAAAAGTTAGGGGCTCCAGAAGGTGGAGTATCTGCCTAGTAAGCGTGAGGCCCTGAGTTCAAACCCCAGTACCACACAAAAAGAAAAGTAGTTTCGGGCTAGTGTATCTTTCTAGGGAGTCAATAAAAAGCATTTTTTGAGGGACACACACCTTTTTTTTTTTTCATTTTTCTTTTATTATTCATATGTGCATACAAGGCTTGGTTCATTTCTCCCCCCTGCCTCCACCCCCTCCCTTACCACCCACTCCGCCCCCTCCCTCTCCCCCCCCCAATACCCAGCAGAAACTATTTTGCCCTTATTTCTAATTTTGTTGTAGAGAGAGTATAAGCAATAATAGGAAGGAACAAGGGGTTTTGCTGGTTGAGATAAGGATAGCTATACAGGGCATTGACTCACATTGATTTCCTGTGCGTGGGAGTTACCTTCTAGGTTAATTCTTTTTGATCTAACCTTTTCTCTAGTACCTGTTCCCCTTTTCCTATTGGCCTCAGTTGCTTTAAGGTATCTGCTTTAGTTTCTCTGCGTTAAGGGCAACAAATGCTAGCTAGTTTTTTAGGGGACACACACCTTTGAGTAACAGTTTCAAGATGTTCACAGATAAGCCCTGCTGAAAATGAGCTCACAATCTAAAAATTAGACAACACAGGTAGACAAACCAGACACACTATTGGACACTGAGAATTTCTGATAATGTAATCATCAGATGGAGAATGCAAAGAAGGTAATGTCCAAATGTTCAAGACCATAAAAGAAAGATTTGAAAATATGAGTGGTGGGATACTATGAAAAAGATCAGGCAAATTTGAAAAAGAACCACCCAGAACTTTTAGAAATGAGTAACAAAGTTGTGACTTTTTAAAAAAGCAAAGGATGGGTTTAATTACAGATAACTAAGCTGAAAAGTAGATTAATAATGTGAAAGATAGGTAAAAATTAAAATGTGGCATGGAACAATAGAAAACAGGAAAGAGTAGATATAAAAACATGAGAAATTGAGGAGGTCTACTGTGCACAGGAGAGCCCCAGAAGGAGAGAAGAGAGAAAGAAGTTGAATGCTGAATTTTGTAGTGGAAGGATCTGGGTCAGTTCCCCTAACCTCTCTAGGTTTCAGTTTCCTTACCTGTAGAGTGAAGTTAATAACAGTAACTAGTAGGAGGTTGTTAATGACATCGAGTTAATATCTGTAACATGCTTATGACAGTCTTTACACATAGAAAATGCTGTAAGGTTTATTTATTTTTTCTGGGACTAGTGTTTGAATCCAGGGCCTTTGCTAGGAAGGCACTGTACCACTGAACCATAGCCCCAATCCTGCAACGTTTATTAAATAAAAACAAATGTGGATGTTCATTGTAAGTAATCATCTACCCAAAGTGGTCAGCTGTCTTAAGAGGTGAGATTTTGTTCAACACTCTTGTGCTAACACTAACATTTGGATTATGACCTCAGTGATCTTTATTTATTTATTATTCTTAATTTTCTGGGTACTGGGTTTGAACTCAAGGCCTCACACTACTGGCAGGCACTCTACTGCTTGAGCTGTGCCCTGTGTGCTCCAGTCATTTTTGCTCTAGTTATTTTGGACTAGGGTCTCACTTTTTCCCACACTGGTCTGGACCACAATCATCCTATTTTAAACTTCTTGCTACAGTGGAATAACAAGCGTGTACCACTGCACTCAGCTGTTTTCCATGGAGATGGAATTTCACAAACTTTTTTCCTGGGCTGGCCTGGAGCCATGGTCTTCCCCATCTCAGCCTTCTGTGTAGCTTGGGATGACTTGTGCCACTGTACCCAGCTCTCCTTGATCTTTTAATATTTAACTAAACTAGCTCATAAAAATTATGTATCTTCTTTATAAGTTCTAAAAAATATTAAAAAGCACCATTCCCAAACACCATGTTGCAAAAATTCTTATGTAAGCAAAATAAATGAATCTAGCATATTTGTTTTAAATCATAATACAAGATATCATTCTTTTAAGTGTCCCTCGCTGGCTAAAGAGTTTTTTAAAAAGTATTTTGTTAATTGCTTATACATTTATTCATAGCTAAAGAGTTTTTAATTAAGAATGTGTGTTGAATCACGTATCACAAGCTTTTTTCTATATCTTTTGAGATAACCAAATATAATTTTTATTCTTTCATCTGTTAATATGATGAGTTTCATTAGCAGACTTTTAAATGTTAAACTCTTGCTGCATTCCTGGAAGATATTCACCTTGATCAACATATTTTAAAAATTACTGGATTTACTGGATTTATGCTCTTAACTGAACTCATCCTATTGCCTGCTTGCTTGTTTTTTTTTTTTTTTTTTTTTTTGTTGATCTGGGGTTTGAATGCAAGGCATACACCTTGAGCCACTCTACCGGCCTTTTTTTTTGTGACGGGTTTTTTTGAGATAGGGTCTTATGAACTATTTGCCCAGGCTGGCTTAGAATTGTGATCTTCCTGATCTCTGCCTCCTGAGTAGCTAGGATTACAGGCATGAGCAACCAACAGCTGCTGCTTCCTTTCTTAACTTGCTCTTGCCTTATTTTAGAAGCAAGACATTCCAATCTCATAAAAGCAGATTACTCTCTCTCTCTTTCTCTCTCTGTCATTCTCTCTTCCTCTGCTTGTCCCTCTCCTCTCCTCCCTCTCTCCCCTTTCCACTATCCCTCTCCCTCTCTCTTTCCCCCTTCTCTCATGTCTGCAATGGATCAAGTAAAATTAGCATTATCTGTTCTGTGAATTAGTTTATAAAGCCTCCTGGGTCTGGAGAGAATTTTTATTGTGGTAAAAAAATATGACTTAAAATTTGTCATTTTTCCCATTTTTAAAGTGTGCAATTCAATGATTGTTAGTATATTCGAAAGTTGT